GCGGTGGGACCATCTCCGGGCGCCAGAGCGAAGCTGTTGCTGAATAGAGCAGACGAGTTGTCCTCTGGGAGTCGAGGTGGACGTACGGTTCGAACCATCACGATCGAACAGACCATGCGCGCGCGCAGCTGGCGCATCTGGTTTGGCTGGACATAGCTTCGTGACATCTTGCCGTGGCGGTGGGCTCCTTGGCTGGTAGGGTGGCTGGACCTTTCTTGGACGTTGGAAGAAGAGAGGGTGTGATGGAGGCCACTGCGTTGGGACCTGGCCATCAGTCTCCCTCCAAGCCCTTTGGACGAACGCAGTTCACGATCAAACGTCCTCACCCATGCATCCATCCTGCGTCTGAAGCCCCCGTACTGACTGTATTCTCCCCGCACAGCGCTTAAAGAGGGAAGGATGCCCCAGGCTCCATCTCGATGAGGTGCAGTTATCGACCTGTTCGTCGCTGCCCGCGAGGCCGAGGAACTTGAACTCTTCGCAGTTGGAGGGGTTATCAGGCGTCCAGAGATTTTATTTCGATGCCCGGGGAGTAAAGAGTGGTACGTGACAAGTTGGAAAACAGCGTATCGGCTTCTCTAAGCCGAAATAAGGAGATATATGGCGGCGATATTTTCCGCGACTGGCGTGGGTGGGCTGACGCGGGACTTGTCGAGCTCTCAGATGGTCAGGCGGCTGAAGGGTTGATCCAGAAGAACACATGCTCCTGTGTGTGCTCGAGGGTGGTGTGCGTGGTGAAATAGATGTGCTGATCCCTTTCGCCATGCAACGTTTGTTGCCGACGCGGCCGCAAGGCCGAGTCCATCAATGTGGTCGGATCTGCTCAGGTGTGGCAAGGCAGGTCCAGCAAGATCACCACGAGTGATGGTGTGATCAGAGGACGCTGAAGGGGAAGAAGGAAGCGCAACGTCTCGCTGGGTGATGGTGCGATTGCTACCCGGGCCGTCACTGCTAGAAGGTGAGGCTGGTCGAGGAAGCTCTTGAGATGGCTCCTGGACGACAGATTCTGCAGTAGTGTTGTTGCGGAAGGTTGAATTCAGCTTCTCTAAGCCGGTACGATACACCTCTAACCTTTTCCCATTGCGCGGGAACCAGAGGGCAAGACTCATCAATCTGAGATGTGAGGGCGGCCGAGTACCTCAGAATCTTCTTCAGCAAGAGCACCTGCCGAGGAGTCGGTTTGGTGCGCTCTCTGCGGGCCTGGAGGTACTTCAGAGTTGCGTAGACCCTCTTGGTCGCGAGAGAAGTCGCAGGCAAGAGGTCCGCGATCTCATCTCCGGTGGTATCGGAGCACCTTAAATCTCGAGCTTTCTGTCATCCTTCCAAGAACAACAACGTCCATCCTCCTTCGGCCCCGACCTCCCGTCTTTCATGAGGCTTGCCTCGGCGCCCAGTTGCCTGACGTAAGAAGTTGATGTCACTAAACGAACCGGGAGTGAATTGTACAAGCCTTGGGAGGACCAGGAAGAGCTACCCCGTCGCTGCTGCTGCGTATCCGTGTCGCAAGTCTCAGCAGGAATGTTGCTATCTGCGATTCCCCCGGCATCAACCCAACCTGCGGGTGTCGAGGTCCGAGGCCACATGGATTGTGAGCTCGCCCATCCTTCCCCCAAAATTTGGGATGCGACAATTCGGTATGCATGAGTTGTTGACCACGCGCTTGATGTCGGCAGACATCCCCTGGGTATCGCCTCAGCCTCGCTGACGAGGTTATTTCTCGATGCGCCATTTCTCTTCCTCGGGCTCCAGGGGTCGTCTGGCACCGGGCCATTGGGCTGTGGCTCCTGAGGAGATAGGCGTGAACGCAGGGAGGAGTCTGTACAGCGTCCACTAAAGGAGCCCTCTGGCCTCCACGGCTGTTCTCGTCATCGAAGTGATCTGGCGAGGCCCTGGAGCATCTCCAGGGTCCGCTTGCGCGGACTCCCCGAGAACATCATGAACATCGGTTCGCTGTCTAGGCGGCGGATCGGACGGAATGCTGGAGGCTACTGCACCATTGCTGATGTGTCGATGTTGACGCGACAGGTGAAATTCATCAGAAAGGCACTCGAGCCTGATGCAAATGTCTGTCACGGGACGGGAACTGGAATTGTCTAAGTATTTGTCAGCTTGAGCGTATATACACATCGAGTAAGTCTTGATAGGCTTACAGTCATAGGTCTGGGAGCTCATGCCCGGATATCATTTGTACCATTTCGCGCTGCGGTCGACCTCTTTGCTCCGTGCGAGGACAGCATAGCTGCGGGAGGCAGCCACCTTTCCGACACAGTCATAGGCCGAAATCCTTGGGGGACCAGTGTCTTAAGGGACGCTGGTGCCTCCCCGGACAAGCCCCTAGACTATGTATCTGCAGGGGGTGGCTCTTCGAATAAAGAAGAGACTCTTCTCTTGTTTTAGTGGCTAAGAGGACGTATGGGCGGACGTCACTGTTGTGCGCGCTGCGATATGCTCGTGAGAGCGCTTTCCGGGGTGCTGGTCGAGCGGAGCACCGCTATCCAAGGCAGCGAATTGAATGTCTCGTTCCGCAGTTGGTGCTGTCGAAGCCAGGCTGGCACGCAACTCCTGGACGCGCTTTCGACCACAAACAACCTGCCACCAGGCCTTGTTGGTGCCACAAGCGATGGAACAAGGTCGTCTGCTGGGAAGAAGACCCTCGGGGAACCAAGAGACCGGAACCGATGCCGCGGCCCAGGCTCACATCGTAAGGTCTAGTGTGTCCGCGTGGGTCCTTGTTACTGAGGGGGTTGGTCCTGCTGAGGGAACCCAATGTGGACTTCTGCATTCACTTGGGGCCACCGACGACAATCAGGTCGAGGTCGGTGTGGCTCCCGAAGGAGGGAATTCCATGTCGTCTGCATGTTCGACGCGTACGGTTGAGGAGGAGGTACCAGGAGCATTTTCAGGATTATACCGAGAAATGAAGGAAACGATGTGCTGTTGTGGCGTCGCAAGTTCAAAAGACAGGACTGGTGGCTCGATCCCAGGTCCCACGGCGAGAGTGCGGGCTATTCCGCCTTCGACGAGGCGTCAATCACGGGCATACAGGGCGCCATTGAAAATATCCTTGTTTAATTTGGTGAGTAGCATTGTCGCGATTATTGCTGCAGTGAAATAAGCGATAGCTGCTGTGGTGATGTCGCAAAGCACAATGGCGGTAACAGGCCACCTGGCGCGGAGGCGCAGCTCTTGTTAGATGATCGAGAGACGAATGGGGTTCTCTCTGCGGCGGGGGAAGGTCACCAAGTCTGGAAGACACTATGAGCTTCTCCAAGCACGTTCTTGATGAGGGGGACAAACGCCTCAAGTGAACCATGACCGATAGTGATCCTGGCATCAGACTCCAGAATCCACTGCCGGGCACTCAAGTTGAGACCCCTGACATCTTCAGACAAAGTGGGGCCCTCCAGAGGCGTACGGGGCTGATCAACGTCCCAGAAACACACCCACATGGGACCTCGGGCAGGCCCTCAATGTAGATGGGCCACGATTCATTCCGGCAGTCCAGGCCGAGTTTCTTCATGTCCACCCGTGTGGCCAAGATGAAGGCTTCGGTAGTGCCCGGCGTCTCATGAACGGTAACCTCCACGGATCAACCTGGGCAGATGATGCGAGGGCGGGATGAGAGGCCGTTGTTTGGAACCATGGTGATTGTTTGTGCCACATGCGAGGGAACGAGATCTCTTGCTCTGCTGTACTAGTGGTGTCGCAAACGCCACACACGTCACCGCAAGCGCCGGCGAAGGGCATCGTGGGTCTCTGAGGGCCTGCTTGAAACGCCCGTGATCGGCAAAGCTGTGAACGAGGCCGCCATAGTACATTCCCTTTCGCGATTGGAGGTCATGCATACGGGCAACGGTTGCGTCCCGAGACTCGGATGGGACGGCAGGGCGCCACCATGGCGAGCCACGATACCAGACGTCGTCGCAATGACGGGGGCCGCGCGAGAACCGTGGGCATTGTTGGCGCTTCACCATCTGCTGGTGGAGCAGGCGGTGTCGCACAACAGATCCGATGCAATGGAAGACATCATTTTGAACATCCCGAGGTCTTCCACCGGTTCATCATCTCCTGGGCCCTCTCTGATGTCCTCTTGCATCTCGCGGTTGATGCGTCCCGGCACCCTTCCTCCCAGGACAAGTCCCACCTGCAGTGGCGTACCTCTGTACGCGGAAGCCTGCGGTTCTGGCTGGGAGGGGAACACCGATTCTGAAAGAGCGACGGGAACTCGGGGCCCACCCTAGGCTTGGTTGGGGTCTTCTTGTCTCGCTGACCGTGAGGCTGAGCCGGCGTCGCGCGCGTCAGTCCATAATATGTTTCATTTTTGTACAGATAGATTCCTTCCATTTTACAACCCAAAACCGCTTATTGTAGAACTTCAGGGCAATTTCCCTGAGGTCCTGTGGCATTGGGCCGCCACGAAAGGTCGGGTTCGAGGAAGACGGACCAGTCATAACTGCGTCCGAGCAGCCGGCAAATGTCTCAGCTCAGGGGCGTCGCTTATCCGCCCGAGCATGCTCATCGGACATGAGCAATTTGGGTTTGCGGGATGACGACGAGGACGACGAGGACGACGACGAATTTACCGACCACCGCGGCTCCGAAAACAAGTGGTGAAATTCTTGAATTCGCCTGGAGCAATTTCTTGACTGGACGGGGCTTCGGCGTGAAGACCAGTGCCCCCAGGATCCTCTCTTTGACGGCTGCGGCTTCCAAGGCCGCCGTCCAACCACTCCATCAGTCGGTCAAGACATGGGCTGTTGAGCACTGCGGCATTCTCTGCGGCAAGACCATTTGTCTTGGTCCTTGACAGCGCGTGTCAGGTGGCCAACATTGGAGAAAAGTGTCGAGGACCGGGCCTTACGCGAATTTTGGACGCATATGTTAGGTTTTCTTATCCTGGTCAATCTCGGTCTGCCGTACAAGCCTCTCGAAATTTGTTGGTACTTCGAGTACCTTCCTCACGTTGAGCTGTCAGCCTCGGCGCTGAGTGGTTGGCCGGGTCACTTGTGGGCGGTCTTGAAGACGGTCCGGGGGATTTCCCAGGACCAGAAGGTTGAAGCGAACGCGGACAGGCGCTCTGCCTCATCGGCAGCCTGGGTGGCCTCCGCAGGTCCATCGGCACTTCCGGAGAACGGGTCGTACTTTGCAACCGCCGCCTCCTCCTGCTCTCTCTTCTGCTTGTTCGCCTCATCCTGGGCCTTCTTCTTCGCGGCCTGGGCCCCTTGATCCCTTGGGTGTTGTGTTCGAAGCTCGAAGTATACCGCCTCCAGGAGTAGCATCAACTATGGCTGCCAATCTGAAGGGGGATGCGACCGGTCCAGGGGTCGACGATGATTTGGAGCGACTGCAGCGAGCGAGGGAGAACTTCCATTGGGGAAGGGGTCAGACGGCCATTTCCTTGGCCATGGGGGTATGCAAAGAGGGTTATGACTGCGGCGACGGATGTAAGGGCCGGAAGTCGAGTGAGGTTGAGAAACTCACCCGGACTCGCATTGATTCAGTACCCCGGCCCGGCCCAGTCTCCTGGTTGGAGCTCTGTGCGGCTCCACGACGTTCCACCATGATGCATGGTCCGAAGCCGCAAGATCGATGCCATCTTTTTGGAAGACAGCAGGTCGCAAGTACGCAATTCGAACCAGTGGATCGCATCGTCAGAAGCAGATGTTCTCGAGACTGGTACCTGGACACAGTCTCTCCGTCGGGGAATGGCGTCGAATAGCCATTCCAAAATTATCACCTGAAGGGGGACGTTGTAGCCCACAACCTTGGCGGCGCAGACTCAGGTCGGCCGGCTGCTACGACACTGGACGTGTCCGTCATTGGTGGCGCCGCTTAGGACCGGCAACATCGACAAGTGCGTGCTCATGGGAACCAAAACCGTAAGGAATCCATACGTGAGGGTCAGAGTAGTTTGGATGGACTGTTTATCTCCGCGTTCCGGATGGCATGACGGAGCGCCACGCCAGCACCGTTTGTCATCCTTTGTACGCTCCCGGCCCGCATGCCTCAAGGTCTTGGCCCTCATGGAGACAGACCAGACAGCATGTCAGGGAGGGCGATGAAGGGCGTCCTCTGCCTGACGGTGCTCCATACCTTGCACATTGCGAGAGAGCATCGGCGGTGGGATCCGCATGGTCATGGGGGAGTGGTAGGGGGTGCCACTCCGGTGTCCACGACGCGCATGACGGACGGAGCGGGTCCCTCTGGTCCCATTGATCCGCGCCGGCAGGTGGTCAGGATGGTAACGCGCGAGCTCGCCGGCTGGTTCGAGCGGGGGGCTTGGTCCGGGTCTCCAGCCCACACCCTGTTGCCGTCGTTGCCATGATGGTATGGGTGGTCCGCGCCATCCGGGGCTTCCACGATGAAGGAGGACCTGGAGAATAGCTGTTCCGGCTTGCCGTCGATGCTCAAAGAGGAGAGCAGTAGTGAGCGCGACCACCTCCGACGTGACATGCGTTCTCGCCGCCCTGGGCCCAACAATGAATTCGAGGTTGAATGTTGTGCACCTCCCCGTTATTGATCTTGATCACTCGGAAAAGGACTGCTTCGATCACGCTGTTCCATTCAGAGTGGACTCCTGCGAAACGTGAAAGGCGTGCGGCGGGTTTGATCCCCAATCGAAGTCATCGTGGGTCCTCAGGTCGTCCGGCGCGAGGTGGTGAAGGGTGGGTCGGGCCCCACATCCATGTTGATTTGGGGGTGACCCTCTGGTCACGAAACGGCAGATTGAAAAGTAATGATGCCGTAGGAGATAGTCTCTAGGGCTACTATAGACACAGGATATCATGTGCCAATATTGTTGTCTTTTTGCCTTGCATAACGTGGGCTGATCATCGCTTGGCAAATGCGTCAAGACTTCCCGTCGATAGACACCGCCAGGCGACCACCAAGCAGCTCTGCGTGGTCAAGTTCAGAGAGTCCTCCTCCGTTGATAACAAAGAGGATAAAGGAACAGAAATCGGAGACAACCAAGCAGCCCTCCGTGGTCAAGCTCAGACAGACCTCCTCCATTGGTTAGGAGGATGAAGGGGACATCTCCCGCGAGAACACTCTCAACTTTCTGCTTCCAAGGTCGGCCCCGTCTTCAGGAACCGCCTGAGGGCTGCCAGTCTGTCCCAACGTTGATCAAGGCGTTGGTTGGACCCCCTCGGAATCTGGAGCTGGAGAAGGCGAGGCTAATTTGACCGAATACGCTGGCCTGAGAAACGGACCTATGTCCGGATCTGATGCATATTGGGTCCATGCAAACGGGTCTGATCCTGGTCATTCATGGGGACGCCATCTTCCTTGTACACATATTTTATATATGAGACCATGCCCATACTGTGGTGTTCAGTTCATCTCTAGTGGAACTTGGCGGAGAGGCGAAGCCTTGCCGTCGACCTTTCGCTTCTCGAGGACGATGGCCTCATCATGTGACTCCTCACGGTCGGAAAGATCGCGCGCCCGCTTGCTTGGAGAGTTTACAGCGCCTCTTGGGGACGGGAGCCTCATCCTCGGAATCCTCGTAGTCGGGAAGATCCCGCGCCTGCTTGTTGGGCGAGTTCCCAGCGCTGGTATCGGCTCCGTCCTCACCGTCCGAGGAGAGCTGGTAACTCATGCAGGTCTCGTCTGCTCCTTCAGACGGGGGACCGAAGCCATCCGCATTTGGATCCGGGGACTCGAAATTATCGTAGAAGCTCTGCTATCCAACAGGGCTCTCGTCCCTCCCGTCCCGACCGGGGCGAGAGCCAGTCTGCTGAATCTGGCGCTGGGGCGCAGGCCGCCTGTGTGGATTCGACGCCCGGTACAACGGTCAACTCGACAGCGGACTTCTTCGGTGAAGTGGAGAGTGAAGCTGGCGGGCAATGAGCGCGGTTCATTCTGGAGGTCAAGCCCACGGCAAGAGGATTCTCCTGGTCGTTCTTGTCGTGGTCGGCAGCCCTCTTGCCCTTTGTCGTGGCCTTCGTGGCGGTGCCGTTCTTCTGGGCCACCTCGCTGAGGAGGTCTCCCTTCCTCTTGTTGGTCCTCATGTTGCCGTTCTTCTTTACCAGCTCCGAAGCGGGATTGGCGGCAACGCGGGCCTGGAGCTCCACAGACTCCATCACGCTCTTGCAGAGCAGCTTGTTGAAGCTTAGAGCTTCGACAATCGCGTCAACCTTCTCCCCGAAGGTTGCTGCCTGCACCAGGGGGTAAGGCTGTTGGCCGACGAGGACGCCCGACTGCATCGGGAGCTTGGCGACAACAAGAGGCGAGCTGTGAGGGTGTAGACGAGGCCCCTCTGGGCCCGAAGCACACCCAAAGATATGAACGCAGGACGCAAGCTTTTTGATCTCAACTGCGGGCGACATCTGGGGCGCACGACCACCCGACTGGCTCGGGGGCAGGGAGATGCCGGTGGGTCGTGTCTCGAAATTGTTGACCGTAGACACAGCACCGAGAAGAAGCAGGAGGGATTCAAAGGTCTCTCGGTCCGAACCAGACACCGCCAATTGCTTCGGAAAGGAACGCCGGGCCGGAAGCGAGATCGCATGGTCCCGATTTGATCCCCTGGTCGTTGTACTTGCGGCTCTCGACGACCGACCTCGAAGTCGGCGGCAGACGTGCTGTGCCTTCTTCTTGGCCGCCTCGAGCTTGTCGCTCTCGGCCTTGGCCATGGCAACGTACTTTGCCAGCCAATTGCTAGGGCCAGAAGTGCCAGGGAGGGGCATGGTGTGGCAAGATCCTCTGATCTTGGTGAAATCAGCCTTGTTCCAGGGCGAGAATGATATCGTGATGGACCCTCAACAAAGGCCCAGGATGAGATGTGGGACAGGTCGGAGCGGGTGAAGAGGGGCCCGCAATTGAGGAGTGCAATGACTTCTCTGATGGAAAGAAGCGTGGCATGGACCGGCACCACCACATGGCACAATCCGAATGCAATTTGTGCCGTTTCCGCGCATAAAACCTCTCCATCCACCCCCCTGCCGTGCCTTCTTGTGGCTCCCGTCTCCTCTGCGCCCGTCAAAGCTTCGATAAGGGCGTCGAGCACCTCATCATGGCAGACGCTGGTCAGGACATTGGTAGAGATCAATGTCTTCCTCCTGGTCCCGGGGGCAGAAGTGAGCTCTTGGGGCGGGCTGCCATTGTCGGAGGCGCCCGGAGAGCCTCCTCAGTTGTTGGGAGAGGTGGACCACGCCCTGCGGCGGCCCTGCTGCTCTGCTGCTTGTGCTCGGGGGTGGCCGGCCGCAGATTGGAAAGCACAATGTTCTGGACATCAGGCATACTTGATGGCGGCTGGCCACGGGCATGTCCCACCTTCTAGTGGACATTGTGGATGCCCATGTCCCCGATTCCGATGTTCTCGAACCAGTCGCTCGGGCGCGGCGTCTGTCAGCTTTGGGGTGACGGTGGCATGGGGTCTTTGGCCACGACCACCCACCAGAGATGGAGCGGATCTCGGGGTCCTTTCCACCCCTGTTGTCGGTGTGGTGACCGATGGTTGTTGGGCTCCTTTCCAACGCCCCTCTCAACTCTTCATCGGCATTCTTGTTGGCGGAAACGTGTGATCGGGCCGTTTGTCGGGACCCTTGACCCGAGGGTGGGTTTTTCCGTTTGCCTTCTCGTCGTTTGCGAGATGGCGATTGAACTGCTCTGAATCCTTGGGCGCCCCCAACCCCGACAAGATCGTGGGGCTTACACTCGTTCTTTGTGAGGCAGCGGGACATCTGGGGCATTCGCCGAACCCCGGCGAGAGGCACTGGTTTGGTAGCTTCGGGTTTCCCAGAGACCCGAAATAAATGTCTCTGCGCAGAATTTCACGTAGGTTGTGGCCTCCGCTGGGAGCTTGAAGGTCACCACCGCAATGCGGTTGTCTTCGAACGTGCTCACATAGGCAGAGTCAATACCGCCCCGGATCCGAGGAAGAACGTCGGCAATCGTGATGTCGTCCAGGAGAGGTGAGATGATGATGGTACGGTTGCATGTCTCGGCGCAGAAGTCAACGTATGTGATAGCGTCTGCTGGGAGCTTGAACATGACAACCGCAATGCGGTCCTCTCCAAGAGTGCTGACATAGGATAGGCAGAGTCGATTCCGCCAAGGATGCGGGGCAGCACGTCCGCGATCGTGATGTCCTCTGGGAGAGGCGAGATGACGACGGTACGGTTGTACCGGTCCTTTTCGTCCGTCAACCGTTCTCCCGTAGCAAGAGTTGATTGCTCGCAAATCTGAGACAGGGCATTGCCGGTGGTGACTGTTTTCGAAACCTAGCTCATGTCAGTTCCCATCAAGTTTTTTCAATTGGTACTGGGTTGCTCACAGTTTCACCAGTCGAGAAATCGGTTGAGAGATCAGGTAAACAGTACTCTGCTCGACTTTTTCTTCTTTCTTGTTCGCGCCCGCAAGTGGCAGGCAGGGCTGTGCTGCAGGAGGTGGTCCTCAGCGGGACCCAAGTCATCCCCTTGGGTGAGTGTCAGAATTCATCGCCGTTTGCTTCCAATTGCTAGGAATTCTTACCAAAGATGTTGTTTGGAATTCTTGGGGCTGTCAGTCGAGCAGCCAGCTCTTGGTTGGCCGTTTGCCGGAGTTGTTGAGGCCGATCGTGGGAAGGGCCGTCAAGGGTGAACGGTCAAGTCCCGTCAACTGGTTATGAGACTTGATCTTGATGAGACCAGGTCAAGGGGATCTTGAGGTTGGTGCTGATGAAGGATGAAGTTTAGAAAGGAAGGGAAGTTGGAGGCCAAGTTGTTGGATGATGGGAAGAGAAAAAGGAAAGGAAGTCAGAACTTGGGAAGGGGGCCTGGGTTTAAGTAATATTTTGGGAGTGGTCTGTGCTTCCTCGGTGCAGACGCTGCCAGTCAATGAATGGTTCAAAATCCGCGATCCGATCATCTCACGATGCCTGGGAGTGGTGTTTTGGGCCTATCCGGTGTGGCTTTGGTGGTGGTGGATCGCGATATGCACTGTGCCGAATGGACTTCACGAACCAAACAATGGCACCGCGGGTACTACGATTGGTTGAGGTAAATCCAATTCATGAGAATGGACTGCAAGCAACTCAACAACCACTTTAGAGTCGCGATCTGAAGCAGCAGATGGCCAACAACGGGTCGTTGGTACATGGACAAGGCAGACAGCTTGCTTTGTGGCTGCCCAGGAGCTCCGCCATGGTTCGGATCGACATAGGCCAATTGGTGCTCCAGGAGTGAGTCGCCTGACCAGTCACTGAGACTCTAGGCAGAAGCCTGTCCCGGCAGCCGGAAGCTTCCATTCTTCTGCAGCACAGACAGGCTTTATGTGAGAAGTGTTGAACAGCATCTTGAGCTACAATGGACGGCTGTGGGAGATGTCTACAGGTATGGACAGGCTCAATCACGACACCGATTGATACTCCTGGAAGGGGAACTCCAGATTTGGAAAGTCAGGCCATTTGAAATGTCCCTGTGTAGTTTGAAAATGAAATGAAAGTGTTTGAAGCATGTAGGGGGTCTCCCAAGCACGAGGAGGATGTCTTCACGTGCATTTCCAAGCTGGGATTGGTTGAGGTCTGTGGGTTGACGTCAAAGGTAGCTAATCACGTGCCATGTTTAGATCATGCAACTGTGGGTGGACTTGTATCTCCTAGGCACCTGGGCAGGGAGTGATGGGTGTCCACATTCCTTTGTGCTTCTTTTCTTCTTTTCTTCTTTTCCTTTTTCGCTTTGAGGTGGGACAAACAACTGGTCGGCTTTGGTTGACAAAGGCCGTGTCGGCCGGTGTTTGGGCTTTTAGCGACCGTTTGCTCATTTACTTTCTACGATACTTGAGCTCCGTTCTCGTTGACAGCCTTGATAATCAAATCAGGAGACTTAGCGTCGGTTCCTAACTCTTCGGTGATGGCTTTGAGCTTGTCGGTGAGGATTGTGAGCGTGGTATCGTGGTCTTTGAGCGCGCCAGTGTGGTTGTTGAGCGCGGTAGTCACATCGTGGACTGCGGATTTGAGATCATCCAAGCGGTCGACAGCTTTGCCCTTGTCGACCTTGCCGAACCTCGGTCGCCACATCGGAATCGCATATTTCGACTTCTTCTCGCCCTGGCCACGCACACACACTCTCTCCGCCACCAACAATCACCCACAGAGAGCAACAAACAACCAAATGCCTCCAACCCGCCTCTTCCCAGCAGCCTCAAGCCCGCGCGCACACCAGGAAGCACCAGCAGCAGCCGCCCTCACAAGACCACCACCACCAGCAGCAGCAGCAGCAGCAGCAGCAGCGCCCCTCCTGCGCCGCCCATCACTAAGTACTTAACTAATTCCTCTCGATGAGTACTTGCAGATTGATTTGGCTTGCCACGTGAGTAGTGATGGACGTTCCCAAGAAAATGTCCGATGGGAACGAGAATTTGTCTTGTCGGAACGGTAGGTTGGCCGTGGACGACCTGGGACTCCCAGGGTCTGTAGTCCTCCGCAAAGGAAGATTCGCGTTCGAAGCCACCCTACTGGGGGACGGTGGCAGTAGGGGCGGCGGCGGGGTGTGGACCTAGCTGGCGGTCGTGTTGAGGGTGTGCGGTTGAGAGCCCGGGCTCGACAGGGTCTGGGCCAGGCCCAAATCCAGGCGGTTGAAGAGGGCGGGGAGACGACGATCGGGCGTAGGTGCTGGGGTGGCGCAAGGGCCGTAGGACGGAATCCTCGTATTGAGATAATAACCAGCATCAAATACGAGAGCATACCAGAAGAGATCTAATTTTGGAGTTATGGGACATGTCATATGCCAGGAGGGCTTGTGGTCAACTGGTGAGAGGCCGAATTCCAAGTAGCGTGACAGGCCGATTTTGGGCGAGTCCAACATCAGTCTTCAGCTGATACGGGAGTTTTGCTCTTCAAACCTTGCATTGTCGCTTTATAAAATAGAATTCAAGGGCCAGTCCGGGAAAATGTATTTATCAAGTATTGCATCTGTAGAGGGACTCTTATCGCATGGTCCAAAACATCCGTTCTCTCATTCAAATACGATCAACCAATCGAGATAATGTCAACATCTTTATGCAATCATGGCATTTCTCAACTCGTTTATCACAACCGCGGGCCCCCCAATCAGTGAAGCATATACCCTGTGTTCGCAAGGGTACATGAGAGAGAACAAGCTCAGACTTCATCATGCCTGCCATGATACTTTAAGGGAGTACATAGCCTTAAGCTCATACCATATGGACAAGGGCAAGAGGCATTTCTCCCTTGCTCGGTTTGCAATGATTCAACGGGGCATCGAAGTCTACTGAAAAGCAACTGTTCAGTGAGAATATCACAAGTGGGCCACACAGTGCCTCGAGCCTACTGCAATGGGGATTCTGATTCACCTCACTGGAAGATGGCGGTCTTGCTCCTTGATCTACAAGAGTACATAGTATTTCTATCCCACATGATTGGCAAATTCCACCTGGAACTTTTTCAAATAGCCTTCAGCTCATCTTCCATCAGCTTGAGTGCTTCATCCCGGTGCTTCTTATTGTCAAAGTTGATGATAAAGTCCCACCTTGGGAGGAGGCTTTCCTTAAGCCATTCCAAATCTAAGCCTTTCGCCCCTTGTCCATTGAGTATCTGCCCGGTGCCCCGGCTGGACTCAACAATACGCTGCGTTCGTGGGCGTCTAACCTGGTCATATACCTTCAGAGCTACTTGAGCCTCCGCTGTCGTTGTTGCACGACCTAGAAGGGTCGAAAGGATGAGGCTGTCTTCGATCGACATGCCGGCCCCAGAGCCCTGCCCGGTAATGCGGATGAGCTCTCTACCTTACGTGATACAAAGAATTCAGGGAACCTACCTGCCATGGTGTCGTGGTATGAGCAGCATCACCGATGACGCAGATTGGACCAGCCACGTAGGTAGAAGCTGGGGGATGCTCCCAGAGGTAGATAGCTGATTGTTCGGAATCACACAGAAGCTAGATGGGATTCAGTTAGCTATTGTTGTGTCCAGCCTGAAATGGAAAGAAATGCCGACCCCAACCTACCTCCCGTATGGCTCCGTTGAGACCCGGAACGCCAGCGTCAAAGAACTTGCTCAGCTTCTCGGCGTTGACTTTGCATTGCCATTGCTCCGATCCCTCGGCACCCTGATCGATCGAGCCTACGACAAACTGCACAAGCTTGCCACTCTCCAACACATTGTGCATGATAATATGCCCATCTCCAAGCCACATATACTCCCGAGCGTCCTCAACATTGACAAGGTCTTTTCCAAGACTTGCTTGAGCTTTGTCGTAAGGCTGCAAAGTCATGATGACCCAGGCTCCCGTGTTCCTTGCGTGAATGGCTGCGTCGTCATCCCCGAGAACGATGTTTCGAACGACACTGTGCACGCCATCCGCTCCAACTAGGATGTCGCATTCGTGAGTCGACCCGTCGACGAAATAGAGAGTCAAAGGTGTATCTTCCCCAGAGGTTCTGCTCACGGTAGCAAGCTTCTTTGAGACATGTAGACGTTCCTTTGGGATGTCTGCAAGTAGCTCCCGCAAGAACGCCGCCCGATGAACAATGCTAGTCAGCTGCCGCTTCTCGGCGTTGGAATCCGCCTCATCGATCAGCGCACCCTTGTCCGGGCCTTCACCCAGCTTGAAGCGCACACCTAGCTGGGGAACGGCGCCTGCGCGTTTGAGGCTCTCCGTCGCCGACGGGCCGATAAGGTCAAGAGCCGCCAGGGCGTTGCGGGCAATGCCCACGGCCGCGCCGACTTCTTTGAACTCGGCTGCTGACTCGAAGACATGAACATCTAGGTGGGCATATTGGATCAAGGCGTGAACAAGAGAGGCGCCGGCCAGGCCACCCCCGGATATTGCGACACGAATCTGGCGATCCATGACAACCCCAGGAGAGATGAAAGTCGTATAGACAGAAGCCACAAAGCAAAACGAGGGGAAAATATGGGAGACGTTGGAAAAATGATCAACGCCCTTCTGACGAGGTAGAGTGGATTCCTTGGGATATGATCGACAATTGCATGTATTGTTTTGGGTGCCAACATGCTGCATGCATATCAGGCAAGGCCCAACAGTTGCAGCCTGGGGGTATCTTCTTCATCCAGAACAGAACATGGGTACTCTGAGGCCCCTGTCACCAACAAACGATGCTAGTACCAACCGACATAACACCTCGCCAATGAAACAATTGGCAGAGCTTTTCTGCCTTTTGATTCGCGGCTGATATCAGGTGGCGAACCTGATTGACTACTGTGTAATGACATATTCCCCAAACCGCTGCTGACGTGTCAGACGCAGTAATACAATACCGGATATCAACATCCAAGGTCCAATGTCCGGATAACTGCAGTTATCAGCCTGAATACTACACGTCGGAATAGCAGCCAGCCGCTCCAAGAATCCCAGAGAATCTGCTCCTTATGTACGAGCGTAGCATAGTGACACAATGGCAACACTCTTGGACATTGGAGTCAAAGAGAGGGGACATCGGGAGGGTTCCGTCACATACCACTTGCAGCCCAAGCATGACTGACAGCCACCCTGTTGCAAACAGTTTGCAGAATTTCCCATGTGCTTTTTTTCTTGTTGCCTGGCGTTCATGAAGCCGGCAGTATGACTTCGACTGGTCCCTGGCAACGAAGGGGAGGCAGCCACCAGTTGTGTTCCGACAACGCCTGGTATGGTGGGCGGTGCCAGCATACCTAGAATTCAGTACTGGTTCGCGTCTTTAACATGGATTCCGTGCCAATAAACAAGGCGAAAAAGCGATGATGTACTCCTAGGCACTGCGTTGGGTCTCTGCATAAAGAACAAATAGGAAGCGTCTACCTAGGTATATGGCAAGGGCTTTCACAAAGTCGGGGAAAGACTTGCCATGATGTGCTGGATCAGCTAGGATAAAGGCAAGGTCTGCTGCCTACCACCACGCGTATTTAAATAGATCTATGCTACCTAGACTAACCAAAAACGATCATCTTCGCGTCGGAAGAGGGCCGCGAAAGCTCCGCCAGCAACTACGGCGCTTCCACCTATTATCCGACCCACACCCACCCGTTCAAAACACCGGGGGTGCTCATCGTCAATGCGAACCTCCAACTCGATCACGAACAGCACTGCATTTATATCTTCCTTTACGATGGATCCATTCTTCCAAACTGGGATCCCATTCGCGCGACTCAACGGAATCCCGTAAATAGGCCTCCGTCTCCTGTCAGCGACGCAAGGGCCTGAATCAGTATTTTCCACCCGCAGGCTGGGATCATCAAAAGACGCCCATCCAATGGCTGCATCATTATCGTAGCCGGGCTTTGTTACTCGGTGCCATTTCTCATCCACATAAAGGTTGGCGTTGGACGGCCGCTTTGATGTAGCCAGGTCGTCTGTGTCGGCACCGATCAGATAATTTGCGGTGAGCTGTGCAGCACGGTGAGGGGTGTCGTCCCCCCCAGGCCAGATATTCTCGAGAACGAAGCCGTTGAACAGCTGGCCCTTGATACCGAGTGCTATGAAGCGATTGATAATGCCGAAATCATTCCATGTCGCGGAAGGTTCACTCGTCCACAGCGCACTGATGGGTACCGGATTCTCAAGTCGAAGTTGGCCAGTGGTCTCGTCGACAGCGTCGCTGACACGGAGCACCCATCGCATCTCGAAGCATTCCTGCGCGTTCCGAGGCCATTGGGTGTGCCATCTCACCGCCGCTGGCTCAATCCTGCCGGTACCAGTCCCCTTCCCGTCCGCCTCCATCCGGCCAAGCGATGCCCATGTCCAGGATGGGAATCCAAGTACTCGTCCAAAAACTCGGTTGCTCTGGTCTACAGGCTCCCAACATAGGCCTCGTGCCAAGTTGTCCCACCACAGTCCGCAGTAGTATTCCATGGGTCCAGTTGAGTCCAATGCCGATCTAAACGCAGACCCAAACGCGGATGCGACACCCGCCAGGGCGATAAGGCGGTCGCTTGCCACATTGGTCAGGTTCATGCCAGAGTACGACTCCACCACACGAATCCTGTAAGAACAATTGTCAGCAATCAAAGCTTTTACAGCTTCCCCATCCAACAACGAATGCAAGCATGGCCATCTGATATATAAAGTACTAGTACATAACCACGGTCCGTTGCAGAACTCAGCCTCGAATGCTGCAACACAATTGAAAACAGTTTTCAGGAAGAGACATCATCGACACGTAAAATGGAGAACTGATCTCTCTCCCAAACTGATTGGATCAAATCGGACCAGCTTACCAGCTTTTGCGGATGTCGGAGAGTATGGCGAGGCTGAGGTCGAGCGCACTCTTATAGGACATGTCGGCAGCCCAGTGCCAATCCTTCTCTACTGCAACGGTGGAGAGGGCGGACCGCGGGGGATCTTCAGAGCAGACAAGGAACACGCCGCCGGTCTCAGAGAAGGCGACAATCCTGGAGCTGAGCAGCCACTCCTGAACCACCCAGCCGCGTGAGAGGAGCTCACTTTCGGTAATGGCTTTCCTGTAGATGTCGCGAAGGTGCGAACCATCCATGGGCTGTATCGAAAGGCCAGCGGCGTGTTGTCCAGCATCATCGGTGTACGGAAGATGTATTGTGGAGGGCAACACTTCCGGGACAGCAGGAAAATATAAGCCCTCCGATGAGTGCGCTGCAATCGTGAGCCATGCGTCTTGGTAGTACCTGGCCATATTGGTAGCCTCCCGTTTCCAGTCGTCATCATCGTCCTGTATTATGCACAAGGAGTCGATCCAGATATATTGGATGCCCAGCCGCGAGGCTAGCTGCGCCTGCAGAGCTTAGATTCAGCTAGAAATTCATGTGGGGTTTCCTTTCCAGGAATTTAAGAAAATATCCGAAAGCTGCTTACCGCCTCCTGGAACACCTTCGTGACTTCGTGAGGGTACATGGTTGGGAAATTGTTCTTATCCGTGCGTAAGCGATCGCGATAATTACTTCGGAGGGTCTTCACCCTTTCCGTGTCCTGCACCCAGCGGTGGCTCAGGATGACATATCTCCCCATCTCGCCCTCTGTATCGCGCAAACAGAACCAGCATTGACCGTCGTCTATGGTCTCGGTGATCTGAAGGCACCGGCTTGGGAGCAATACCCAATCCAGTTGGCCCTGCTCCAGCTCCAAGTGGGTGCTTAACTCATTATCATTCACGTCCTCTAGGTCAGTGCGGACGTACTCTCCGCGCATCATATGGTCGTAACGGACGTTGCGTTTGCGGCGCCTATAGAGGGGCCTCCAGCATTCGTGTGTATCGTGACAGTGTTGGCGCCAGTCTTGGATGATGGCCGCGAGATCATCGAGTGACTGTGACGTGCTTTGAAAGAGCTCGCCCCTAAATGGAAACAGAGGAGGCAATTCAGAGCCGGACATCGAAGGAGACTCTTGTATGCCAGGGCCAGGCGTGAAATTGAACGGGACTGCCCGTTCGGGGTTGCCACGCTTCGACCCCGTCACACCGATCCACACGCATGTGATGTTATTGCTACGGCACTCCTCCTCCGTGACAGAGAAGGTGATCCAGCCATCGCGCTCCCGACTCTTCCTCTCAGCCCTGGGGGCGAGGAAGCGTGCGGCAGTCTGGGACTTTGCCGTCATTTTCTGCACTTTGGAGAGCGCTTTGTCAAAGAATTTGTCATTGTGGCCTTGCTCGTTCCGGCCGACCAGCCTCAGGATTTTGACCAGCATGCAGCAAAATGTACACCCGGTTTCTGCAGCAGAGTCGATAACATCGGCAACTAGCCATGGACGCCATGGGCTTCTCTCCGTGGAGGTGACGACAAGCCGACTGTCGAACTTGGCACACCGTTGGCAAAGGTGAGAACCATACTGTGGGTCTTCCATAGTCGCGAGAGTCCTGGCAACGCCAGCCAAGACCAGAATCACAAAGCATTCAGCGAAAGGAAAGACGCGAGCTCAAGCTGATATGTTTGGACCCTTCAACAGGTGTGGACGTGCAATCAAGACGTAGACAGTAGCATCACGCGGAAAATTTCAGAAGTCCATCAACATTAGTCCACGCGTGGATACATGTACCCCGCCCACTTGTACCCTATAGGTCAGCCGAGTGAATCCTATCCATGGATCCTACTATGTGACGCTTAAGTCAGCGTACCATCCATCCACAATCCCACTAGCACCAACAGACATGAGTTATCTACATCCTTGTACTCCGTAATTAGAACAGCTCAAGCACATACCTATTCCACAATGGTGTAGATCCCGGCAGGCACCCAAGTTGGTCTTTTTTTTGGGCACTGGTTTACAGGCACAGTTTAGCAACCAGACAAGACCAAGCGACAACACGCCAACTACGTCACGCGAAAATTTACAATTTGAAAGATGTAGCAGCTTATAAAAATCATTAATACTTATCAAAGACTTTATTAAGATTGAGGCTCAAAGATTAAATAGGTATTTACAATCTTCTATTCCTACTAAACGTGCGGGCATACATGCAATTAGAGTGTGATACTGATATGAGCCACTCGCTCTGTCCGCCAAGCCAAAGGACCATAAAAACTAATCTACCTGCCCATTAGCTATCTCTAGCAGTTCATAAGCATCATGCCGTGACTATAAGCATACATATGACGAGCTCCATATAAATGCGCTCTCTTTATATACCTAGGTAGGGTGGAAAACTAGTACCAGCAGTTGGCTTTCTCCACGTATGTGTAGAGAGTAATAGAGTGAGGAGTTGTGTGTTGGTAATATTTGGGTTACCGCAGAAGGGCTCGGAAGCACAAATACCTAGTGATGTGGGTGCCTACGGATGACTAAGTTTGTAGCCATTCAGTACACTCCTTGCTGCTGGACGACGTGATACAAGACTTACTAAGTAGCCCGAGGCGGCTCATCGGCGTCGGGCCTCGCATAAGCCTACCCGAGCGAAGGAGTCGCGCTTGTGGGGCCCAAGCTCCGACTTCTTCGCGCCAGCCGAGCGACTCTTCCAACCACCCAGAGCCTACTCACATCGTCGCCAACCCTGTCTCTGCCGGGCACACACCTGAATCACACGGTATACGCGTGTTGTATACCTAGTATCGGAACAGAAGAGACACCCATGGTTCCGATATCCGACGTCCGCTCCAAGACCAGTTGACCCTCGCTATGGCGGACACCTCTCAGACGTCCCCTGCTGCTGCACTTGCAGCACCGTTCCGTCACATCCGCAGCTGCGAGCTCTGCCGCCATCGCAAGGTGAAATGTGACCGTCAGACCCCTTGCTCGCACTGTGCTCGGGCAGGCCAGACATGCTCATATCCAGCCGGGCCGGGAAGGGCCCCAAAGAGGTCACGCCGGGCCGAGAATGCGCAGCTAATGGACAAGCTGAGCCGGCTCGAGCAAATCATCAAGCGACTGGCGTCTGAGGGGGGCGAAAATGCCGATAATGACGCCGCAGTGGATGGTCATCATGAGGACAAGGATGGGGACCCCTCACAACGGTCTGCTAACCCAGAGGGGGACGCCAAACAATCATCGTCCACACCGTCTAGCAGGTTGTCTGAAGTTCAAGCACAGGGTAGCTCATCGCTTGATGTCCAGTTTGGCAGGCTGGTTGTCAATGACTCGATGAGCTACTATGTTGGCAACGTTCTTTGGGCAAATCTGGCAAACGAGGTATGGCCGAGAGGAAGTCCTAACATGGCCACCAGACTGATGCGTGACGCAGATCGATGGCATCCGCGACATGGTGCAGGAAGCCGAAGACGATGATAGTGGTGATGATGTTGCCGACCTAGACGCCATACCCCCAGAGTCAGCTCGTGGGCTATCAGGCTCCAACGCAACCCTTTTCGGCTTTCGTGCACTTGCATATTCCTTGCGCCCATTTCACCCAACGCTTCCACAGGCTGTCAACTTGTTCGCTGTATTTACGGAGAATGTTTCGCCAGTCCTCCGTCTGTTCCACATGCCGACACTGTCCAGCTCATATTGGGAGTGGATCGCTTCTCTCGACTTATTAGATAAGAACACGGAAGCTCTCCTGTTTGCGATATACTACTCAAGCTGTATCAGTCTCTCGGATGACCAGTGCCTCTCAATCATGGGCCTAACACGAGAGGAAGCAACTGAAAAATACCGCTTCGGTGTGGAGCAAGCCCTCGCACGCGCCGACCTCCTCAACACGCACAGTATGGTCCTCCTCCAAGCAGCCGTCCTCTTTCTCTCAGCCCTCCGGAACCAAGATGACTCGCGTACCACCTGGTCACTTACAGCCCTGGTCTTCTACGTGGCCCAGAGCATGGGGCTCCACCGCGACGGCACCGTCTTCAGGCTGAAGCCATTCGAAACCGAGCTGCGCCGCCGCCTGTGGTGGTACATCTGCGTGCTGGACGGGCACTCGTCCAAGTACCAGGAGCACGAGGCGAACCTTCACCAGTTCTTCTCGGACACAAAGCTACCACTAAACATCAATGATAGCGACCTTCATCCCGATATGACGGAGCCCCCTGAAGAGGTAGATGGCTGGACCGACATGACATTCTGCATGGTCAGATGCGAGGCCATCAACACAGCTTCTAGCACCAGACTGATTGGCCCCGGCTTACAGAGGGGCCCGTGGAGGGGTGAAGCGGGCAACAACTCTGCTGAGATCACGGTCGATGAGCGAAAGGCGATAGTTGACAGCTTCGTTGAGAGAGTCACTCGGAAGTATCTGCGTCACTGTAACTCCTCGGAGCCTGCCCCACTGATGTCGGCCATGGTCATCAAGCTCATATTCGCGCGATTCTGGCTCCTCGTGTACCGCCCGCAGCCGGGACCCAACAGTAACGACCCAAATACCCGGAGCAGTCCAACACCAGGGACCACTCAGGGGGGTGGCGGCAGCAGCAATGTCACCACCCCGTCCAGCCCAGACCAGCCCAAAATTAATGCATCGATCGATCCAGGGATCAGAGACAAGCTCTTCACATCCTCCATAGAGGTCGTAGAGCTGTCCACCAGCATCCTCACGCATCCGCAGCTCGTCAAGTGGACCTGGTACTCCAAGACCTATGTCCAGTGGCACGCCATCGGCTACGTCCTGGCTGAGATCTGCTGCCGCCCTGCGTCGACCGAGTGTGACCGCGCATGGAACGCCGTCATGGGCGTGTATGAGTCTGGGATACTGACTTTCAATGAGCCGAAGGGTACAGTGTGGAAGCCTATCCGGAGACTCATGGCGAAGGCGAGATATGTTCGAGAGGTTCAGGGGCGGCAGAGTCACTCGGGTAGAGGTGTCGCGGCGAATGAATCACCACATGGTGACAGCGGGGGACTTCCGCAACAAGGACCGCTTGATCATACTGCCTTCTCCTCGTCGACATTTGGCTCAGGTCTGGATCCTTCCGACGTACAAGCCGGCAGTAGCTCATCTTTTTCAGGGTCTGCAGACTACCTGATAAACATGCTTAACGTCCCAGGCGACATGAGCACGGATGACTTCACAAATTTGGGGTTTATTGATGGTACAAGTGGCTTCTCTCTCGACATGATGGGCGCTGGTTCCGCTATGGATGGTTGGGATGGTCGCATGTGGTGACCTTCAGCATATAGAAACCGATACATGGCCACATTCATCAACAGCCTGAGCTTTCTCCATCTCGCGTCCCCAGCCGTCGTGGTAAACAATCTGCTGCCGATTCTCATCATCCATAACACCCAGTTCAGTCCAATTCTCCAGGTGACGACAGTTTTCATGATGATTACCCCCCAAGGCAATACTTCTAATACCATCTCGTCTCCGTGGTCACATATTCGCCAGTGGTGCAGCAAGTTGTCCCTTGGCTCGGGAGATCCGCCCAAATTCGCGAGTATTGGGCGTAGATTCTGATATTCTTGCACACACTTTACGCGCCCCCGTCTTTCTCCTGGAATGCGTTGCGGTCCACGTGCCGTGCTCAAGTGTTTATCAACAGAGGAATATCAAGCTTTGCGAACAAACGACTTCCCTGCTTAGGTAGATTCAAAGGCATGATAATATCGTGCATTATCCTGAATGTAACGAGGGCATAGACGCTTCGGACTTGTTAGACATGATGGTCATACTAGGCCCCACTAATAGTCTCCCATCACATAGTCCTGGTAAACTAGAGGCACCTGTGCGTCGCAAGGCTGAGGCCACAAGCATCTATCGTATTATAACTACTGTTATCGACATCATATTCTTTCCAAGCGCTAGGTCTAGAGTGCTTACCACCATATGAAGGCGCCATGTATGTCCTCGGACGTATACGGAATAGAAGCGAAACCACATACTAGAGGCACTAGAGCGCCTCGGTCACAGCTAGGCGATAGATGAGCCACGCCGGCGAGCCACGCCGGCGAGCTGCCAGCCCACATGACAGGTGTAGCCATGGAAACTACGAGAACGCTTCAAAATTTCTACCATATTGCGTGGCGTGCGTTAAAAAGGTAATCTTAAACACTCATTTCATGCAGGGCAACACCACCACCTTCAAACAAATTATATGGGGACTTCGATTGAAACGACACGATGGAAAAGATCTTCGGTATTACGTTATACCTATACGAAATGGAATATAACCCTCGCACTGGTCTTCCACGGCGTCCATTCATGTGGCACCGTACTGCTCAGCAACCACTGACCCAGGTTGCGTACGAACTTACTGATCTTTGCGACCGTTCAGTGAGCGCTACACTGCGACTGGCGAAACTTGAGCAAGAAGAAGAACAACAACTAGAACGGCAAAATCGACCTTGGTGGAAACATTTCTGGACGCAGCCAACTACCCTTCCCACAAAGACCATTAGGCCAGATTCGCAGCCGCCACGTTGGCCAAAGCCGTCCTGCACCTAGTTGCATTTAAGCTTGGACCTAATTGGATACCAACTGAAACAAATTTGTTGCCGGGGTGGAAGCTAAGGAATACTAAGAGGTCGGACTTGCACAGCTTAGAAATTGCCCAAAATGTCACAACCCAAAACATATTTGAGTGCTGCTTAACAGGGCAAATGTTCTCTTTCTACTGAAAATTCATCTTCTCTAACAACCCCGAAGACCTTCCTCGCATCCTCATTTGTTCTTCTCGACAAACTAAGTTCTTCGCACGACGTGGACTGTCTTCAGTCCACATTACCAATTCGAAGGCTTACGCAACACTCTGCCTATTTTAAACCACCTTCCAGACAATTTCACAATCGCCATCGCCCGAACATATCCATACAAGCCATGGCTTACATTCGGTTACAAGAGTCCTCAGGGGATTCATGGACTCCATCGACATGCGACTCGAGCGTCGGAATGCAAAATGAGCACCAGCCTAAGAGAGAACCTCTATACAGCAACTTCAAGAAGCACCTAAACCAGCAGGAGAAACACTGGCTGCTCACCCGCGACATCGAGCTAGTTCGCCCACTGCAGATCCGCTATAGCGCATACGAAGCGGACATCATGACGGAAATCAGGCGGACCGAGGACGAGCAGATGCGCACCTATAACCGACGATGGCGAGAGATGCGTGGGGTTAGGGGCCCCGCCAAGGTCGCCTGGGAGCTTTACAAACTCAAGGTCAGGCTTTGCTCAGGGTGGAACCACTACCAGCTGCACGGCAGATGGAAGCATGCCCAGCTCAAGGCAAAGAGGAAGGAGCTGGCTGGGAGTTATGTGCGAGCGCAGATGTCGCGCCGTGTAGTCCTGCTCGCGGAGCTTGTGTCCTTTGCCGATGCGCAGGCCTTAGACGATAGAGACGAGGAATGCCATGTGAACGATGTCATGCTTAGCCATGTTTTGGCGCGGCCTGACGACCTCTTTCGTATCTCACGGGATCTGGACCTGGGGATCGAGAATCCTTGGAAGGATAAGCAAGAGTGGAAGGCGCTGAATCCAATTACTCTTTCGGTCGATGCGCCGGTTCCATACATGTATGGATGGGGTCTTTAGTGCCAGTCATCAATCTTGCGGCTTTCAGTTATATGATTTTCTGCTTTCACAATCACGACGTTTTGGAGATTCTCATCAGAAGTCTTCGTGGCCAGCGTGTCCTCTGCTAATACCGGCCGATCAGGACGCCTTGCAGTTGGCTGTTTTAGGCCGAAAGATCAGTATACAGCTCTTACTATAATATCAAGACTTTACTTGCACCGCCATCTACCGTCATAATGAGTCCTGTGATCCCTCTAGCTTCTTTGCACATAATCACGGTGGCTAGACTCATCATAACCAGCCAACAAGAATCTGCACATATCTGACATGCAGATATCACCATAACCAACACTTCACGCCGTCCGCACCGTACCCAGCAGATTCTGCTCAATCCTCCCCTGTCTCGTCTCCCCCGGCATCCCAACACCACGGCTCCTCACCAATGGCGTATAAACCATCCTAGGGGCAACGCAGTTGGGACGGATTATCCCCCGATCACATAATGCATCGCCATAGCCCTCGCAATCTGGACGATCGCAACCTTGGTCGTGGCGTAGAGCAGGCTTGGGTTACTGCCTAGCATCCCGCTCACCGACGACATGTTTACTATGATGCCGCGCCCGGCCTTGTGCATCTCGGAGATGGCGTACCGGCACATGTAGACCATGCTGGTTGTCAGGGCCATGGGCTGAACGCCCGTAGGACCAACCAGTGGGTCCGTGCACTCTGCTTACTGCAATGGCGCTGGCAGGGCATTTCTTATAGTAAATCAGGCCCCAAATAGTTGGTTAGAAACTTACAGTAATAAATTATATTATAGTAATTTAATATCTTATACTTATTCCTTTAAAAGTACCATTTTATTTAATTTATTAATAAAGATATTTATACTTAAAAGTCCTTAATACTTTTAATTATTTTAATATAAAGATTAATTATTAAAGTCTTATTTTATAATACTCTTTTATTGTATAATATTTCTCTCCCCTTCTTTACTTTATACCCTTTACTCTCTACCTTCTAGCTAGTAAGCTCTACTTTAAAAGGTTTAAAGATCTTTATTATTATTAATTATAAGGAAGGAAAGGAGTAAAGTAAGTAGGTTTATAGTAAAGTACTCTCCTTATTAAATTATAAGGAAAATATATCTAGAAGAAGTGTAATATATTAGATTATTATAATATACTATATTGTTATATATTTTAGACTAATTATAAAAGTTCCTTGAAAGCGCTATTATAGTATCTTATTAGCCTAAGTGGCCTCCATACCTCTCGCGATGCAGGATTGTAGCTTTGCTGCCTCCCCCATACTATTCCTTAGGCAACTCTAGTTTTGAATTAACAATTCTTTGTAGACAATTTGAGCCTTCTTTTGCTATAGGTTGCGAGGACTGTCTTACTGGTCATGTTGATGTGTTGTGTCTTGTTGTGACTCGGGTAATCCTTGTTGTACTTATAACACCTCTATTAAGGTTGTGAGGTAGGGAGGTAGGCAGCCCTGTAGGTGGGTAAGTAAGGAGGTTGAAGGTATAAATGTAGAGAAGTAAGGAGGTAGGTAGGATATAAGGAGGAGGTAAGGAGTTACGTAAAATAATAGTATTTTAAGTTATTAAAATATATAAATTTTATTAAAAAGAATTTTATAATTTATTTATTATATTAAATTATAATTTATATATTAAAACTTTAAATATTAATTTTAAAAATATAGTTTTTATTTTAAAACTATTCTTTTTATATATTATATAAGTTTTTATAGTAGTTATAGTTAAACTAGGTTTTTAATAGCTTTATATAATAAAGAAGACCTATAAATATATTGCGGGTTTTGGTCGTTACGCAATTCTGGCACCTTACCAAGGTACTGCGCCATCTGACTAAGCGGGGACCGAAACGACCTCGGGAGTAAATCCCCAGTCCCGCCTATATCTTCATTCACGAGTCACGAGCTAGCCAGTAGTCAAACCATTCCACGATGCCCCGTAAGCTTTGTTCCCTAACCCATTCTGCAACATCGTCAGCCATATAATAAAACTGCTCAAGTGTTCCCCAACAGATTGCCACCCTGGGTTGATTGTGAGACCACTTACTCTCATAAGGATCATCCTGCTTGCTACGCAAAGCGAATCCGTGCTCAACTCCGGTGAAGACCTGCAGATGATACTGCTTCTTATCGGCGATGAGAATGTCCACCGCCTTTCGCCGAGACTCAGCGCCGAAAGTAACGTCGGTGTCCGCACAGGAGAGGAACAATGGTCCTTGTTTAAAAGTGTCAATGAGGTTTCACGTGGGTTGGGGGCAAGTTGTCTCACTCTTGAGCTTCGCAAAGTGACTGTCTGTCAAGAAGGCCGGGTGGGCGAAGGCTCCAACGCTGGCGATACCGCCTTCGACGAGCTGGTCGCACACATACGGCGCACCGAAGCAGTATCTGAACAGTTAGCTGCGTTAAACAGCCTGAAAGAAGAATCTCAGACTGGGTACTTACCCAACACTTGCATATTTTGTTCCGGTCTTCCCGTACTTGGTCTTGACTGCGTCCACCCATCTTGGGACGGCCTCATCCGCAAATTCCTGGTGCTTCTTTATCCACGCGTAGAAATCGAAGCCTGGATCTGTCGTCGTGTCATTGGCGTCCTTGCGGTGCTTCCATATAGCATCGCCTCTGAAGTAGTCGAGACCAAGGGTCAGATACCCAGCGCTGGCGAAGCAATCCATGACAAGCTGACCGTTCGTAAAAAGTGCGAAGACATCGGGATGGTAGAGAACAATGTTTCCGTTTGCCTTTCCTGCAGGTGGGTGCACGACGTAGGTGTCTATCCCGTCGATGGTCTCGTGTGCCCCGCGCGGCTCGCCATCGTGCAGGTGCCCGGTGATGCAGCAGTCGCCGCACGGCTTGGCCAGGTAATTTTCCTGAGCGGCCTGGTTCGTCATTGTACTTGAATTCTTCGGCTTGTATTTGAAATCGATCTGTCACAAGCTCATGTTATCGACATTCAGTTCTGACTGTGGAGGATTGAACATTTATTAAGCTAGTCCTACCCCTCATGACGAGAGAGTCGTTCCGCGAGTCGTTCCGGGAGCCGTTCCGAGAGTCGTTCCGAGGTTAGAATGCACCGCCCGCGGGATGTTTCGTAATTAAAGTTTGATGGCGTGTGGAGAAGCCGGGGGTTACGCACCAAGATCGTCGTCTATGAATCCCGCTGTCGAAGTTGTGTGGTGCACGTTTGATGTGTTAAGACTTGGTTGAAGGATTGCCCACAACTTTTTCAGAGTACGTAGGTAGGTGGACGCCATTTGACTTCGTGAAGTTCGTCTGAGCCAAAACTACATCAATTTCCTGAAGAAGACCAGAAAAAACACAGGTTTTCTAGCCGAGTAAACATGGACGTAGCGCAGGTATGCTTCGTACCAAGTTCTCATTAAGATGATAATCACGACCAAAACGATGACGCTGTGCCTCGTAGAGTTCCCCAGTACCCACGAATTTAGTCGTTTTGAATTAACTATCGGATCAGCTGAAACTAATTACAAGAGTTCGGATCGCTTATGCTTTTTGGTATGAAATGTTCATGATCGATTTTCTCCTCTAATCACTGCCAGGTGTGTGCTGAAGGACAGCTCCAACGAGAACGAAAAGCTCAGTTATTGGCATCCCGTGGAAAGAAACAAAGACGACCCCAGCTGTCCCAGACAAATAGTCAAAGTGACTCGGAGGTCAAACAACTTTCAATGTGTGCACATGTGTGGTGATTCGTGTCTGGTGAAGAAGTGAGATATTGGGGGTGGAGGAATGCAGAGTTGATACAAGGCCTTTTCCATCGCACGGTGAAGGTCCAGGGTGGAAGGTAATAGAATGTTTCATATTTTCAGCCCGCTGCGTATTTGTTAGACCCCTTTCATTCTAAGAAAATCTGAGAGTCACGAAGGCAGATCAGTCCTCACAGAGTATCGAAAACTGTGCCATTAAAGCTGGATACGTGATAGCTCGTAGCAGCCCTGCTTGCAATACATCATGTCCGCGATAGGATCGTCTGTGTACGAAGGGTCATAAGCTCGCGGCACCGTGTTATTGGAACCAAGGATGCGTGAAATCATCGCCTTGGTGCACGACCGTATACAATCTTGAGGGAATGAGTGCTTAGCAACCAGGTTCATAGCTAAAGCTGATGCGACGAAGATAATGATTGTCGCCTTCATTTTTGGCATTCTTGTTGCTCTGTCTTAGGAGTTGGGTGTTCACTGTTAGGCCTTCGGCATGCCGCTATCGTTCACGTATTCGTCAAAGTCGTGTGCCTCTTAATTCCGAGTGGGAGCCTCTCCTTGAGATTCACACAAGCCCATAATATATAGCAATTTGCATGCATTGTGAGATATGTAGGGATGTGATATGAAGTGATGCCTACGTGGAGTCCCACTTCGAACAAAGAGCTTGCAGGTTTTGAAACGTCAGAAAGGTGGTTTCGTTTTCAATCCCCATACATGTAAAATGTACGTGGCGCCTTCATACAGTGGTAAACGCTCAAGACCCAGCGTTTGAAAAACGTCAGAAAGATTGCTTTCATTGAAAGCAAGTCTGCAGGAGCAGCGATGGCGCAAAATGACGTGGCAGGCTCAATTTGATACTCGGTACAATTCTCACGTGCATGACGAATAACACAGGTGGGAGGCATGACTTTGCTTGTTACAGATAGCGGCATTCAACATGATATAGAAATTCTCTTGTTATATTTACTGATTAGGCTGCCTGTTGCAACTTTACACGACACACAGGAATCGTGGAACGCATTTTCTAGCCCTCACATCAATATTTGTCTTAGAATAAAATTTGCTATAGGTTGTTTTCCTCTCGTCTTATTGGCGGTTCACGGGTAGTCGAGCCCCCACCCGCCACCCGACATCTCCCTTCCAGCACTAACACGGCGCATCTCCCGAGCTGGGGATGCCCAGGTCGCTCAATGAGCCAGCGCCCGGTAGCGACCTTCTAGGACGGTCCTGAACCATGCGCGAGGCGTCCACCCGCTCCCGCCGTGAAATCCCACCCCCAAGCGATTGTGACATACCGTTGGTCGTGAACAAAGATTTCACCACAGTCCTGGAGCTCTGCTCCCGGATGATGTCGATGAGCTGCGTCAGGACCTTCCGGGTGGCCCTACCATCTACGGCATCGAGGCCGTGGATGACGATGACCATGCTAGGAGGTGCGAAGCTCAGCAAAAGTCGCAGCGTGTCCAGTGCAGGGGCCGTGCTGGCCCACGAGCCATCCAGCCTCGCGAAGTATGCGTCGTCTAGCGTCTCCGCGGTCTCAATCACAGATTCCATCTGAAGTATGCTCTGGTTGATCAACGCATACAGGAGGCATATAACACCAGATTCCTTGAAGTCAAGCCTGTGCGGGTTGTGATACTTTTCCTGGTCGAAGAACGAGATGCATGGTATACCTACCTTGTCCAGGACAGCCAGCACACGAATGGCGGTTGGCGAAAGGTCGCAGGGGGATACTGGGCCCTCGACCCATAGGAAGGCGGATTTGTCACCCTGGAGCCACTCTTGGATGTCGCTGACCACTTCGCTAGGCAGTGATGTCCCGGAGTCTTGGGAAAATTCGATTGCCTCTTTCACACCATTATTAACATAGGGCTCGATTGAGACTGTGAATCCCTCGATTTCCGCGCGGGCGTAATGTTTGAGGGCGTTGTCTGATTACATTCATCTCAGCACGTGGACTATGTCTATCATCCCATGGTCATACTTACATGACTCGCTGTGTCTTTCTTCCTCGCCGCTGCTGAGATCTGATGTAGCGGTAGAAGTCTGCGCCTCAAGACTTCTTGCAACAAGTCGTTCCTGCGACTGCGGCACTGGGACTTCGGGGTGAGCGTTTCGTCTGATGGCTAACATAAGGATATCTTTTGTGAATACCCATCAGCTTCAAGTAATACTTGTCGGGGGACTACAATGCTCTTTTCTCCTCTTGTTAGGATGACCATGGGGTGTGCGTAGGACTTGTAATCTCATTAGGATACAAAGGGACAGTCAAAAACAATCGCTGTGACGACTGGTAGGTGCTGATGGCATCTCATTTTACTTTTGGGACCAGGCCGTCAGGACGGGATGTCCGTGGTTGTGGGGCCAGGCCAGAATTTGTGGTTGCCTAAAGAAATGTTGCTGGTCCGGACTTCGGGGAAAAAATGAAATCGATACATACCATGGTCATGTTGCTCCTCTGTCGCAGTGAGGCAGTAAGTTACATTGTAACCAAGCTGCGAGAATGCTTTTGAAGCACGGTCGAAGATAGGTGTTCGATCAGAAGCATCCTGCCTTCGGGATCTATCCGCAGCGGTCTTCGACTTTTCGCTTGGGGTGAGATTGTTTCCTATTTCCAGTAGGTCTCTCACTCCATCCAGGGTCTCTCGGTTGATTTCGCGGTTGACTTTCTTGGCCAATTGCTCGATCTCGTCAATGTGTGCCTTGATGTGGTCATCATAAAAGCTGCTCTGCACGGACGAACTCAATCTGTTCCATCTGCTCGTTTGCCAACGCATCATGTAACAGAGGAATTTGAAAACCTCGACATAGGCATCACAGATGGCCTTTCGAAGAAGTGGAGTGTTGAGAGTGTTCTTGCTGCGAGATAGGAACGCTAGGTTGTCTCCTATGCTTTTGAGGCCTCTTGTGAATGCTTCTCCGACCCTTTTATGGTTCGCACAAGCCTAGGACGATTAACACCTTTTCGGATCGTTGAAGATATCGGTAAAAGAGTACGTACCAATACGATGGTGGAAACGATTCCGCTGAGTAGACTAGTGTAGATGTTTTCACTAGGAAAGATACTGAACAAAGCCTTGTGTCCATTCAGACTCTCAGCAAATGCCAACGCGTTGGCTTTAAATTTTCCCCAGCCTTCTTGAGATCTGTCCGTCCGAGCACTGCCCAAGTGTTGTACCACACGCTGTAATGTGTCGATTGTGGGCGGATGGAACTCGTCAACTAGCGAAATATCTGTCTTGTGAAGGGCGCGTTTGATAACGGAATTCTTGCAGAACTCCTTCCAGACACCTGTCACCTCTTGGCATTGTCTTAACAAGGAATCATCGTCCTTGCTTAAATTTGAAACACGTCCAATTCAGTTTGATATCTGGCGTTTCCCGTGTTGGAAGGTCTGGCTTACGTCTCGAACTCAGCGCAGAGAGACTGCTGCCACCACCTTCGCCATTTCTCTCGTTCCCTTGTCACATTGATTTGCTCCTGCTCCTCCTTTTCGACATGGGCAGCTAATGCCTGTGCCGTGTCAGTAGTCGCTTTGCTGTCTTTGACCATGGCGGAGAATGCTTTGATCCGTTCCGAAGTCTTTCCTTCATGTGATGTGCCAGCCATAGTTGGTGACGGATGTTGAATCAATTCGGATGTTTCTCGAAGCCGTTGACAGAAATCGAAGGAGGGATTCTGACACAGCTGTCCATTTAGTGAGGGGCGTAATCGTCAGCGCAAAGAAGCCTGAAAAGGGATCGGAATAGATAGGGGATTAGTGCCTTGTCAGGCGAGTATGAATGGGGTTGCACATACTACTGTAGACATGTGCCCGGGGTGCAGCTCGGTCTAATAGCTCGGCGCAGTAAGCATCCCAACTGTGTGCCCCTGGCATTCAGATACGGCGATTGAGAAGCAGGCTGAGCCTTGGCAGAATAAATGGCGCTTTCGGCATACCGATTCAGTCCAATCATGACTGTCATCTTTATTACCATCGTTAGCTCTTGCACGTTTTCAATGTATGTGGCGCATGGAAAGGAGCCTTGGTGCTATTGATAGGCTGTGGGTTCCGGCCAGCTATGTTGTACAACATGCCGAGCTCAAAGCCCAGACAAAATTGTGCCGATCCATAAATGTTCATTGTACTTCCATGCAAATACATAAACCATACTATTTCTCAGGTAATCGATACCTGGATTCCTGAAGATGGTGGTTGTCCACGAAACCTTGGCACTTAAACCGGGCCCGCGCAGTCAGCACGCGCCCTCAAATGGTGGTCCTCGGCGCTGACCTTTCTACTGATTTATCCACATGTCTCTTGCTTCTTTTGTTGCCAATTTTTGAAATTTGTGGAGGTTTCATAATCTTCCAAGCATCTCAATCGCGCGAAATAGCGGTCTCTCGCAACAGCTCTCAACCCCATGATGTCCATAGCATCCTCGAACCCGGAAATATTGCACCGTCTGTCTACTGACGTGGAACCATCGTCCAGCATTGACTCCGCCGTAGCGATGTCTACACTTACCGAAGAGTTCAAGGCATCCAAGTCCGCAGGAGAAGAGTCTGAAAATGAGACTCAAACGGAGCATCAACATGAAGAGTCCAGCGACCATAGTAGCTCCGAGAAGCGGTTGACTGAACAGGATCCAAAAGATGAGGGGGGAGACGGGGAACCTTTGGAAGAAAGCCAGATCAATGTTCAGAAAAGGGGAGACAGAGAGGTCCCAAGTGTCGAAGCTGTCTCACAGCTGGTGAAAGCTATTCAGCGGATCCTTCAAGGCAGCTCCACGAAAATCACTTTCGACATTAAAGACGGATCCGAAGAAAATGGCAAAGGAGAGCAGTTCGATGATGAAGAAGAGGAAGGTGAGGGAGAGGATGGCGAAACAGGTGCAGGTCAGTCTCTTTATTTCAAGGCTGTCAGTGTGTGTCTAACAACTCAGAAGAGAAAGGATGTCAATGTCCGGCATGTATCCACGAAAGAAAACACCCCCACAAACGGATGTCTCATGCCGTCGAATTCCTTGACGATGAAAATGAGTCCATCGTAACAAGGCAACGGAAGAATGCTTTCGACCTCAATAAGCAAACAAAACGCCTCAGTCCACAAGGACCATCGACAGCATTCACCGTAACAACTGTTCTCTCCACCTCGATTCCTTCGCATTGGAACCGATATTATCCTAATGGGGCCCAAGAGTGGATCACAGACTGGCTGAGGGGAAAAAGAACCATCCATCCCGATTTTCGCACGATCAAGCTGACCATCACATCCCCGGCTATCACTGGGGCGCTGAGGAGCGTCATCCTATATTACCCGGATCTTGTCTTGCGCAGCGATCTGCTATCTCTAGCGTCCCCATTCAGTGCAATTGCTCAACATATGGAAAAGCTACAAGAATACTACGATGAGCTTGTGAGCCGGGACGACCCTGACAACGGAGCCAATGCAGAGGGTTCTCAAGAACCCGAATATCCGCCCGACCATCAGAGTGCGTCAACGCTTTGCAACCAGAAATCAGCTGAGCATCTTGGCGCAATCCTTGACTACCTCAAGAGCTCATGCGGTGATAGAATTCGTGCAGAAGAAACTCTCAACAAACAGGGCCTCTGCACGTTTGCCATGCTTTGGCTCATATTCAAACCTGGCACCACAGTGTATGTGCGGACTCGCCACGAAGGCCTCCCTTCAGCAATGGTCGTCAAGTCCGTTGAGACAGACCCCGGTATTATGTTTCGAAACGATAACGAGCGCAAACCCTACAAGCTACATTTATGGTACCTTGACTTCGATGGTCGCAAAGTCGGACGACGTCTGCATGAGATGGAGTTGGCCCAATTTCACGGCGAAAAAGAGCTAACATCCCTGGAGGTCTTCCCATCGCATTTCTTAGATGATTCTGATAACTTTGAGACTAGAGCCAAGGTAGTCGAACGAGGGAGAAAGTGGTTCCAGCTTCTGAAGGGAAAGATGGTTCAGTACCAGGGGCAGTTCATGGACGATACGCTCTCCAGACCGGTATGACAAGCACATGATGGACAAATGCAAGAAAACACTTTGATTGATCAATTTCACAGTTCGAGGGTAGGGCGTATGTGGACAGCACATCCTACTGGCGCCTTCAAGAAGATACAAGTGATGAACGTCCGTGTCTTGGAGACGTTGATAGAGATTCATCTAACATAGGTGGATGCGCCTGTTCTGTATGTACAGGCAACATGTCTGACACGCAACGGCTGAGGCTCCAAATCTGGAAGTCCTACGACGACATTGACCCTTTTGAGACCAAATCACTTGATCTCAAAGATGATAATACTATTCCAAGTTTAAGGATTGATAAAGAGCACCGCTACTTGATCTGTACACCCATGCTAGGAGGACTGGCTCTCAAAATACGAACATGGGAGAAGCTTGATGCAGGCTGTTGCTCAAACATTGAGCCAATGACCAAAGCAATCGAGAACCTGGTAATGAGCGAGGCAAGGAAAGACATGATCAAAGCCCTGCTGCACAATTACTCCACAGCCTCAGGCAGTTCCAGCCAGGCTCCGGCCACTTGGAGCGCGGATCTTATTGAGGGAAAAGGTGACGGAAGGATATTTCTGCTACATGGACCACCAGGTGTCGGAAAGACCTATACGGCGGAGTGTATTGCCGAATACACCGGCCGACCATTGATCTCACTTACGTGTGGAGACATCGGCACAGAGGAATCAGAAGTAGAAGACCACCTCTCGGAGTGGTTTTCTCTGGGTGAAAAATGGGGGGCGGTCATGCTCATTGATGAAGCCGACATTTATCTCGAAGCCAGGAAACCAGGGGACTTGAAGAGAAATGGCCTCGTATCAGGTAAATTTAAACAGCCCCTTGGGTTTGGACAACGAGTTTCTGATCTGTGTTCCTCAGTTTTCCTGCGAGCAGTGGAGTATTACAAGGGTATTCTCTTCCTCACCACTAATCGCGTGGGACAATTCGACGACGCCTTCATTTCCCGAATCCACGTGGTCCTGCGCTACGAGAATCTCAAACTGGAGGATCGGAAGAGAATCTGGGAAGGCTTCTTCGAGAAGCTGCAGAGGGAGAGGGGCAGCCAGCTCAAGGTAACCAGGCGCGCCAAGCAGTACATATTTGAGGACAGGGAGATGACCGCCATTCCTTGGAACGGACGTGAAATTCGCAATGGTATGTTCCTTGCATTCCGCTACACTCATTGAACACTTTACTGATCACATACTCTGTGAATATAGCTTTCCAGACTGCTGTCGCCCTTGCGCAGTACCAATTCGCTATGCAGGAAGACAAGGAGGAAGGGGAAAGGGCCATGCTAGACCGGGAGCATTTCGAAGAGGTCTGTGCCATGACCACACATTTCAAGAATTACCTCAAAAGAGTACACAAGGAGGATGAACAAGACCGTGCCATTCGAGCGAAGAACCGAAACGACGAGGACGAAGAATAAAGAACCATCGCACAGTTCCCTTCTTGTACACATCTTGGACGATACGGGCCTGATGTACTGCTACCTACAAATGCCTGAGATGCAACGATACATTCGCGTCTTGTAGGCGGCACGCTTCTATTACTGGGTATAGGAAATCTCCAGGTCCCCTCATTTGAAGTATACGGCCTCGGGCTTGTGCACACAGATCTTGCCAGACTTGTTGCTCTTCAACACAAGCCGTGGGTCATCCTCGCTCGCCTTGACGCTTTTCCCATCTACCTCCTTCTCCTCCCGCAGGATCTCGACGACCTCGCCATCCACAAAGCCTGGTAGCGCCTTCCACTCAACCTGCTGGCCCACCTCTGGCAGCCTCTCCGCTGAGCCCTGCGTTTCAGGGTCCCGCGGCTCATCATGCTTCGAGCCGACTTTGCCCTCCCCTTCAGCGCCATTTGTTTCCGGTTTGTCGGCTTCGCCATTCTTGTCTGCTGACTCCTTCTGTTTCTTGTTTGGTGTCGCCTCAGGGTCGTCTTCGTACTCGCGTTTCGTTCCGCGCGGTTTGTCTTTGTCGTCGTCGTCTTCATCCTCGACAGAGACTTCGCTCTCGATGTCTTCGTTTAAATCTCCACCTGAGTCGTAAACTTCATCGACCTCGGCCTGTTGGTCCTCGTTCGCTTCCGCGGGTTCCTCGTTGTCCACTTCATCGTCTGCCAAGACCTCCTTCACGTCTTCAGGGTCCGGCTCCTGAGCTTCGCCACTAGCACCGTCCTCTCCTGCTTCGTCGGGGACGAATTCCTCATCTTGTGCCGCGTCATGGTCATCCGCGACACCTTTGCCCTTGACCTCCGAGTCGGACATATTGGATGGATTTGAAATTTCTGGTTTTTCGATTCCCTCGCAGCAATGCTATGATTGATGAAGTCTGATACCTCCCCGGGTCGTGATGAGGTGCTATTGATGTGCATGGGACCGGAGGCCAGAGCCTGAGGGCTGGGAGCTGGCGCTCTGTTCTACATATCAGCTGCCGAGCTCAGGTGCTTGACGTCAATTCGCAACCACAAACCCCTGAGGAGTTCCGGTCTCAGAATAGCTCCTGTGGAAGCTCCGATGCGTCATTGCCGAGGGGGCTGGGGTCGGGGACCCAAAGCACGCCGACTAGGCGACTAGCTTCAAGCTATTGTGCAGCAATGGCAGGGCACGGGCGACGCGGTCATCAGCGGGCATGGCCTAGGCCTCCCGGATTTGTGCAGCCGGTCTGCAAATCCGTCAAGTGCCAAGCCTGCCGCATTTACAATTGGCCGCGTTGGAGCTGTAACGACATGTTGGAAATAGTAGCCTATGTCTTGAGGAATGGGCACTTGGTACGTGCAATCCCCCATGGCGTGTGCAGTAGACTCGCTCAGTATCACGCCAGTTCGTAGAAGCAGGTATAACTATCCATATTGTGATCAGCAAAGGAAGAGGGCGGGACGAGGATAGGGAATAGGACAGTATTAACCTAGCAGACCAGTCGATCGTTTACTGAAGAAAAATCAACCAGACCTAGATCCGAAAGACAGGCCCTCTGCTTCTTTGGGCTCTGGAATATTGTGAACTGTCCACCAATTTGATTCTGTGAAGGCCTCGGAACTCTTTTAACGTTGTCAACCGTTATGAGTATTACGAGCTTTAACTTAAAGCGATGAACATATGATTTGGACGATTTGAGATGGGTTTGTCCTTCGAACTCCATAACTATAACTACACCTAGCCAGACCTGTGTCGACATTCTACAATGCTTTTTCAGCAAGCTCCTCGTATTCTGGAAGCTTCCAGTCATCCTTGCCGTCCTCTGGGATAATCCAAGTCGCCAGAGACATCAACCGCGTGACCGTCACCAGCTTGAGGATCAGATTAAGAACGGCAACCCCGAACCACGAAGAAGGCCAAAGGTCCCAGGCAACCGACCCCTCAACAACTCCCTCCTGAACCCGAGTCATAAATGGCCTCAACTTCCGGTCGTACTCCTTGAGCGCGACGGCGAGGCCGTCCTTGCCACCAGCCTTCCCACAGTGCCTCGCAATCTCGCCTGCCAGGATATAGGTGCCCACGATGGCAGACGTAGTCCCCATCCCTGTCATGGCAGATGGGCAGTGGGCGGCATCCCCAGCGAGGACGACCCGCCCGCGGGACCACGAGTCGAGCTTGACGACGCCGAGGCGCTCGAGGTAGAAGTCGTCTGACGCCTCCATCCCCTTGATCAGCTCTTCTGTCCTCCAGCCGGCGCCGCGGAAGATATCGGCCATGGCTGCCTTCTCGGCCGCAACACCGCCCCGGTGCGCCTCTTTCAGCCGGCCCGTGGCGGCATCCTTCAGCACCAGCAGGTATGCTTGCATCCGGTGCGGATCACTGCCCCTCTTCATCATCATCCGATTGCCCGCCGCCATGTAAGCGGTGGCGTCGTATGTCTCGTCCCCCTTCGCCGCACGCGGCATGGTGTAGTAAGCGATGAAAACGTTGTGGCGGAGGAAGTGCATCGGGTCTGGTGCATCCCGTTCGAGCATCATGTTTCGGGTGCGCGACCACTGGCCATCAGCGCCGACAAGACTGGGACAGGTTAGCATTGACATTGCCTTGGACCTCCGACGCGATACATTGCTGGCAAATGGTCGGTGTAGCAAGAACACCTACAGGTCGAAATGCTCGCTCGTCCCATCCGAGAAGACAACCTCAACGCCGTCACCCTTGTCCTGGTAGCTCTCGATCGAGATCCCAAACCTGAAAGTTGCCCTTGACGCATCGTATAGCATCTTTGTGAGGTCACCTCGCATGATCTCGTAGTCGGATGTAAAACTCTGTGCCCCCTTTCCGCTCGTGTTGGCTGGGAAGTACGCGCACTGCTTTCCGGAGCTCGACACGAACTCGATGCCCTTTTCCTCGGCCGCGTGCGCACGGAATTGCTCCTCGAGTCCCATGCGTTTCAGGACTTCGATGCCGGCCCCGCGCAGGTCGACCTGCAGCCCCGTTGCTCGCAGGTCCGGGAAGCGCTCCACCACCGTAACGTCGTGGTTGGCTTTAGAAAGCCAGAAGGCCAGGGCGTTTCCTGCTATGCCACCGCCACAGATGAGAACTTTTAGTTGCAGCATTTTCGAAATGGTTCACGGATTGTCAAACGATCGATACCGATAGATCGAGGAGGATTTGAGCCTCAGACGGTGTTCTATTGCGGTGCGTGTTGACAGTAGTTCGGCATTGCAAAAGCCCACGGTGGCCATACTCTTTATACACGGCCAACACAACTATGGGCATCCCGAAGGTTATCTGTCTCTCAGCTTTACCAGTACCAATGCGCTGCGCTATTGGAGAGTAGCATGCATGGACAGGACAGTGGCCTACAGCAAGCGGGTAATTTATCTCCGCCCCGATTCGGGATCGGGGCCCAATCACGGACTTGACGTAAGACGGCTGAACCGGTGCCGGCAATAAGAATGGTATGTATAAGGGGGACCGGTTGAAAAGTAGTCACTAAGGACTTGGCAGGTAGTCTGCTACTCGGGCTCAACACGAGACACGGGCCCAGACTATCTTTCAGCTCGCCAGTATTTAAACTAGGGTTAGTGACTACTGTTCAACTGTGTGCGCTATGTATGTCCTTGCAGCAAAGAACCAGGGTCTCAGGATTCAGCGATAGGTAACCTGTTGAAAGCTGTATGGTGGAATTGAATGCTGCAGAACATTTGAAGCCAGTTTCATGACTGGTCATGTTAACGCTGTCCCTTTTTCTCCAGAGCGAGGACAAAACTGAGCATGGGAGAGTACCTAGGTAGTCGACGCCGGCACACTGATTCTTGCATTTCCTGAGAGATCACATATGCAGAGCTTCCTACTCATAAAAAGGGAGGGCGCACCCAAGCCCCATAAGACAACCTCCTACAGCACAACGTCCTAAGGACCACTAGTTAAGTATTAATCTTTAATCTCTAGGTTGTTCTGTATCTTCCTAATCTCTTATTTACTATACTTCCTTAACTAGACATACAGGTACTCTCCTCTGAGATCCACCTTGAGCATATTGATGTGAATTGTTGACATGAAAACTAACAGTGCAAACTTCACATGGGCGTAAATGGCACTCCGTTTTTTCTCGAGATTCTGCAGCGGTCTCACGCTGCTACGGAAGCTGCCCCAGGGTTCAGATTGCAAACACCGAATAAAGTTATCAGATCGAGCTAACAAGCCCCCTGGTTGAGAATTGTGGAAGCTCTAGCCGACGGGCTCGCCAGGGCGGGCAGCTGATGACGACGCCCAGACGCGGGAGGCCGGGGCGGATCCGAAAGCGAGGAGCCGGTGGAGCAAAATGCCGAATCACCTCATACGGGCCTCTGAATTCACCGATTATCGGCAGTCGGCCGACCTTCAACTTTTCCGCCGTCCCTGACATAGCACAAGCAACACCGTCGACATCCATATGGAGTTCCTAGTATGCGCAAGGAGATAATTGACCCAGCATGAACGAACAGGGAGCGGACGGCGGCAAGGGGGTGGACAAGATCACTCAAGCAGATATGTCCGCTGGATCGGTCGACACCGCCACGGCCTGCGCAGGTGCCACCACCGAGGCCGCACCCGGCCCCGGAGACGCACAACGTCCGAGTACCACCACGCCCGCAGCCATGAACATCGCATCAGCCAGCTCCACGCCAGGCCACCACCTGCTGAGCGAAGCCGCCGACGACAACGACCCGGCCGTGACCCCCAGCAGCGTCCCCAGGTCCCTGGGGCTGAGGCTGTACGTGTCCCACTTCCTGTCGACGTGGAACTCGCGCGTCTTCGAGTTCGGCGCCGCCCTGTTCCTGACGTCCATCTTCCCGGGGACCCTCCTGCCCGTCTCCGTCTACTCGCTCGTCCGGAACGCCGGCTGCATCGTCTTTGCGCAGCCGGTGGGCAGCTGGATCAACAGGGGCAACCGGCTCAGCCTCATCCGGGCGAGCATCGTCGGCCAGAGGGTCCCCGTCGCGGCGAGCTGTGCCCTGCTGCTCATGCTCCTGGTGAGGAGGGACGAGCTGGGGTCTGGGAGGAACGGCGGCGTGTTTGCTGTCATTGTCTTGCTGGCCGTGTTGGAGAAGCTCTCGGCGACTATGAACCTGATCTCGGTGGAGAGGGACTGGGTAGGCTGCCTCGAGTGCTGATTGTATCGGCCGCGTATTTACAAGCGTGGAACAGGTTGTCGTTATTACGGAGAACAATGAAGTTGCCCGTCGAAGTCAGCATCCACCATCTTTTGTCCAGGCTAACAACTTGTGATGCTGACATTGCACAGAAATGAACGCTCGCATGCGCCGCATCGACCTTTTCTGCAAGCTGATGGGGCCACTGACCGTGTCTCTTGTCGCGATAGCCTCCACGGAGGTCGCCATCTGGACAACCCTCGGCATGAACATGGCCTCCGTCGTCGTCGAATACGTCGCCATTGAGCAGGTCTACAGGCGCGTCTCCGGCCTCAAGCGCACCTCCGAGGTTGTTGCTCCCTCGGGCCGTAGAAACTCGGCTGCTTCGACCCAGACCACAGGGGCATACCGCGGGAGTCGCCTGCGGTCCGTGAAGCCCAGGGTGCTGCACGGCATCCGGGGCATCCTCCCCATCGAGTCCCTCCCACTCTACTTCAGCCACCCGGCCTTCCTCGCCTCATTCGCCCTCTCGCTGCTGTACTTCACCGTCCTCTCCTTCTCCGGCCAGATGATCACCTACCTCGCCTCGGTCGGGTATTCCCCGCTGCACATTGGTATCGCCAGGGTCGGCAGCAGCATCTTCGAGATCAGCGCGACATGGGCCGCGCCGTACCTGATGAAGAAGATTGGGGTTGTCCGCGCGGGCATCTGGAGCCTGGCCTGGCAGATGACGTGCCTCGCTGGTGTGCTGGCGTGGTACTTCTCCGACTTCGAGGGCAAGGGCACGAACAGCATCTTCTCGGCTACCGGGCTCGCTGTCGGAGTGGCGTTGAGTCGGATTGGGCTTTGGGGATTCGACTTGTGCGCTCAGAATATCATCCAGGATGTAGGCTCCGTTCCATTTTCCCCTATCCTGTATCCTTGAATGTACACTGGAAGACTAACGCAAGGTGTGGCAGGAGGTCGAGGATGATCATCGTGGCACCTTCTCCGCAGTCGAGGCGTCGTTTCAGAATCTTTTCGAGATCTTGTCATACGTGACGACGATCATCTTCTCACGGCCTGATCAGTTCCAGTGGCCTGTCGTCATCAGCGTTGGTGCCGTTTATGCAGCGGGTGGGCTGTATGCTTACTTCCTCAGAAAGCGCCGTGGGCATTTGTTCCATGCCCCGCGCTGCGTATGCATCAAGGCCTGATTGAAAAATCAAGAAAGGTTTTAAAAGTTGGCTGCATGAATAAAGGGTAGAAAGAATGTTTGCGAGCTTCTCAAGAATAGACTTTATTCACCGGTTTGTTCTAACAGTATCTAGTATTAATTCATACTTTTTAAGTTTATTTTGAGTCGCGTAGTCTTGGTTGAAAAGGCCTCCCAGATGGCGAGGGGGTAGCCCGGATGTGTGTTACCCTCCCAGAGCCTACGATTTCGTATAAGTTCCAAGTACCTCCGACTCAGTCGCCTTCATCCCGAGCACCCAAAGAGCCGGGTCACAGAGACAATGGCGACCCATTGACAAAAGTGTGGCTTTGGGGGAATGGGGAGGATACAATGATAGCGGGGACAAGAAACAGGTGGGGAGGCCGACCCTGACTGTGTTGTTCCACGAGACGGGGATGGGCAGCGACGGCGCCGAGGAGTCTGAGCATGTCTAGGTCTACGTTCCGCGCACCGCGACAGACATCACCATCAGTTGTCTCCAAGGTCCCGGAGTAGTTTTGTCACTTGATCCAATTTCGTTGATATTGCCGCTTTTTCTTTGGCAGTAGCCTTCAAATGCACGGCCTAGGCTATGCGAAACGATATTTACAGGTGGAAGTGAAAGCAGACAGGCATCCCACAAGACAACCCCCCGTGGGACGACTTCTCACAGGACAGCCTCATACACGACAGCGTCCCCATCCCAGCCTCCCCGTCCGAACCTCCTAGTTCCTCGCGTAGCACTTGCTCATCAGGGAGGTGTCCTGCATGGAGTCCGCAGTAGAGCCAGTCGGGGTCAGGGTCAGCACGTAGGAGGCGTCAAAGCCGCCGGCGGCCCAGCCGACGTAGCCCAGGAACACGTCGGCGTTCTGGTTCAGGAAGTCGAACTGCTCGCAGACGTACTTCTCGCACGACGCGGTGTTGCCGCCGCCCGTCTCGGTGAGCATCGCCTGGCGGTTGTTGGCGCGCAGCCACTTGGCCAGGGGCGCGAAGGCGTCGTCGATGTTGTTGGTCGTGCACTCCGCGTTGGTGCCCGAGTTGTCGCTCTGTTTTTGATGTCACATGTCAGAGTCTCATCGATCCAACATGGTCGCCGCCCAATGGTCTGAGGGTAACTTACGTCCAGGTACTTGTGGACATCAAAGAAGATGTTCTTGGTGCTGCCGTCGGGGTTGGTGACCTTGAGCAGGTCGGGCCCGGCCTCGGTGGGCAGCTGGGCGGCGGACGAGTAGGTGCTGCCCGGGATGAGGAGCCAGTTGTCCGGGGCGACCTTGCGGATGGCGGTGACGGCGGCCTGGACCGTGTCGGCCCAGGTGGAGGTGGTCAGGTCGTGTGGCTCGTTCATGATGCCGAAGATGACATTCGGCTCCTTTGCGTATTTGGTCGCCAGAGAGGTCCAGAGGGCAGCGAAGTCTGTAGGTTGTCAGTCAGTCAGTCATTGCGTGGCCCGGGGTTCATGTCCGTGTGGAGCATACCGTCGTTGGATGGGCCACCTTGGCCGATGACCTGTCCATTGAAACGGCCGTAGTTGTGGACATCGAGCACACACTGCCGAGATGCACGTTAGCCGGATGCCCAGGACCCCTTCGTTCATTCGCAGGTGGGCCGCCATGTCCTCTTACCTTCACGCCGAGATCCAAGCAGTCCTGCATCAGCGCATCGTACTTGCCAAAGTTGGTAGCGTCAAGGTCCCCACTGGCAACATTGTTTGTGAGGTACTGCCATCCAACAGGCAGACGGAAGAGGTTCAGGCCGTTGTCCTTCTTGAAGTGCTGCATCTGAGCCGCGCCGAGGCTGGGGACAGTGATGCCATCCTAAAGTGTAGAATCGCTGTGTTAGTCGTGAACAATCACTAAACATAATAATAGTATATGAAACATACCACAGTGCACGTTCCGTCGGTACCGCATCCAAAGTCAAACCCGGCAATGTTGACACCGGCGTAGGCGGTCTGGTTGCCCGTCGGAGTCGGCACGGTCGACGAGCCACCACTGGCACCAGTGGGCTGGGCCGCCATGCTGCTGGCCACGGAAGACGATGCAGCCATGGAAGACGACGCAACCACGGACGAGGACGCAACCACGGACGAGGACGCAACCACGGACGAGGAAGCAACCACGGACGAGGATGCAACCACGGGGACATATGTTTGGACAGCAGCCGTGGTCGAGGTGGGCGCAGGGCCACCGTAGATGGACGACAGGGTCGCCGTGGCCGCCGCGAGGGCACTGCTCAGGGTTGATTTCCTTACGCAAGGCATCTTGTCTTGTTGTTCTTAGTGAGTGGATTGTCTGGTGATGAACGAAGGGTTGCAGACGTTTTTCAAATGATTGTAAGTGACCACAGGTCAGTTGGGGGACAGAAAAGACAGTGAGGGACACAGTCCACAGGTAGAGAGTGAATGAATGTCAGGATGACTGCTGTTTGGAAGAGCTGCCGTTCTCACAGACAGTCACGACACATCGGAGGAGGATGGATCGTGCCTTTTAATTATGCCAAGGCACATGGCAGGATGCACACAAGCTTCGCCGAGACGGGCGCCAACGGTCAGGAGAGGGGGCGATTGACCCACCTCTCCCTCTCTCGTCCGGGGCGGCGGGCCCCACTGCAATAAGTTAATTGCCTGACCGGGTTCGAGGGTGGGCCGTTTGTAGACTCCATCCCAGCAATCGGGATGAGGCAACGGTGAGCGAGTGCTGTGAGTGAGTGAGCCATTTACCCAGGGGGCCGGATCGGCCGGGCTCCGGACATTCACTTGAGCGATTTCAGTCCAGGTGTGGACATGAGGGCGGCCACCTTGCGGTGTTCTTCTGTTCTTGGACTCAGACCGGAGGACCGGCCCACACTTCATGACAGAGCGATCCTGGGGATCCTTGACCCACCGGATGGGGAATCTTGGGTCAATTTGACACCTGATCGACTTGTGCAGATGCTTCGACGGGCTCTTGCGACCCCGGCGCCGATCAGCCTGTTTTGTTTCAAGGGATTGTTCGGGCCCCATCCCGACTTTGCAACGGCACAGATAACGCTGAAAGGGGGAGCAGGAACCAGATCCTCATCTCGTCTCGTAGTGTGGCAGTGAGCACTCCATCACCGTTGCAATTTCAAACCTCAAGTGCGGCGCGGGCTAAGCTCGGTGCTAGCACCGGATGTCGGGTACCATCCCATGCCATTTGTCGATCTAGAAGCATCCAGACATCCCAACCGTCATTTTACTGCTACAGTAGAACATGGCATACCATCTGAAACCGGCCTGGCGCCAATTTCCGGGTCGAGCTTACGTCGTTGGACGGAAATAATGAGCTAGGCCTCATGTGCTGACTCGACAAATCCTCCGAAGCGATCCTCCAATGCGGATTTCGGACTTGTGCTCGAATCACTCTCATGATTTGATCATGATGGATAATTGGTCATCCCCTACCGCCTGTGCCACTCTGCTACATACATTCCAAAACGAGGTTGTTCTACAGGAGATATTCCTCCAACTGAGGCTAAACAGATGGGAAGTGATCCACTCCAAAATACTCAACGACCTCAGAGCTTGATCTCAGGGGTTTATTACATAGGGCTTATAGACGAGGAGAGCATTTTCTCTGCAGAAGTCGGCAATGCGAAAACCGATAATCCAAGCCCTTCTAAGATGTCTGATGTTTCTGTAGATGTGATTTCGGGGATTCAATGTTCAAATTCTGGAATTCCAACGGTAAGGAGGTCTATACATGGAGTGTAACACTAGATCCGACTGTAGTGTGTGCTATTCACCCTATGCATGGCACCATGATAGCGAGATTGATCAAGAATGCAAGTCACCTGCTCTCGAACCTTGACGGCGGTCCCTGCATTTCGTATAACCGCATTCAGGTTTCCCTGTATGGCGGTAAAGACGGATCCTCCCGCAAATTCAAACGAAACAACTCCCGAGAAGGGCTTCCGATGCCATCCCCGTCAGCAAGCGTCACGTCCGCAGCGCCCGCCTTCTCCCAGATCCCCCTCACCGTCTCCACGCCAGACAAGACACCCGCCACCACGTCGCAATAGCTCGCGATCGCCAGGCTGTTCGATTTCCACAGCGGGGCCGCCCGGCCGTGCCTCTGGTTCTCACACATCGTCAGGGCCAGGAACACCACGCCCAGGATAGCAATGAAACAGTGGAGGGATATCCAGGGCCAGGCTATCCGGTAGTACGTTATCGTGTCCCCCCTCTCCCCGGCCACGGCGATCGGGACGCCCTCAAACCAGCCGTCCGCCCCCGCGCGCAGCGCATCGGTCATGCTGGCCGCCAGCGCCGCGAAGGTCGCGTTCAGGTCCGCGTCCAGGTCCGTGCTCGAGAGCAGCGTCCGCATGGCGCCCGGCTCGCACTTGCTGCCCCAGCGCTCAGACCGCTCGCAGTACCCGTTGAACCTCCCCGTCACCGGGGGCGCTTCCCCCACGTTGAAGTGGTTCGTCTTGGCAGAGAACATGGACTGGTAATGATAGCTGATGCTGTCGACCGCGCTCTGGGAGATGTTGAAGCGGGCGCCGGATTTCGGCGAGAGGAGTGCCAGGTCCCAACGGGGTAGTGTCGAGGCAAACTTGTCGAAGGCTATGCTGTTGATTTCAGACTCGGACAGGTGATTTGCGTATCCCTCTGGATATATCTTATTCACATAATGTTCCGGGATTGTCCACGAGCCTGCGGCGCGCGTGGCTTCCTCCACTTGTTTGCTGTCTTCCCGGAGGATGCCGTCGGTTACTGTGATGTTATAGCTTCTGACACAATAGAAGAGTGCGCAATCGATCGCCGACACTGGGAAATGGGGCCATATTGCCATGCTGTCGGTTCTATTCTCGTCGGCGTGTATCGTAGACATGGACCAGATCAGTGCATCCAGTTCTGGGCCGTTTATGGTCTGCGACGTGTTAGGTGTCCCAAGAGTTGCCAGCATGACTGATCCATTCCGAAGTCGGCCTACATCAGGCCTTGCGTTGTTGATATTATCAATATACAAGCCGCTAGGCAGTCGAAACGCCGTAGCCTCGTAGCGGGAGCTCGTGTTGCTTTGGTCATGGAACTGGCTATTATTTGAACTGAGACGCTGGATATCACTTGAGATATTGTTGCATCTATGGCAGACAGCAAGCGACTCAAAGATAGGCCATTTGCAATTTCCAGTGGCGCAATTGAAGTTACCCTGTCGAGCGACACTGCGGTTAGATCGGTCTAGCCCATACAGGACAGCCGACTGGATGGAAAGGTCCGCGTCAACGATGACTGACTCTACCTCTATAACAAGAGTCCTGTCAGTAATTTCGCCGAAGAGGCGATCCCGTTTCTTACACTTGGGTTACCCCAAGATTTCGGCCTCTTTGTGGTTGGACTCACCGAAGACAGACTCGGTCGAGTATTTGAGCGTGCGGGTTCCCTTGTCGAATCGCCCTGCTCTATTCACAGTTATATCTGTACTGTTGGTGTAAACGACTCGGCGTTCGTACTGAATAAGTTGCTGTGTAAATGGATCCGCTGCAATGCTGAGCAGCACGACCAAGGCACCCATGGAGAGATATCCACTACTGTTGTCAACTCAAGGTCTCGGCATAGCCGGGCTGCTATTTGAGGGAATCTCACATGGTCTCCCATTTTCTCATTAGCACCAGGCTCCCCATGGGTCCTCTGCTGGCGCCATCGATTATCTCAAAGTCCACCAGTGGACGACTTGCTCTGGTGAACAAAATCCATTTCCACTGGCTGATGAGCTGCGACACTGCGTATAACAAAGCTGCCTTTGAGGCTGTCGAAAGGACAGATACCACAGTGTTGAGTGTGATCCCTTTCCATTCAAATACGGGTCTCCCATTGTAAACGCTCAAAAGAGAAGAAAGAACGTAAAGTAGTGAGACAGACGTCAGAATACTTGCAGTTTCTGGGAGCCAAACAAACCGCATGGTCAATCGTCAATAGTCGTCTTTGGACAAAGCAATGATGGAGCCAAACCGATGAGGGCCAATTTCAGATAGAGGCGCTGAATCTTGAGGGGGGAGATTTGGCTTATTATGATGTGCGTGGTGTCCAGAAAACTGATCCCAAGAGTCATTTTATTCAGAGTACTCGCATGTCAAACTTGAAGGTCACGCTATAAGGAAAGGTGAAGCTTGAAACTTGGAGAGACGGGATATAGGCTCCGGGTTCTGCCTAAATTCGAAGCGCAGTCTTCTAGGAGCTGAGATGTGATCCCGTTACACGACTTCTGGTGGCGGTGGCGTCTTGCGCAGCGGGCGCTACGTTCAGCAGATCATCGATGGCCGTGGTTACAGTGCAGCTGCGGCATTTTACTGCCGCACGAGATATAAATAATTGACCACCTGGGCAGTGTTGGGGAGGACCAAAATGCAGTCCTGAACTGTCTTGGCTTGGCCCCCACTCACAACCATCAATATTACTTCTGCCTGCCTGGCCTGAAGATGAGGAGTCTTGGGCTGAGCTCGATGCCAGTGCGCCTTACCTTCTCTTCATCCACAGACAGCAATGACGGCAGAATACAAGAGCAGCAGCACAATCACCCACGGACGCACCATGTCAGAACCACAACACAAGCACACAGAGAAAGGTCAGGTCAGATCATGCAAAATCACAAAACTTTTATTTCATCTCGTCTCATCTCAGCTCAGCTCAGCTCATCTCGTCCCCACCAACCGAGCAACAACATCAAGAAGACCAACCCTAGGCACATTTCCAAACTTACTCGTACAGCAAGAACCAGCAACTGGCAAACCCAGCAAGATTCCACACACCATTTTTTTGGTTTCCCCTTTTCCACAACCGTGCCAAGAAAAAAAAACATCAAAACCGTCAGAGCAAATTCACTCGTCATCAAAAAGGGCCTTCTCAGCCGCGACCCTCTCCGTGCCTTCTCCGATGCTGACATCGCCAGCATCCTCCCTGGAAATGGCATCAAGCTCGTTTTCGAGGTCGTCCCAGCCCTCATCGGCATCATCGCCGTCATGCTCCAGGTCAGAAATGTCATCGTCATCCTCGCCATCTTCCTCCTCCGCCGCGTCGCGCTTGCCGCTGGATATCGGCGCCTCCAATACACTCTGCGCCCCGTTCGCGTGGGTCATGAAGAAGGCGTGCTCCGGGTGGAGCGCCTCGATCCTGCCGCGGAGGATGTATCCCATGGGCGTCTGCTGGATGTCAGACTGCCTGCGGTGGGCAAGCCACTCGGACATGAATGCAATGGGGTTGCTTGCAAAGGTCTCCTCCTCCTCGGCTGAGCCGTCCATCTGATCGTCTGCCATGTCTGACATCTTCAGATACTGCGCTACCGCTGCACACTCATCATAGTTGACATAGAGACGTCCTGCAAGGATGCCGAGCTCGACGGTGAACCACCTCGGGAACTGGTAGTCGTCGGGGAGAGGTGGCATATTGTAGAAGGTAAGCCCATTGAAGTTGCGCAGGGTCGCCTTGGTCACCGGGGCGGAGTAGGTGATCAGGTGCACCAGACACCTCGGCCCAGCGCGTCTCATGATCGGGATCAGGAGCTCGGCCTCTTCGGGAATTATGACCAGGGCCGTATCTGTCAGAGCGCTCCACAGGATGTATTCCACCGGCCGGAGAAAGCTGTCTGGGTACTTGTTCTGCCCCTGTTTGCTCAACACAACTGTTCGCGTGAACTCCTTCGATACGAAGAAACGGCTTGACGTCTGCTGCACCTTGAACTTCTGCCCGATGGATGTAGTGCTCAGGAAGGTGAAAGCATGCACGTAGCCTTCGCCACCGAGAAGCTCGCCTCTGTGGACAAAGTGCTTGAAAGCTGCGTGCAGACCGGAGAATGTGAGTGGCTTGAAGACTTTTCGCTTCTGTACCTGGCGAACCTCTTCGACCTGGAATTCCACCTCTCGCTCCTGTTCCACCTCCTCAAGAGCGGAGCTGTGCATGCCGCCTGCACCTGGCTTGCCAGCCATGGACTTTCGCTCAGAGGCAAGCTTGGTCATGAAACCCTTCAAGGCTGGAAAGGCCACCTCTTCTGGTGAGCCCTTGATAGTGGTGTCCGTAACTCGGCCGTACTGCTGGTTTAGAGTCTGCCTCTCCTGCTGCTGGATGACGTTGAGCAACATCATGCGATGCTGGTCCTCGGTGAGGAACTGGTCGTACATCCACTGAGCATTGAGCCGTCGACAGTAGTCCACGCCCTGGGCAAGGTGAAGATTCGCAAGGTGCTCGTTTGCAGAACACGACTGTTCCAACAGCCACTGCACAACATGGCCAGAGTGGATGTGAGCAATGCCAGAGAGCTTGCAGACATCCATGATGCTTTGATGGACCTCCGGGCCGGCGAAGAAGGCAACAGACTGGGTGGTCGCCAGCTGCCGGAGCCTCATCGCAGCCTGCACGGTCTGGTCTTTCGTCTGGCCAAGGGCAAGTGTCAATGCCCCCTTAGCGTTGTGCGGCAGCTTCAGGTCGGTTCCGCGGCAGTGGGCTTCGTCGAGAAATACCACGCAATCTGATAAATCGTCCGCAAAAGGGGTCGCGACCAATGGCACGCTCTTCTTCTTTACTCCTCGATAGAGGACCCTAGTATTGCTGATCAGCATTTGCCCAGTCACGTCTGACCAGACATTTGCGTTCTAAGGATGGGGAGAATCTTACCAGGCGCGGTTGTCGCTCCCAAAGTACACACCAGCTTTAGGTTCTGGGTTGACGTCTAACCACTTGCTCACCAAGGCCCTATTTTCAAGCTCTAGGATGTAAGCTCCAGCATCGATGAGAACCATCATCTTTTCCCTGGTCATCTTCTGCAAAAGCTCCTCCTCCGTAAATCGCGTGCCGTGGAAGGCTGCACAGTAATAATTGCGATTTCGACGCTGTAGAAGATAAGACAGAACTTCTGCATTGGTCTGGATCAGACCAGGGAGGTCATCCTGGCGGATTGTCAAGGGCAGCAGCGATTTGTTGTCGTTGGTGCCAGAGAATCCTGTACTTCTTGCGCCGGGCAGAGCCGGCTTCTGGGGTCTGGTGAAGTTCGGCAGGTCCCAGGCCGAGGCTGATAGCTTCAAACCGAACTGCTTGGCGTACGATGGGAACACCCAACTATTCAAATAGGTGTTGAGGACGTTTCTGTCGAGGCGCAAATGGCTGTACAGCTCATCAACCTGACCATCGTCATCTGAGTTGATTACATTCCAATTGCGCAACCCGGCGGGCAATGTGTCACAGCCGTGAATCCATCGATCGTAGGTGGAGGCGGCGTCGTCAGCCTTGAGCACACTAGAAAGACTCTGGCGAAATTGAGACGGGCTGAGGCCAGCATAGTAGAATGACAAAGTCGTAAAGATGATGGCCACATCCGGGTGGCCAAACTCGCTGGTTTCGGATGGAACACCCTTCGCTTCGAAAGGCACAGCGATTGGGTCTCGACTTGGATGCAGTCCGTATTGTACGTTGAACCGCCGCTTCATACAGAAGAGCAAGATCCTGTTCAAAATAAGGCCGCGGACAAGGAGAAGTGTTTTCGCAGCGGAATCTCGGTCATCAAAGAGGCTGACAACCTCCTTCAGTCCCTCCTTGTCTTGCAGCTTCGTGCTGGATTCTGACAGGAATTGCCGTACAGCCCTCCGAACTTTCTTTGGAGGGGCCCCAGACTGGGACAGTCGCAAGAAGGTGGTACGATTGTTGACGATGTCTTCGATGATGAGACGGTGGAACTCCTCTTCAGCATCATTTCGGAGCAAGAAGGCCATTGGGAACGCCTGCATCTGTGCCGGCGGAATCACTTCCACGCTGCGTGGACAGCTCCTTCTGATCGCGGGCAGATGCTCCTCAAATAGGCGAAGGAGCTCTTGAACGATGGTCCATCGCTGTGGTGCACCGTCGACAGAAAGCTGGGGGCCGCTAGGATAAATCAATTGTGTCTTGACTCCCAGAGTGAAGTCGGACTCGTCAATGACGTCTCGACAAAATCGTGTCAACGTTTCTTGAAACCGGATCATCATGTCGGCCTCGGATGTCTTTGAGTCTACGAGACGTTGAAGACCGCTGAGCTTGAACGAGAGCATGTGGTCGCTTGTTGTCAGGAGGACGCCTGATTCTTCGCGCACTTCTTTATGCAAGTCACGGTAAAGACGTAGAATCTCATCCGTTGATGGTGTTCGACGAGAGAAAGGAATATGGCGGATCTCACGACCAACGAGACCTCCAATCCTAGACTGGACCACTTGAGCTGATTGTAAAAGAAGTGCCTTCGGAACGACAAGGCGGGCAATTTGAGTACGGTCGGCGAGTATCGCAATGGCCATTGGCACAATGCACGACGTCTTGCCTGCAGGTACATATCCGTCAGCATAATGTCAACAAGGTGGAGAGCTGGAAACAGTACCTTGGCCCATATTCATCTGCAGTACTGAATTCGCGCCGGAAGCGGGTGATATGATTGCATTGGCCACATCAACCTGCTCTGGCCTGATGAGGAGGTCACATTCCAGTTCCACAAGTAGCCAGTCAGGTCGCTGCAGAGGATCCCAATTCTGGTGCCCCTTACTTCTGAAGGTTTCTTCGAATCTGGCGTCGTCTTTGGTTAGTTGATAATATCGCAGCCTCTCCAGCCATTGAAGCTCTGTGTTCATGACACCGAAATTAACTATCATCTCCTTCATGCCGGCCCCGAAACGTGTCTTTTCTGTTGACCGCAGTTTCTCAAGCAGGGTGACCTTGCCACCAGGCCACAGGTCAGCCATTCGTAACCAAATCGACCGCTTGTCATCTGCTGTCAGGGCATTGTTGATGGTATTGTACGTCTCTGCAATCTTTGCGCGAGATTGGTCGATCAGGTTAGTCATTCGAGATGCCGATCCGTACTGATGCTGCCAGCCTCGATTAGGGCCGTGCGACAGCACCTGACGGTTCCTCAATGCTTGCAAGCTCCGTAGTAGGTCTTGTCCATAGCGACTCCTCCCCTGGTCATCAGATTTCAGAAATGGAAGTAGAGCTTGGTGGAGCTCATTGAGCTCTGGTCTCGGCGCTGTCGTTCCGGGCAGCGATGTGCCATGTGCCTGTGCCAACTGGAGCGAAGGGGAGTCCCAGATTGGAGCCAAAGCAGATAGATGAGCAGTCTTGCTGAGGAGCTCAAGCGATAGAGACGGAATGACAGAGCTGCCACGAGAGAAGATATCGCAGGCAGACGTGGAAGAAAAGGCCCTTGGCTCGGGTTCCGGCAGCATGATACTGCCCTTGGCGACGAACTTGTCCATCGCGACTTGGAGCTCGTCAAGGTAGGCACCAAGTTCCATGTTGTTGGTTCGCTGTTGCCATGTCTCGAGAATCGCATTCAAAGCGTCACCCGCATCGAGCAATTTTGTTCCAGACTGGAATCCATCCAGGGATGGTGTATCCGAAGGCCATTGCCTGGCGAACCATGTTGCAAGTCGTCGACCTTCTTCCTCACATGTCATCATGTGTTGATCAAATGCAGCCGTCTTCTTGGTTCTCTTTCCACCTGGCTCGATGAAAGGAGGCCACTCGGATCGAATGATCGCTTCTAAATCACCGACCGTTGGTGGCATGAGGTTGAAGTCGACAAACACGGCGTGTTGAGGGGGAACCAAAACTTTCAATGCATCCAGCCTCGCAATTGCAGCCAGCACCTCCAGCATTTCCAAACTGGCGTCCGGTTTGAAACTCATCAGCGCAAGTCTGAAGGCAAGACTGTACAGCTGATCAGCGCTGCAGTGCCTGCTGAAGTCGACAAGCTCCCCAAATTGTTCGACCACTGTATCTTCGACCAGTTTGGTGATTCCCTCCGTATGAGAGCCATTCGATTGGAAGCCGCCGATTATTCGCTCGCCGATCAACATAGACCGTGGATTCAATCCCTTGGAAAGAAGCAATGGTCGTCTGAAAATGCCTTTCACCACATGCTTGACATTCTTCGCCAGTGCAGTGTCAAACGACCGGTCTCTGGAAGTATAGGTCTTATCGAGGCTAGGTACGGGTTCATGTCTAGCCTTGTGAGACTCTCCATTAGGAACCTCTCCATTGGGACGGTGTCCATGCGGAGTGTGTCCATTAGGAGCCTTCCCATTGGATTTGGGCGGCATGTGCGCCCCCATGTGGGGTGGATGAATCGAAGAAGGGTCATAGACGGACCGCCGTATCTCGGCTCGTCGACGCAGATGTGAGGCTTGCTCCACTTCCTCCACATCTGATGTGTTCTTGCAGAACGGCTGGAGGCGATTGGACTTCCTCAGAAGGTCTCGTGCAAGTGTCTCGAGGCGCTCGTGTTGGACTGGGTCTGGTAGCTTGGGATTCCACCGTGCCTCTTGGAGACTGCGCCTGTCCTCGGGATAGAATTCTCTCCTTGGAGAAAGCGCAGCAATGGCTTTCAACTCTGATGTGGGACTGAAGCCTAGAGGAGCCCATGGTTGGGACATGCCAGACTGGAGGATATGAATGGCTTCCTCGGTACCGGTCCGTCCGGTCAACCTATCCGGGATTGGAAAGCTTGTCAATGCATGGAGATGTGCCTTCGTATAAAGCAAGGAGGGCTCCGGGGGGCAAGTAAGTCGTCCTAGCACGTCATCTATGTCATACTTCGCATATGCATTCTGCGATGAGGGAACAATTGACACTTCCACGTGCGGGTCATGCAGACGATGGATACTGTTTCCTAACGGCACGATGATGGTGCGCTTCCTCGAGTCTTTCATGTCTCGAAGGACGAGTTTGCTGAGAAGTCCGTGAAGTGTTCCAGCATCTTGGTTCGGATCGAATTCTTTACCAAGCTTCGTTTCCTCAAGCCGCCTACTTCCGTTGACCCGGAACGACAGCTCGAATCGGTTTAAGTTGACGCACAAGTTTCTCCTCCTTGAGAGGAATATCTTGAGAAATTCCGGGCGCTCGAAGTGAAGGAACAACCGCTCCACAAGCTGGGCTGTTTCAGAGTAAGGACATATGAGGCGACCGAGACAACCAAGTCGCCCATGACTTCGTGTGCATTGGCGAGTGTGTAGGTTGATGACCCAGTCCGCCTCTTTTGGTGTCCAAATTCGAGGCCGAGGGTGAATCTGCACAGCTCCAGTTGATAAGTTGAGGAAATGGACACAGTTGTCAAGTAGTTCGACAGGCAAATCGTAGTTCCCTTCTCGGAAGAAGACTTTGCGTGGGATGAACTCTAGGATTTCCGTGTTCGAGACTGCACGTACAATGACCTGATCATCTCTGAGGCCAAAGTGGATATGCCGGCCTTCAACAGGCCCGGCAAGCTGATGCGACATCCCGGCCAAAGGGGACGTGTATGTCTTCAAGTGCAGGTGAATACCGAACAACTCCTTCACCTCTTCTGAGTTGCGAATGCGCTCTGGTAGACGCCCTGCCGGTTTTCCATCTACCAGCAGGAAGCCAGAGACGTAGTTGAAATGGATTGTCTGCCTCACAGCACATGACTGAGTGTTGCCCGTAGAGATAGAGATTGTCGTGGCCATCTGCCCGACCACCCACGGCTGCATATCCTCGGTGCTCGACCATGAAGAGAATGTTACGTTGGTGGAATTCCCGGACTGTGACCAGCCCTTGAAGATGGCCAATTCCAGACTGCGTGGATGTTCCTGCATGGCTGCGTAGACAATTGGTCCAATATCCATTTTGGTGTCATGTATGGCCATCTCCTTGAGTACCGGATCACTCTCAAAGCTGGTGGACATGTGTTCTTGCAAGGCGATAGATGCCTCACAGTATGCCTGGAGCTCTTCAGCTGCCAGCTCAGTTTGAGTCGCAAAGGTCCGCCGGCACAAGAGAGCAGATTTGAAGGCATAAGCAGCCGCTCTCTCCGCAGCTGAACCATCCTTTGCATTCTGGAGCTCTTTGCGGAGCCTACTGATCCAGCCAAGGGTAGCCTCTCTTGCGCATTGAATAGATTTCTCTGCGACTTTGCAGGCCTCGTATGACGAGGTGAATGCGAAGAGTCGTTGGCTCAGCGTAATGCACAGCTCCATGAGATTGACTTCGCGCCAGTTCGACTTGATCGACTCAAGTCGCTGGTCAATCATCTCTGCCAGACGGAAACAGAAGTCCTCGTCAGCAAAGACTCGGTATGCCTCCCGCAAGCCAGATGGGCTTGCTGCATCAAGTGGACCAGCTTGTAAGGCCAAGTGCGAAAGGAAGCGAACCGTCTCGCTGTTGGAGAAATTGAGGTGCGAAGAACCCAGCTCAACAAGCATGGTCATCCAACGCCGTGATACTCCAGAGAGCAACCGCTGGTACGCAGAGAACTCGTGAATCGAGACCTGTTGGGGACACTGGCGCTCGTTCGCAATGACAGCGTAGGACGACGGTCCATCGGCGACAGCTGGAGGGTGAGATTGTGGCAAGAGAACCGTCTTGCGAAGGCATTCGGGCACGACAACTCCACAGAGATGCTGAAATGTCAGGGCGTCCCGATCAATGGCTGAGATCCAGACCTTGTTGTCAACATCGTACAGGTCAAATTCGGGCCCATGCGAATGCAAGACATCGCGGAGTGAGCCCTGCAGGACTGGGACGACCTTCCAGTGGGTCTGAAGGAAGCTCTTTTTGGGAGAGGCAAGTGTGACACCTCCAGCGACGGATCGAGGCTTTTGGTACGGCTCCAATGGGCCAAAATCTCTGAATACCAGTGGCGGCTCCTCCAGCTCGATTCGCGCCGGCCACGCAAGATCATAGATGATCTTGAAGGTTACATTCCGGTAAGCCTCGTACCAGCGCGGGATGGAGAGCTCGAACAGGATCTTGGCGGCCTTGGCGTCATCAATCGGAAGGAAATCCTCGTGGGCCTGAATCTGCAAACGGCGGCGTTTCCTTCGAAGAAAGCACTTTGTACAATTCTTGATGTCATCCTTCGTACGCTCCCCGGGCTCCCCGGTACAGATGCATGACAGGGCTGCCATCTCCTGAGAGAATTGCTCACACTCCTCGGAGATCTTGTCCCATTCAACCTCCTTCTCCTCACGAGCCTGCTGCGAGTCCTGCAGGATTTGTAGATACAGGACTTGCAACTCATGGTGTTCAACCAGATACCTGGCCGCGAAACAGTTGGGTGAGCTCTCAGCACTCAGGATATCATATGAATGAGCCCGGGAGGACATCACCCGATCTCTCAAATGACCTTGAATGGTGTGAAGTCGGTTGAAATCATCGACACGTTCCAGCTGCATGACGTCCAACAGCTCTGGGGTGAACATTGGGTGATACTCGCGAATCAAGGGGCAAGCTTGAATGGCGGCCGTGTCCATCAATACCCATAGGTGAAAGATATTGAGCACGAAGGCGCTCATCTGCGTTGGATTCGAGTCATAGGCATTTCCGACCACCTCAAAGTACCCCAAGATTGATTCTGCCAGCTGAACACATCGGGCTTTCGGGTCACTCATAGGAGCGCGATGAATGCGAGGTGCCGGTGGATCGAAGCCTAGACTCTGGGGCTGGTCAACGCCGTCATTTTGTCCATCTTGACGAGGAAAAGGATGGCCGTGTGTAGAGGACCGAGTATCATTCGCCTCAGTTGAGGTCTTCAGGCGATCAAATGGACTAGTTCTAAAACAAAATTGTCAGACTTGTTGCACCTTGACGAAGATGGAAGGAAAGACACAACTCCGTGTGGAGGAGAGCTGAAGAGAAGAGAAAGGAGACAACATAATGACAAGGGAGGGAGAGGGATGACTGAGCTAAGGGGATTGGGAGGAGGGATGGGGGAATTCTAGACGGGAATGGACCAGATAGCGAGGGGAGGAGAGAGGGAAAAAAGAGGGCCACACGCTGAGCGTTGGGAATGGCCGGGGACTTTAGGATCTGAAATGTTGCATACCTGATCTCATCCTCAAAGGCAGCAATCTTCGCATAGCGAGCATTGAATTTCTGCACCTGCTTGACGACCTCATCGTTGATTCGATTGGGATCGAACGTGGCCTTTTGTGCCTTCTGCTGCAGGGGACGGTTCATGACTCCTTCGAGGTAGTTCCCGCTCATGCGGAGCTGGAGACGGAAGTGATCCCGAGGAACAGACTTCGGAGCAGGCAAGAGCTCGACTTGGCGGGTGGTTCGCCTCTTGAAGTGGTCCCAGACATTGTTCATCCGGTTGTTCACTGATTGGATGGTCTCCTGCATCCACGGCCCCATGGAGCGGAAGAAGGCTTCGTAGACGGTGTTCTCGCCGGGGTCTTGGGCCCTTTCCTGCTCGAGCTTGGCGAGTCTGCGGCAAAGCTTGTCCCGCAACAGTAGGGTAAGGTGTGGCTTGAGATGCCCCGCAACATTGGCCATGAACTGTGCGAGGACTATGGCAATGATGGCCTTGTACATTGCCCGGCCCTTGTGGTAGCCCAGGGAGAGACACAGCTGCCGCTGAACGGCCACACGCAGAACGAGCCAGAACGGGTGGCGGCGGTAGGGGAGGGAAGAGCCTGTTCCAGTTTCGACTTCAATGTTCACGTCATCTCGGACTCTCTTTTGGAATCTGACAAAGTCGAAGCTCTGGCCGAGGCTCTCGAGGAGAGGCATGAGAAGCTGGGTGATCATGGCCGGGTTGGTCGTGTCTCTGGTTTCAATGATCTCATCGCCTGCCTTCCTGGTGTGCGCCACGAGCCGGTTCAAAGTCTCGTTGCTGGCCTTCTCCAGGAACTCGGCGAGGGAGGATTGGAAGTCATCGCTTTCGAAGCAGGACTGTGGGATGGCGCAAGCACGACCCGGGAAGGTTTGTATCAGCGCGTTTTCGGACGCCAGCACGGCCTCTGACGTGGGCGATGCCTCGAAGGCCTCGAAGACGACAGATCTGGACGGCTCGTTGGGACTGCACACATCATGTTAGGCTCCCAGCAGATTAGAGTTTGGCTGGTTGGTCGCTGCTTACCCGCTCGGTCTGATGATCAGCGCCGCATTCTGCTCGACGACGTGGAGTACAAGTGGTGCATGGCCAAAGTCTTTGAGGGCCACGGCAAGTGTGTCCTTGTCAAGACAGCCGCGATTGAGATGACGGCAGATCTCGAGTGATTTTCGCAGAGGGGCAAGAGGCTCGGAGTAGTTCTCGTTGGTGGCTGCGTTCAGAGTGTCGATCGCAGCGATCAGTCGCGCCACAAAGTCGCGACCTTCCTCGTCGAGGTGGGGATCCTGTCCACCAGGCAGCTTCGGGGGAAGCACCAGGTGGTTGAAGACACCTTCCAAAGTCATGTTGAAGTGTGGCTGATGGTGACACACATGTCGGTCGGTGAAGAGGAAATGGGAAGGTTCGAGGGGCTGTGGGGATTGGTCGTGACGACAGGTAGGAAGGTTCAAGAAAACAGGTGGTTCTCGCAATTGCGATGGTGGTTCGCAGCACAAGCCTTACAAACGGAGTCGACTGGACGGTCGCAACGAGGCTGCGGCCGTGACACGTCGAGAAGGACACTGGGAGAGGGCTGTCGATGGCAGTGTCAGGTTTGAATGAAGGGCTTGGTGTGGAGTACTCGCACAGAATTCACGAGAGGGATGGGTTGAAGGGATCAGGACAGGACAACGTTGAGGTCAAACGAAGGCGATGTGGGAATGTTTTTCGAAGGTGACCATAAGGTGGAAGTCGTCGGTACCTAGGTACATCTGCTCACCCTGTAAGCAGCCGTCCCTAACCCAGACTTCGCACACTCAGCCTGGGGAACTGATAAGTGCTGATAGAAGGAAAAGCCTTGGGGTTCAGGCAGCCAATGGATGGGCTCAAAGTTTCCAATGCAGCAAGGAAAGTGTCAATGAAGATACTACGGCAATGGAAGAGCCACACAACCCAGAGCCTTCGATGACGACCACAACTTCCCTCTTCTCCTCGAGTACTGGATCGCACATGCCGTCTTAGCCAACAGCATTTTGGGCATAAAACAAACAAACACCTCGTTTCTCATCCGATTTCTTCTTCTTCTCCCGAACACCACCCAACCCCATCCACATTTTTTGGACCACTGCAGTCGTTACCACAATCATCTCATCATTTTGCCAGTCGTCATCGAAGTCAACAGCTCGCCTCACGACTCACAACTGACTGTCTCTCGTTTCTCTTGAGTCCCTGTCCGAGCACAACCAAGATGCATACCTCCACCATGCTCGCCACCGTTCTGTCCGCCATGGCCCTCGCCAGCCCCGTAACCAAGCCCAATGCTGAGCCCGATCAGAATCCCGTCCTCCAAAAACCCATCTTCATCAACCCCATCATCGGCCCCACTTTCGTTGACCCTGTCAATGGCCACCCCATCTTCGTTGACCCCGTCATCGACGACACCGTCCCTACGCACGTGAAGCGGTCCAACAATCTCTTGAACGAGGTCGACAGCTTGCTCACATGCATTCGGAATGACGATGAATTGAAGCCTGACTTCAGCGAAGCGCCTGATGGCATCTTTTACGCCAGCGACGTCCACCCTGCTTGCTGTCAGCAGGCGAAGGCCCTCTACAAGTCGTTTCCAGATGGTCAATTTGGGCATGCCGGCTTCAATGAACCTTGCGATGAAGTTATTGTCACTGGGCTCACCAACACCCAAATGAACGTGCTTCGCGGCATCTTTTCAGGCGAGTGGTGAAGGACTTCTGGGGACAAGGCGATGGATGGGGGACTCACATCGAGGACAGTGAGGATGACCAGCATGGATGAGTACTGTACCTAACTACCGCTGGCATGAATCCTAAGACAATCTGCCTTGATCGTCAGACACCCTTGCCTGCACCGTGATGCTGTTATCACGCAAGAATCCATCCTGCAAGAGGCTGTCCTCTTCTTAGCCATCCCGCCTGAGGCCATCTCATAGTAAGCCACCAGTTTGATGGCTATGCCATAAGAGGGCGTTGACAAGGACGCTGCCGGACCCTGGTCCCACAGAGCACCAAACTAATAAGCACCCCACACCGCATCCAAAACACACACTTCGGCTCCAAACAGGAACACACCGGCGCGCAGGAACGTTGCATCCCACACCCCACGTGCCCAGCAGCCACACATCGGTAGGCCAGAAAAAAGTGTGTTTCGCGTTCACAGCCCTACCCACACACAAGAGAGACGGGGCCCCGCCCGAGGAGAAAGACACACACGCACACGCTAGGCCCGGCTACCCCGTCCGAGCTGCCAGGACGCACAGCCGGGGCACACAGCACAGGCTCAGGCCTCGCCCGCCCTCATTGGCCTTGCGGCAGCACGGACTTTTGGTTTGGTCTTGACATCACATTGTTCCCAGGGGTTTCGAATCGAAGTGTGGGTCTAGACCGCTGAGCTCAGGCCCTTCTTTTTTCACATGTCGGTGATGGTGATTATTGCGCGAGAGAAAGGGGGGGGGGGGGGGGTTGTTTCGAGATGGGGGATCTAGATGGAGTCCTGGAGTCGAGCTCCAGCCCTGCCAGCGGGGTCTGGGGGGCCATCGTGCGCACGGGTTTCTTTGTTTACATGGGGTGAAACACGGCTGTCCTTCAGCTGCCAAGCACGCGGGTTCGTCTGGCAGGTTTGCCTGTGCTTGTTGGGTCTGTCAGATGAGACGGCCAGATCGCGAACGCGTGTTGACTCTGATGCTCGTGACCTCTTCTCTTGTAGGGATTCTCCAGTGCGGCCGTGGCTGTGGCATGGATCATGGTTACACATCAACGCAGGCGGCGGTTGTCCCTCGCGGCTCGACCGTCTGCGGGGCGTGGCACCCTCCAGCATATAACTATCATGAGATCGGAGATTAAAACCTCCAAAAATAATCGGCACACCCGTAAAAGGCTAATTAGTACGTAGGCAAGTCCCGAGGTAGAAATAGTAAATAAGAAATAGAGAAGATCTAGATAACTCGGAGTTTCAATGTTTCAGATTAGCAATCACCTAGTTATCTTATATCACGAGGTTGTCCGATGGGGGGGGGGGGGTCTGGGTGTGGCTTCTGATTCTGCGGGTGCGAATATCTCATCTCTACATTATTCTACGGAATAATGTATTCCGTGACCTCGGGAATCATCCTTTAAAGACCTCGGGAGCAACGGGTTGGAAATCATGAGAGCACTTCAACGCTGGCCGTTTAAGTGCGTTCACGGGGAGTGTCTGAGACATCATCACGCGTTCCATGTGGCCGAAATGTCCTCAAGCCACTTCACAGACCCTGCACAAAGTTGAGTCGCGGGCACAGTACACTTTTTGTGAGAAGAACTATTCGTGGCGCAGACACTCCAGGGCTGGACTGGCCGGCTTGGCACCCTCTGTTCCGGCTTGGCATCATCGATATTAAGAAGCTCCGGTCGTACAAAGCAGACTAGTAGGAGAGGCCTTCCGTGCCGTCGTGAGGTCTGTTTCCACGCGCAAGGTCTGGGGCTGTGGTCTGAATCAACCGTTGACTTGAGGAACCCGTGCGAGACAGACAGGTTCGAGGTCTGAGTCGTCTCCCAAAACTTCACTTGAAGCCCAAGCTGCCGCTGTCGCTGCCAATCCACCCAGCTGAAGAATCCCTGGCCTGCCACATGTGCACGGGCGCGCGATGTCACTGTAGCAATGGCAGGAAGCGAGCCCCGGCCAGAATCCCCACGGCTGGCTGGCTGACCCACGATCCCAAAAGCCAATAGTCCAATCCACAATGCCAGCACACGCTCGGGCCGTAAAGTTGACCGCCGGGAGGGGGAAAGGGGCCCTGGTTACAGCAGCAGCTCGTCCCCCTCCCTCCCCTCTGGAGTCCGGGGAAAGCTCTCGCCGCCGTGCCTGGCTATGGCTGCCTGGCTCGTATCCACAGGCGCCGGCCCCATTGAACCTACTCTGCGGCTGGCTGCACTGTGGCGACGCGCAGGGTGCGCAGGTGTGTGTGGCTCGTATCACTGCAGGATGTGGGGTGCGCCAAGGCCTGAGGCGTCTGGATTTCTTTGTCCGCATATGGGCCCGGAGCTTCGGGTTGACGGCCGGCCACAGCTGGCTCGGGTGCTTCAGCAGTCACACGGGTGGGCCATACGGGTGACACCGTCAGCAATAGGCGGGCCTGCTGCTGGCGCTTATTATTAGAGGACTCCCCGGCTCGGCATTGCGGTCCAAGCTTGGGACTGGGCCTCGGGAGCTGGGCGGGGGGAGGATGTGCGCGTGGTGATTTTGTGGATTGATCAGGCAACATGGGCTGGCTGCTCGTGTCTGTTTAGGGTACCAAGTGTTTACATTGTTGGGGTGAAAAGGTACACACACGTGTTAGTCTGGTCATTGACGCTTAGAATTGATTAGCCTGTCACTTTGGTGTAAGCTGCTTCACATGTGCAATGCCAGTGTCATAGAAATCTCTTCAACTGCGGACTGTGCTCACCTAGGCAGGGTTCGAGTCGAGCGCGAGCTGAACCCACCCAGCTGAAGATGCCCCTGCGTTCTAGAAAAAGAATCAGGCCAGGTCCTGACCGGATATGGTTAGCTGACCTCGTGCTGGGCCTGGGACGAACCATAGGGCTGGCGGGACTTGCCGTCGTTCATTGCCGAAAAAAACTCCACGGCCGCAGTCAGTCGGAATCTTGGTCGAGGGCAGCGGAAATATACGAGACTGTTGGCATTGCTACAGACCATAAAATTGCACTATGTATCCAATTGACTTGAGGGAATGTTTCTCCAGGGAATACTCGTCTGACAAGACGAATATCCATGTGTTGGGACTGCTATAGGGCCTGCGGGTGGCACGGCTTACACCACCATCCCGTGTCCCTAGCCCCTTTGGGACGTTCGGGAGTAGCGCCACACCCGGACAGTGTCCAGAATAGCCCGTCAAGCCCGTGATTCTCTAGCCCTATGCGAAAGGACCTGATGCAGGGCTAAGAATGGGGACACCGACGTGGCGCCTCCAGACTCGACTCCAGCTCGACCCCTTTTCAGCAGCTGAGGCTGTCGATCCGGCCAAAGCACCATGCTAGCCCGGATGACTTGCAGAGCCATCATGGCCGGTTCGGGATCCTCAACAAAGAAAACTCGGCCGGCCCCCCTTCTGAGATCTCCCTGGTGGAGAGGACCACCGTGTCGATCTTTTCAGTTGGACAAAGAATTTCTCATGACCTATACCGCCCTCTGGTAACCATGACTTCCACGGCAGCCGGCTCGCCTAGAAAGGTGAAGGACATGGTCACCTACTTTGAGAAGAACAGAGATCATCCCGTCAAAACAACACGCAGCCGTAAGAGGTCATCTGTGGTGGCCATGATGAGCCTCACCAGGCGCCCGTGGGAGCACTTTCCCCGGCGCAAGTCATCAGCCTCCACCAACCCCCGGCGGAGATCATCAACATCAACCAGATCTAACAGCACGACATACGACCCTGCGGAGGAGTACATCTCCGAGCCGGGTTACGCAGCCTCAGAGCGCTCCGGGACATCGACTGTCGTGTCTGAGGGCAGGCGGCCGTCAGAGAACCCAGATTACGACTGGGAGCATGACTCGATCGCGGACCTGAAGGCGAGCCTCAGGAAGCTCGACCTGTCCCCGGCGGCCAATGGCCCAGTGGTCCTCAAGGGGGGCGAGACTGCAGATGAGATTCATGTCGTTGACCCTTCCGAGATTGAGCAGGGCAAAAGTCCCACCAACGGGGTGCCTGGGGTACATGAGATTGATTTCGTGGACCCATCGGCGCCTCGGACCGCCGAGGCTGAGCCAAAATTGGAACCGACGAGGGAGAATGTCCCGGCTCTCAATAATGAGCCAGCAGACCACGCCGAGGCCAGCACCTCAGACTCATCCAAACCCGTCACCGACGAAGACGAGCCTGCGAACAGATCTGCAGTAGCCGAGTCAAAAGCGTGGGAGGCCGCAGACAGCTCACAGCAATTCGTCGAGGCCAACATCCAAGCTCGCACGTCCTCGGCTAAAGGACCTGGCAAGGCCGGACTTTTGCGTGTGAAGACGTCCCACTTCGAGACTGACCGCAACAAAACCATCGACACAAAATCACCCAACTCGCCAAAATCACCAAAATCACCAAACACGCCGTCGCCAAAGTCAAAGGCCCGCCCAAAGCTGGCCGTAGACCTCCCAGGCATCCCGGAGTCAGAAGCCGAGACGCTGGGGCGGCACCACATGCACCACCGCCGGCCCTCCCTGAGCATGATCCAGCCGCTCCCGTCCCAGCAGCGGCCAGGGCAGCACATACAACAGGCGGTACACGTCAACAGGGCCTCGCGCCCGCCCGTCAGCATGGCGAGCCGGTACCCGCCGGTGCGGAGCATCTCGGCCCCCCTACCGGGGCAGCAGGAGCCGGGCGAGGTGTACGGCGCGCCGGGGGAGATGATGCAGCTCGTCAGCCAGCGGCAGGTCAAGTTCAACGACATGCGCGAGGAGAGGCTGCGGCGGCTCAGCGGCATCAGCAGCGCCGCGGGCGCCTCGCGGCCGGGGAGCCTCATGGGCCGGCGGCATGCTTCTGCGCCCGTGAGCCCGTCCATGGCGGCGGCGGGCGGTGGTAATACCCGCAAGAGACACATGCAGCAGCGCCGGCGGTCTGGGCCGGCGAGGCCTTCATTTTCTGTGGGCCATCAGAGGCGGTCGGTCTCGCAGGTTATTAAGGAGTATTTCCGGGCGCCGAGGAGGAGGCCTAGCTGGTTGATGGTGCGGAGTCGGAGTAAGACGAGGTAGACTGGGGATAAAAAGTAACTATCAAGGGGATTTGATTACAGAAAAGTTTGACAATATTGCATAGCTTTTAGGTTGTTTTACCGCAGGGCGGATGATAGGCAGAAATTTGGGAGTGTTGTAATGCTGTTAGCCTAATGCAAGTGACTTTGGACCAGACATCAACGATATGATCTGTCAGTGACACTTGCAAGATGATGCAACTATGGAGTACCTAACCTAGGCACCCAAGAGGCACAGCAGGACGACATTTACTGTTGGTTGCTACGTACATAAGTGGATCCAAGCAAGGTCGGTGTGGTTACATCAGCTGCAGGGTATGCCACTACTTGTCCACAATATATCCCCCAGGCTCCCACAGCGTTGACTCAGAAGCTCAGCCAATTCGAAGAGCTCTTCGCCGTCTTCTTATTCATCAGCGAGGCCATTGTCGCGGAACTAAGGGGCCACCGAGATCGTAGGGACCTACAGCGAGTCTACGCTGCCTTTTTACTTGTTACTATTTTTTCCTGGCTCCAAAACCATGGAATACCGGTATCGCTATCCTCGGATGGAAGAGGTTGAAGAGGTTGAGAGATATGTTCCCGGAGGCTACCATCCCGTGGATATTGGAGATCGCCTAGGTCCGGAAGACGGCAGTCACTACTACACGGTGCTACACAAACTAGGCTATGGCGGTTTCTCCACGGTCTGGCTGACGAGATGCAGCCAGGACGACCATTACTACGCCCTAAAGATCCTCACCGCAGACCTTCCAGAGTCGCAGGGCAAGGACCTGAAGATCCTCCAGAGCCTCAAAAATGATGGCTTCGAACATCCGCATATCGTCCATTTGTACGAATCGTTTGAGGTCTCCGGCCCCAACGGCTCGCACACCTGTCTGGTGCTGCCTGCTCTCGGCCCCATCCTCGACGAAGTTTATGGCAAACAGACTCTGGCTCCAGAGACACGATACCAAATTTGCCAGCAAGTCGCCACTGGCGTTGCAGCCTTACACGAGAGGGGTATATGCCACGGGGGTAGGAGTTGTCCCCAACTGACCCATTTTGAGGATCCAATGGACTGACAGTGGTGCGAACAGACCTCACCCCTGCCAACGTAGTGTTTGAGCTCCCTGACACCTCATCAATGGACATCCCAGAAGTCTGCGCTCTGTTAGGTCCCATCGAGAGCGCAAGACTGAGACTGCGCAACGGAGCTCGTTCTGAACACGGACCAAAATACGTGATACAGCGGCCTACCTTCTCCAAACTCATGTCCGAGTTGCCAACAACCCTCCAGACAGTCCGAATCATCGACTTCGGCGAGGCATTCCCCACCACCCGGCCACGCTCCTTCCTAGGCGTCCCCGTCGGCCTGGGATACTTCCCCCCGGAGCTCTGCTTCGGCTACGCAGCGTCACCCGGCAGCGACATGTGGATGCTCGCGTCCCTGATGTACCAGGCCCTGGGCACCGCGGCGCTCTTCCCCTGTTTCTTCCCCATCTTCGAGATCCTGGTCGGCACGGCGATGCCCATCCTGGGCCCGCTCCCGGACCACTGGAGGGGCCGCTTCGACTACGACAAGTACGGGTATCGTGAGCCTGAGAGTGGCGAGCTGAAGAACCCGGAACGGGTGAATCCGGGGTGGTGGTGGGACGAGGCCAAGCATAACAAGTCCATACGTGGCCGGATGGAGAGCGACCTTGCCCCGCGGTTTTCTTCTGCGCAGCTCGACTTCCTCGCGGCCTTGCTCGGGGATATGGTGTGTTTCGAGCCTGAGAAGAGGATCTCAGCTGCGGAGGTCGTCCAGCGGCTGCGTTCGGCGTCGACCATGTTCGGTGCCACGCAGCAGAGCTGAGGGTATGTTAGATTTTCGCTGTGGCTGTGATCAACAATCCCGGTGTGAACTTCCAGGACCAATCACTTCCAATGCAAGCTCGGGACCACGAGCAGCCGCCCAGACCATACGTAGAACCCCTGGGACACTCAGCCGTTCCTCGGCCGAACGCCAGTTCCCCTAGGGTAGGGATCTGACCTACGGGCCCTGGGACGCACCATGATTCGGCTTTGCCAGTCCGTTCAGGGAGCTTCGGAAGTTCGATGGAAGGAAATCGTTGTCCAAAGTCGTTGAGTGCCAATACGCCCCGAGCCCGCTCCAGAAGCCCTGCAGAGCCCAACACATTGCGTACAAGATCTCCGCCGCAGTTGACAGGAAAAGGCTCGCGATAGCACCGATCACGGGGAATATATGAGAAAGACACAAGAGCCGGAGCTAGTGGCGTATATAAACAAGCGGTCTTGCACAGATGAATAGGCTCAATAAATGCGGTACAAGTGATATGTCTTCCGAATATGATTCCAAGTTTCCTGACCGATCCGACTCTCGAGCCCAGCCAGTGCACGTCAGCTGAGCCAGGAGGGTGGTGACGGGAACGCCGACTCTAACAAGCTTGAGACGAGAGACCTTTGCCTACCCCGCGAAGGATTCTAGCTCGCCGTCAGCCTGAGAAAGTCCCTCATTACCCTCAGAGGAGACACCAGCTACAGACCGAGTCGCGCCCCATTCCCCGTCGAACGGCGCAGCGACACACACCCACCCAAGCCCCCCTGGACCTCCTCCCCCTCCACCCCCTACCAAGAACGAACAAAACCTCACAGCCCAGACAGGACCAGCCCAGCCGCGATGGCCGCAGGGATGCCCTGGATGAACAGGATCTTGCGGGCGGCGGTGGCGGCGCCGTAGACGCCCGCGACGCCGACGCAGCCCAGGAAGAAGAGGCGGAGCTGGGTCGCGAACTCGGGCGACGGGTGCAGCAGGCCCCAGGCGAGGCCGGCGGCGAGGAAGCCGTTGTAGAGCCCCTGGTTGGCGGCGAGGGTCTTGGTGTAGGGGACGGACTGCGGCGTCTGCCGGAAGGCGCGCATGCCGGGCTCCTTGTCCCAGAGGAACATCTGCAGCACGAGGATGTAGCCGTGCAGGCCGGCGACGGCGGCCGTTGCTGCTGCTCCGAGGACGCCCATCGTTTCTGGTGTCTGCTGTTGTTTTTGTCTGCTTTGGTAGTGTGAGAGGGTGGTGTGTCAACGGTGACGAGTTAGGGTTGACTTTGTGTGTGTGTGACGTCGTAACGAATGTGACGGTGGTTAGATGGAGATGGCAGGTTGAACGAAGAGCGGGCGGCTGTGACGATCTTTGTTCTTCGGGGCCGAGAGCGGTTTTGTGGTGGTGGTGGAACTGGAAAAGCGGCGCGGTCCGGGAGGACCCTTTTTGTTCCTCTGAGTGGTGCACTGCCGAAGGATCAGACAGGGCTGGTTAAACGCTGTGCCGTGTTCCGGACATTGTGTCCTTTTTGGCCTCTCGCTTGTGGCTCCCGGTGGCACAGGCACACCTGGGCATATTAGACAGAGCTCATGTTCTACACTAAAGCGGTATAGAAGCAAAAGTTTGACGGCGCGGGTGGGCGCTCGACTGACTCGCCCGCCAATTTGCCAATGTTATGCACGCCATGTCGTCTTGGATCCCAATTTTATACTTCTTCTGTGCTCATGTGAGCTCGTGGGGAGTCTCAAACGATCGCTCATCTTTGTCCCTTAACGGGCATGAACATTGAAGTATGCTGCCGAGACGTCGCAATTTGTTAAAGAAAAGATGGCATGCGGAGCTCACTGGCACTTTCTGCATCTGTACTTCACCAGAGGCTTGGTCTAGCTGCCAAGGAAAGTGACCTGGATGGATGCTTCGTCCTATTCCGAAGTTGATTCCCATCAGCCTTGGACATCGACGGGGGAGACATACAGTTCCAACATTCCAACCTACGAGAGAAACACAATCGTACCAACGATCGTTCAACGTTGAAAGTATCTAGTGTGTTTTTATTGGGTACATTTCTCGCCCAACTGTCGTGGGTAAGCTGAATGCCAACCTTGGTGGTCTCAGATGTCCGCCAAACCTTGGAAGCCTCAACCCTCCTAACTACTTAATACTTAGGTACGTAATTCCCGGGCTCTCTCGGTGTGGACTCTTCACTCTGTGTGAGCCCATTTGCTATACTCACCGGGAATACAGCTGCACACGGGATCATCAACAAAGGACGACCCGCTGGATGCTTGATTGTTATGGAATGGAGGCCCCTTGACACACCTGGGCAGCAGGGGAGTCAAAGGACTGAGCACCATTCACACAATGCACATTGACAAGCTGGCCTTTTGGAGAATACAACGAAATCAATCCCAATTCTCTCAACAATGACACTGCTCAAATAGACGGGTACATATAAAACGTCTTTCCGGGGCCTGCGGCTTACTATGCCGTTACTCGAACGCTTCGAATAGCTGACACCTGTGCGACTGGTAATCACCAAGCAACACATCAGTCTCTACGAACGCACGGCAAACAGGGAGAAATGGCTCAACACTTCCCCCGATTCATGTCGCTGCCGGTGGAACTACAGCTCATGGTCTTTGAAGAAGCTCTCATGGTTTCGCTCAGCCCTCGCATAGTGCATCTGGAAACGGAGCTGCGTGCGTTGTTCGCCTGGGACAATAACTTGCTCGGCTGGTGTTGGTGTGTGAGCAACCGGGAGCAGCTAGAGCGGGAGAGCCCCGCTGGGGTAGCCGGGGTTCTGCAACAAGTAAACAGTACGGCCAGGTACGCTGCTAACCGTTTCTTAGATCGCTTAGGGAGCCCACTGAGCCCACCCCGGGAAAGCCATGGACTGATGGGCCTCGGCCTGTGCCTTGTCCGGGACGTCTTCTGGCTTACGGACGAACTGGTTGACTTCATCATCACCACCATGGGCCCTCCTGTAGACCCCAGCCGCGTGGACGAGGATAGAATTTTTAACACCATGATGAGCCTCGAACCATTCGAGGCGGCGCTTCGCTGGGCGACACAGGAAGGACACGAGTTCACAGAGGGCGCCGAGTTCATCATGTTCTTGAAAATGCTGCTCATCAACATCTGTGACTCCTTTCCGGCTGCGTGGAGTTTGACTATCATGGTCGACGTCAATAAGGCAGAAGACATATCGTGGGACCAGATCGAAATGATCCGGGGCGACGATCCTTGCCTGTGGAGGTTGCGTGCCGGGGGCAGTGGTAAGTGCCACTCTCTTTATCAGAAATACGAGGCGCTCAACCGAGAGATCGTGGATGAGGATGCCCATCGCGGCTGGGGCGGACGAGCGTTGCCAGAACTCTCATTTGCCTATCGGAAACCTGTGCGAAGCCCCGCAAGACTTACGATCGAGTGATCAGTAGGGAACGTACGGGAGAGGGGCAAGACCACACGAGATGAGCCAAGGTCGAGAGAAATCTCAGTGATTGCCGTAGTGGTTGGTTAAGGCCGTTGGGGTTTTCTTGTTCTCCCTCTTCCACTCTCGGGGCAGGTGTTCTTGGAGTAAACTCACATTCTCATTTTGTCACCCTACCAAGTCAGGAAGAGGCAGTTGCATTAGGTTGGAATTTAGAGCCACTCGATTAGGGTCAACGCCGAGGTAGTTCGCGAATATAAACTAAATATAGTAAGATGCGAGTGTGTCTTATCTGTTTTTCTCATGGGAATTTTCCAAATAAGGTATTAATGTCAGACCGGTCTCTGGATTTCGCACATGTTCATTAAGAAGTCGTGAGATACATATTCACACATCCATAGATCTGTACAGGCCCAAATTCCTCTTGACACTTCGAGAAGCGTGCATGGAAATCTGATCACCAGCCCTTGCTCATTAAGTTAAGACCCAAGACTTGAGCGCCGTGGAAAAAGCTGCATCCTTGTTGTTTGTCACCGTGGCACGCCATTCTTGCAGCCAGCAGAAACTGCCCAGCGGCGGGGAACGAAAGACAACCCACAGGACTTCAGGGAAGCGGCATGCTACCTTCACAGACGTAACCAAGGCGACCTAATCTACTGGTGATGCCACTTAAAGTATTAATTCAAACCCGAGCGAGTAGGACAGAACCCGGCTGGCAGTGGATCATAATTATCTGGTATCGCAGTAAGAACTTAGGGTATGAAGGGGCCATATACATATATAGGGATTAGAAAAGAAGCCAGAGCACTAGGTCAAAACTATTATTCGTGGCTACAACTAGCTTTAAACGGGTCGTCGTATTAACCTACCTAGGTATGACAGCACTGGGTATTGGTCGACACGATCAAATCACGCCGTCTCATTTCCGGCCTCTCCCCACTGAGGTGACAGACCGACGGTCTACTTGCGCGCCCCTCGCTACGACATTTTAGCAGACCACGCAAAGCGGGGTTGTAAATATTTGATGGGAGATTCAAGAACCATGAGTTGAACCATTAATTAGCCTTTGCGGATAGCATAACTACAAACATTACAAAAGCCCCGGGACAGCCATCATTCCCTCGACCTGACTTCCATCCTGACCCATTGTCATTGTCTTCACTACGTGAGATCCATTAGTCAACAACTCAGCACTTTGAACCCTTATATTAACTGAGGAACGATCAACAGCCTGCCTTTTCCCATCCAAGATGCATGTGCCTATTGTACTTGCGGCGCTCGCCGCGGTTGGAATAGCAACTCCTCAATACACTCATCATCCTTTAGAACCCATCTGGGGAGAAAACCCCAGTGGTGACGTGTAAGACCACCTACTCAGCCCGGGCAAGCTCAAGCTGACGCGCCCACCTGGATAGCACCCGGCACCCCCGCCCCGTGCCCAGGCAGACCGGGATTCGCTGCGACCGGTTGCGCAATACCGCTATAGTAAAATCGACCGTGACGGTCCCGACTGCCGGCTTCTCGGGCACCTGGGACCCAGCGGCGCCCTGCGCCACGGCCACGAGCGCGTGCAGGGTCGGCGAGCCCTCGGGGCGGACGGACACGGTGGCGCCGTACACACTCGCCAGCCATCTCGAAAAGCCTGGTGATCAATGTACCTTGGTGGTCAAGGTGTTCGAGACCGCGCCCAGCGGGTGGTTCTGCACGACGTGTACCATCGGCGGCGTGACTAGCACTTATGGGACCACGACCTTGGCCACTCGGACCGCGGCTGCTGTCCTCGCGGCCGCGACTGCGCCTGTCTAGACGATGGAGCCGATCCAGGGGACTTGTTCAGGAAACTCGTCCGCGAACAACTCTATTTGGCGGGGTCTTTTATATTGGCGTGGTGGAGCTCGGCATCAGGGGGCTGTTTTTTTTCTCAAGATATTCCTCTGACCTGGCTGGACTCAGTCTCACCGGTTTGTCAACTTCTTCTCTTCAAGTTCTTCAAACAAGGCACTGTAACAATAGTGAATGTCTTGGTGTTGCCTCGGCTGGCACTCTGAGATGAAGTACGCCAAGACTTGATTAATCTATTGCCATGCCAGCTCGGGATATGTAAGGAGATGCACCATTGGTAAGACGACCAACTGGTCAAAAGGGGTAGATGCGAGGAGCTTTCATTCGTCGAAACAGTTGGGAAGACTTTGAGTATTTTTATCCACGAACATTCATGGCCTCTCACTCCTCTCCACATTGTTATGGGGAAACCCGCACATGTTCCGTAGGCCCTGTGTCCCCAAGCTCCCAGGTGCAAGCCCACCTGGGCACTGATGGACATTGTGAATCAGAATTTGCAAATGAACAAAAGTGTTAGCTGGTATATGCACACTGGCTGCAAAGCTGTGGTGGTCCGTTTTGTCGATCTGCTTGCTGCCACACTCTCAACCGTGAGGATAGAGTCACTAGAACTTTTATTTCATACTGACACTAATCACCTGAATGCCGAGCGGTTTTGTTAGAATGACACGGTGACATAGTCTCTGGCATTGAAATGGCCGAGACGAGATTGACATAGCGCATCTGAGAGGATACCCGCTTCACAGTGTCAGATCATAGATGGTGAACATCACCCAGAGTGTCTGTCTGTATTTACAATAGACCAACGGGATTAAAAAGAGTGGAGAGGACACAGGGAACTGGTTAAAGTCAATATTGTTGAAATATGGCGGGTACAGTGAAGCAAGCCAATTGGGTGGGCGGGCAGTCGGTTGGATAAAGTGCTGCCGATCGCAGCCTAAACTCGGCCTGTCAATGCTGTCTCCCCAAGTGATGATCTCTGCTTGGCATCATTTTTCATCTCTAGATTATACGCTGGCAGAAGTGCGGAAGGGCAAGGATTGACATTTACCACCTTGGCAGCAGTGAGATGGATATTAAACATCTGACTTGCCTTGAGATGACACCGTGGACAGACTTGACATATGAACTCACCCATTCCTTTCTCACCGTGGAATGACTCTGTTCACTCTTTTCTCACCATGCGACTCACAATGTCGATTTGTACCAGTTCATGGCTCATGACGGCCATCAGACTCCCCTGGCACGGCAAGTCCCGCCCGGTGGACTTGCCCTTCCCTGCAGGGGAACTGCACCTCCCAATGACGGCCAGAACGTCACCATGGAGCTTTGACCTTGGCCCTGCCTGATCCATCCAAGCCACGACTTGCCCTGGGTTCAAAGCACGCATCAGCCTGAACGGAGCCTGATGCTTCGGCATGGCGTCGACCAACGACACCCCCCTCACACAGCAAACTCTTCCAGCCCGACCTCAGCAGCATCTTCAACCGTCCCTGCAGTACACGAGCAGCGTCGAGCTTGGATCAGTCATTTGTGCCACGCCCTGAAGCCCAGCAGAAGTGCCCCACGACCGAGCTCGCCCTTGCCGCCTCGAGAACGACAGCTCTGATCCGCAAGACATGGCTGTCTGAGGCTCCGCCGAATTCTGCGCCCGGCTCGAATCCGCTCGACGAAAACATGCACCCCAAGAAAGTCGGTGGGCGACATTGTCAACGACTGTCGACGCGTCTGGACGCTGGCCCCACATGCGCCGTCGACGACATCGTCCCACAGCCTGAGAGCCTCGATGACTGATTAAATGTGTGCGTGTTGGCAGTATAAATGTTTCGACGCTGTGTCGGCGACAATAACGGCGGCAGCTGGTACGGCACAGCCTCTCGTGGCGTCGATGTAAGGGGCAGAATACAGGAGGCGGAAGGCAGAGTTGCCCATTTCGCCGCTGCTCTGGGTGACAACGACCAGGCTGTTCAGGAGGCTTTTGCAGTGAGAAGGGGAGATGACGAAGGTTACATCTTGATCGTCTGTTGCTCCTCCTCCCCTGCTTTCTTCCATCCAGCCTAAAGTCAATCACCCAGAGAATCAATGGATGCTAATTGTCCCACTGAACCACATCCCCAGCCTCGGGCCCATGTCCAATACCACCAGCGCCGAAGTCTGAGATCCCTGCCCCCGTTAATAACGCTTCCGTGCTCGAGTTCACGAGCCCGTTTCATCAGCACTGCAAGTGCTTGTTTTTCATGGATCACGGCCCGGTCAACACGCCCCAGTACATCCAACTCGCTCTCAACCATACTCGCCCACGGTACCAACCCTCCGTGGGCTGCCCAACGCGAAGAGCGACATGTCACGAGTACCATGCACAAGTCAGAGCCGTTGCGAGGCACGGTGCTGACGCCGCAGCACTGGAGTCAGAGCTCTGGAGGATGTCGCCTGTTTCGGGCTCGGCGCGATGCTACAACAGGCTGACCCACCAGACCAGTCGGGCGACATGCATCAAAGGAACCTGAGCGTGACGAGCCGGCCTCAAATCCTCCGTCCAGCCCTCAAAGGACGCACAAGAACCATACCTAGGCACACTGTCATTCACTGCCCCAGCCTCACTTGGTTGGGATTTTTCCGCGCTGGAACGTCACATCAGCACGATGGCTCACACGAATGAGGCGTCGAATCACACAGTTAACACCATACCGTCTCAATCTCACCTGGCCGGTCTTTCAGGGCAAACAGTTCACAAGCACTTGAGATGCTCTCATAATCCTACGTACTCCGTACATCCTGTGACTGCTCACATCCATGGCCCACAACAGCAACATTCGCATCCCCGCCGGGGCCGAAGCCGACACCCGTGGGTGGGGGAAGCTGGCCCGAGCCCCCAAAATAACAACAAGCAAATGGGAGAAGCTTTCAAACAAGGTTTCTTCCGGCAGAATAATGGTGCGAGGGGCCACCTGGGGAGCGAGGGTTCCCCACACATTTCTAGAAGGGCATCTTACCACTTCCGGAAAACAGGAGGATAACACTCCGCACCTAAATCCCAACGGCGTGACGCCTCACCTCCCAGCGCCGGCAACTGATGTTTGGCAGGACGGCAACGATCGACGTCTGGTCTGCCCTCGACAGCTTGGGCGCCCAATCGAACAAGCCCGGCCGGTTTGTGCTCAGCTGCCAGAGGCGATCCCCCGCAATGTACCCCAGACGCCACGTTAGGAGCTCTGCCGGCCATCAAAGCCAAGTTCCAACGAGTGCCAGCCAAAGTCGAGGCCCGATCCCTGTCCAATCCAACCTTAAATCAACCTACGTCCACCAATGCCTCCCAATACATGCAAACTTATAGCCGATCCGAGCATGAGGGTACATGTGGACTTTTGGCACCACGCCTGAATCAGGAATTCCAACCGCGAGCCAGCCCAGGAACAGGAGGATGATTCGCCCAGCGCAGCTCTCCCCGAGATTAGCCGCCTGTCACATAAACAAATCGGCTCGTACGACGACACGCATGTACATGCCATCCCTGGCCCTCGGGTCATGTGGGTTCAGAGCGACCAATGCCGACATGTCTTCTCACCAGAGTACAGGGTTTTGCCTGCAATAAGGTTAAAAAGGTACTTCTACCCTGATGGTAATGGGGACCCTACCATAACTCACACTCTGTCAGAGAACCAAAAAATACAGTCACCTTTACTATAAATACCTAGAAAAATAAGTCAATCCTAGTAGACTTACATTAATGAAACGGTAACTAGGCTAACGGGAGAGAGGTACCGTTTTAAACTTCAAATAGGAGATTCTGATTGGTTAGTAGGGTGACACTGCATGTATTCACGCTAACAAAGTGCAAGGGAAAATCCTGTACACACAACATGGGTCGACTCGCGTCTTACTGTCGGAAATCCCAATTCTCCGTCTACCCACCGCCACGCCACATGCCCACGCTTGCCCTGAACGGCGAGGCGTGCTGGGCGACGTTGTCGTCTGACGGCTGTAGCGAGGCGGTCATTGGTGCTGTCACCGTTCATCCTGAAAAGGTCCCATCGGCGTCGCTTGGTATAAGCAGGCTCGCCATATGCGGCGGAGTGGAGGTCACAGTGACATGCATGCGGCTACGTGGGCGAGTGGCTCCATATATCCGGAAACCCGGTGAAGTCGAGCCGGAAAGAGTGGGCAACGGCTACTCAGTCTGATGCCTATCGACGATGTCGCTGCAGAGTGGCCTTTGAGACGAACGATAGTGCCGTGCAGTCGTTCGGGACTAGCTCCCGCCACAAAGAGTCGACTACCTAGGTACCTACTGGTAGGTATGAGGGAGAGAGTGGAATAACTGCCCCCAAGCGAAGCTCAGCTCCTGGTTCGGATATGGTGTTGAGAACCCTGCGAGCAGATTTACGCTGCAGTCAGCTGCCCCTGGCCACGCAAACCTTGACGCAGGTCTCGTCATGGTCCAATAACGTTTCGGCTGCTCATATTGCTTGCCGCACACACATCGTCTTCTCTGGTCCTTCATATTATTTTCACCGAGATCTTACTTTGGATGCAACTGTGGATCTAAGGCTATTCCCGAATCTGCATCCTGAGGTCGCCGCTTCCGTTCCGGCCATGCACGGGGGCACATGCGGCCCTCTGTCTGGGCTTTGGCTCTTTGGCCATCCTCGTTGTCATGCGCGCGTCAGGAGACGCACCGACCTTGTTGCAGCGCCTATGGGCCTTGGCCCTGCCAGCTGGGAGGCGTATCCATCTCCCACCACCCTGTCTAGCCCTCCGGTAAATATGCTCCTGGGGCGGGATCGTCCACGTCCCACCCGCGTGTCGACAGCAGAGTGCCCTCGAGGTCGGAAGCCGGGCCATCGTTCCTTCTTGGAGCGTGTTAAACAAATGAACCCTCCACACATCACGTCTCCGACCTCGCCGAATTTCCTCTTTGGGAGCTCTCCCTGGCTCGACGAGTGCCCATCTCACCCGCCCAGCCGGAGACATGAAGCTTGTATCTGGCAGTATATAAACCCAAGAGCTGGGCTATTTCTTGGTGAGCTTGTTCGGTCCATCGATCAGCACAAACAACCCCCAGACAAGCATCGGATCAGCAGAATCCCCTAGCATACCAAGATGATCAGCAAAATCGCCGTCGCGAGCAGCCTGCTCGCTGCCGTCAACGCCCAGGGCGTCGGCACGCAGAAGGCCGAGACTCACCCCGCCATGACCTGGCAGTCATGCACATCTCCCTCGAGCTGCACGACCAACAACGGAGAGGTTGTCATTGGTATGTTGCGGGCTGGGACAGAGCCGACGGTATGAAAGACAACATTTCTCACAAAATTCACAGATTCCAACTGGCGATGGGTCCACGACAAGAACGGCTACACCAACTGCTACACCGGCAACACATGGAACACGACCATCTGCCCCGACAACAAGAGCTGCGCCGCCAACTGCGTCCTCGACGGAGCTGACTATGCCGCCACCTACGGCGCCACCACCAGCGGCAACGCGCTGTCGCTCAAGTTCGTCACCCAGAGCCAGACCAAGAACATTGGCAGCCGGCTGTATCTCATGGAGTCTGCCACCAAGTACAAGATGTTCAACCTCCTGAACAACGAGTTCTCGTTCGACGTCGACCTGAGCAAGCTCCCTGTGAGTCCTCGCCTCCGCTGCCAGATCAATGCCATCCGGTGAAAGGTCAGGGCTAACCAAGGCGGAAATCACAGTGCGGCCTGAACGGCGCCCTCTACTTCGTCTCCATGGACGCCGATGGTGGCATGTCCAAGTACCCGACCAACACGGCCGGCGCCAAGTACGGCACCGGATACTGCGACTCGCAGTGCCCCCGTGACCTCAAGTTCATCAACGGACAGGTATGTCCCCCTCGAGTGCTCATCACCAGCCTGGTGAAAATCCCCAGGTAATAAACCCCCGCTAACATAACTCCCCAACCACCAGGCCAACGCCGTAGGCTGGAAGCCATCCTCCAACGACGCCAACGCGGGCGTCGGCGGCTCGGGCTCGTGCTGCGCCGAGATGGACGTGTGGGAGGCCAACTCGATCAGCACGGCCTTCACGCCGCACCCGTGCACCAACAACGCGCAACACTCGTGCTCGGGCGACGCGTGCGGGGGCACGTACTCGTCGACGCGGTACGCGGGCGACTGCGACCCCGACGGGTGCGACTGGAACGCCTACCGCATGGGCAACAAGAACTTTTACGGGCCCGGCAAGACGGTCGACACGACCAAGAAGTTCACGGTGGTGACGCAGTTCTCGAGCTCCGAGATCAAGCAGTACTACATCCAGAACGGGGTCAAGATCCAGCAGCCCAAGTCGACCGTCGCGGGGCTGACGGGCTACAACTCGATCACGGCGGCCATGTGCACGGCGCAGAAGACTGCTTTTGGCGACCAGGATGTTTTTAGCCAGAAGGGTGGGCTTTCGGGGATGAACTCTGCGCTTAGCAAGGGGATGGTTCTTGTTATGTCGCTGTGGGATGATGTGAGTCTTCCTTTCTGGGTGTGGTGTTTTAGGGTGGGAGAGAGGCTGACCTTTGTCCGTCAACAGCACTACGCCAACATGCTCTGGCTCGACTCGTCGTACCCGGTCAGCGCTGATGCCAGCAAGCCCGGTGTCGCCCGTGGCACGTGTGCCACCAGCAGCGGTGTCCCCTCGGACGTCGAGTCGCAGAACGCGTAAGTCCTTCAAAGTTCCCCAGCCAGTGTTTGGGTGTGCCGTCGTGCTGACCTCCCTGCCGCAGCGACTCCACCGTCATCTACAGCAACATCAAGTTCGGACCCATCGGGAGCACCTACTAGACTGTTGTTGACTGTCACTGATGCAAGACTGTTCTTGTTGGGTTTAAAGAAAGAAAGAAAAAGGATGGGATTGAGGGGGGACCTATGTGCTGCTGCTACCTTGTCCGGCCCTGCCCCGCCCTGCCCTGCCCCACCGCATGCTGGTCGGACTTGTTCGCAAAAAGGCCCGGGGGAAAACGCACTGCTCGGTCGTTTGGAGACGAGACCTTTTGATTCTGACTACTGTACATATTGGCTTGAGAAGCCTCCCTTCGTAAATCTGCATAGGCTTTGCCCGTATCCTTGTTGGTGCCGCTGCTCAGTGCCATGCTGGTGATTTTGGTTCCGTGCGTGCGTGCCTTTTTGATCCGTCGAATTCATCCACGCGTCAAAACCAATCCTCTGTCCTTGCACTCTTCCAGCGATTCAGGAGAACCCTCGTGCTCGGTGTGGGTACGATGTCCTCCATGCTGGTGCCGGGGAACTTTTGCCCAAAAAAAAAAAGGAAAAGGGTGGTAGGGGGGAGGTGTGAAAACTGTGACTCTGAATGGTATGCCACCAAGACTTTCAACAACGAGTTCAGTGTCCTCCTCAATCGAGGGTCTTCTCACCGCTGTTGCTGTGACCTGTCTTCTGTGCATGCTCTTCCCTTATTCTCCACCGATGCGTTATAGCACAACTGCTGTCCTCCCGCAGCATGATCGTCTTTCAATGTCCGTGTCGTGGGGGATCTGGGTCGCTGGAACACCTGTCCACATCGAAAGTCAAACTGTGCAAGCTGCGCTCATGGCATTTTGTGGTGAGTGGGGTTTCGTCTGCAAAACGACCGCATGAAGAGGCGTGCTTCGCGATGTTCATTCCCGCGGAAACACAGCAGAACCCCGATGTTCGACTTGTGTGTCTTTGGTAGCCCGGTAGTGAGCAGTGCGTAACTCCTGTTCCAGTTCGACAGCCGACTTCTCCAGCTCTTGGATTTCAGGCCTGGCGCGGCGGTACCGGCTGACGTAGTGTTTTGCGTCCGCTGGGCAAAGAAATCGAATGCAAGTACTGAACTCGGCTAGTAGTGGTGATCTAGGCGGAGGGAAGATCTGCACAATGCTGGAATCCTCATTTCTCGCGATCGTCAAAAAGCTCCCTGTGTGGGGCACGAGCCACCCCATGCCGATAAGCGATGTCGCTGTTTCCGCGTCACGGACTTTGAACAAGGGTTCGTGGTGTTTGACGGTATCAAACTGAGGAATCAATACGCACGGGGAGTTGAGTGGTCTGCTCCCATGCTTGAATTTTAGGATTGGGCCACCGGCCACGTAGACTAAACGGTCTGCGTACACGGCTTCTACCACGGGTAAGGCTCTCGGTAACTCGTTCGCGTTGGGCTCATTGGTCGTGAGGTTGATGGAGAGGAAGGTCTTCATCAGATCCCTACCTACTTCCGGGATCTCGTCAAGCAAAGCAATGGTCTCGGGAGCCTGAAGATGTCGATCTTTCCGCAGGAACATGAAGTTCAGGAGCACCTGTCGAATAGGTTCTGTGCTTTCGTCTCGATAAGCACATCTGATCGACTCCAGTACCTGTTTCAGGGTATCGGGGAACAATGCCTTGTCCTTGTCCTGTACAGCCATGTGCACCCTGAGGTGGGCTGCGAGCTCATACTTGGCGGCCTCGGCCAGCTTGTCGAGTAGAAAGAAGTCAGCCAGTCGGAAAAGCTCCACACAGAGGACTGCCAGTGGTATGTCTTTTCCATCTCTCAGTGCCAAGATGTCAGGATCTGTTTGCATGGTCAGAGACATAGTGAAACTGAATTTTCCCCAAGATTTCGTTATCCGTGCTCACCCTTGGCGTAGATGAAGCGAAGCATGACCTCGACGAACTCGGCCTCCTGTTCTTGCAGGACGATCGTACCAGACTCAGCCTCCTGAGGCATTTGCTATTAGCTTTGCTAGGCAGGATCACTCTGAGACTTGACGAGGTGACGATACTACTCACCGCCATGTTCCCGTAGAAGGCAGCCTTGAACCACTTGCACCGAGAGCTCAGAATGAGCTTGTGGACCTTCCAAGTCCGATCGCCACAGACGATGGTGGCATCTGCGAAGTTACCGCTCTCGAAAAGCCGAATGTCGGGGTCGTCAAGGCTGCCGCCGTCATTGGGTCGAGACATCTTGGGCTGCTGATGTGTCGATCAGGAAGGGAAGCTTGCTCAGATGAGGCTGGTGATCAAGTTGGAAAGAAGGTAGCGAAGTGTCGGCTTTGAGGGTTGTGAAGTGTTAGGTCGGGAGGTTGTGAACTGTCGAGTCAACTCGTTGGGGGGTTGGTGCAGTGTCTGTTGGGGAACGTGGCTGCCAAATATGGGATGAAAATCTTGGTTTGAGTGTGCGCAGAGGCAACAGACGGACTACTAGTACCTCTATGCTCAAACGGAGTGAGGCAATGGTGTGTAAGCAAGGAGGTGGGAGGCAAGATGATGTTCCCCGTTTGACGATGTTCAGTTGGCTGTTTTGAAAGTGCTTGAGACGACACACTGAAGGCAGTCTTCGGTATGAACAGTCGCAAGTTTTCCCTCAGAAGCGACTGGAAACCTGCCAGCAATGTTGCTTTCGCAGAGTTGGCTTTACCTTCAGTCCTAACACCCCATTCTGCAAAGTCCAAATCAAGTCTCGACAGCACTCCACTTTCAGTCTCCCAAACATATCATGTGTGTGTGTGTGTGTATGTGTTTGGAGGGACGATTTTTAGCTGGGCTTCCCTTGGTGTGATTCATTTATATAGCGACCATCTTTAGACCTAGTCTCGCCGTATGACTCCTTCGCGGCGACTAGCCCGTAGGCTACTTCTGTCTATAATTCTAGTCAACGCCGTCGTCAAGACGGTACCCTTTAGCCTTATCTATATATCGTAAGGCTAAGGCTATAAGCACCTATCGTATTATAACTACTATTATCGGTATTGTATTTTTCTAAGCGCTAGGTCTTAAATATTTACTATTATATAAAGGCGCTATATATGTCCTCGGATGTATACGGAATAGAAGCAAAACTATATATTATGTGGTGGGCAATCAAGCATCATTCCGAAGGTGGAAGAGTAGTACACTGAATAAATAAATGTTATGAAGAAACACAATGTCTATCATCACGTGCACACCCCAAGAAGATCTATTGCAAATCACATCAAAGGTTAGCACGTGCAGCATTACCAGAATCCCGTATGCCGACTTCGTCCGGCAGTCATGAGGAGATCTGAAGATGGTCAGGATAAGAGGAGGCAAATCAGACAAAGGGCAAACCACCCCAGCCCGAAGTCAGAAAGGACGCCGTGCACTTCACCCTGGCAGCTCCACCGGCTCTCTGCGCTGTACCCGCACGCTGAGGTTATTGAACAGCGGGATGTTGAGCCAGATCAGCAGCGTCATGCTCGCTCTGCCCTCGCGCCGGTGCTCGATGTCATAGTGCATGGCATGTGCCCGACGAAGACACTGACCTCATAAATGGCGAAAAAATGACCAGGACACGTATCTCACCAAACTCAAAGCCCAACACGACTCATAAATGGTGCGCGCTTTTTCTTCTGCTCATGTCTTGACTCCTGGAGCGTCGCGGCGGGGACGGTGCTCGTGACATTGACTTGGCAATTGTTAACCGAGCCTTCGTCCGTTGAAGAGGCGCTCGCGGCAACATCGATTATATCCCGCACCGCTCCAGGTTGGGTGAAATGAAACGATTGAAAATACTTCAGGTCGGCATCGGGGCATATCACTTCATCAAAGTGTACAGGCGCGACAGAAATAGCCAGGACAGCTCCCTGGGCAAATGAAGTGGTTTCGTTTCAAATCCCCATACGTATAAAACCCTTCGGAACGTATGCTGCGCCTTCATACAGTGGCAAACGCTCAAGACAGGGGCACATGAAATGACTGGCTCTTGCCCTTCTGGACCGTGCTGCCGTGCGGGCTGATGACGGTACAAGGCAGGCCAACCCCATTGGAAGGGGTGAGGCTCATTGACACACGTACCTCGGAGTCGATGAGCTGGAGTGTGGTCACCGCCTGTCGGGTCCATGTCTCACCGACCTCATTCAGCAAAGCGGCGCTCACGACGCGCAGCGCCTAGATGTAGCCCAGTGATGAGTCGGCCGTGACTTAGTCCAAGATTGGGCTTTTGCACCGTGTAGCTCGTTGAGTGCTTCGATATGTCCTTAATGAACATCATTGGCAGATGGCGAGGAATCCGCTCGGGTTGAGCTGCGCCGGATCACTGGTGAAGTAGCTTTCTTCGATCAGCCTTTGAAGAAGATCTTTCTCTTGGGTACTCTATCAAAAGTGGAAAGAGTAACAAGCGAAATGCTCGGCGATGGGCCGTCTCAGGACATTGAGGTTGCGCGTGATCTGGTTGCGAATGACGTTCATCTAGGAATTGTTCGCGGAGACCTCGTCGACCCATATTGTCCACCGTGTCTGGTTGATGTTGTTCCTTGTCTTATTAATGTGCATTCAAGCGTCAGACATCGCTTACAGGGTCTTACTCAGCCGAGGTCGGATCACAGGCAGTCCACTGCGGTCGGTGGTCGGTAGGACGGACTTTCGGTTCTGCTTGAGAGTTTTGCGGAGAATTCATTTAAGTCATCTGGTGACTGGTTCTGTCACGCACCTACACATAAAAACTGAAAGTGACATTATCGAGATTGCGGGAGTACAAACTTCCGAATATCTCTCAAAAACCCGTAATTTCGTCGATAGGGGCGAGCCCAACAACGCCCTCGGCCACGAGAACCTCGTAACTCTTCTCAGAATCAGGGAAACTTACGGGTGGCTGCTGGGGAGCCTTTCATGGTGTGACATTTGAAGTTGACTCAAATTCCGCAATATCATCAAAAGTCCAGTCACGGCAAGTAAAAGGATATTAAGTGACCCATGTTCGAAGGCACCGTGACTGGAGAGTCGTGCTAGAGGTTAGTCACTGTGACCACCCACGTCACGGGTCAAGTACAATCTACCGCATTCCTCACGTCAGTGAAAAGGAACACGAATGTGGATAATCGGAGTAATGAATGTGAATTTCTAGCTAGGTAATTATACAAGCCTGGAGACGCTCCAGATTCGCGACTCGGAGTCGTCACGATTCGAGGACCATTTGCAGCCACTGATACCATAGGGTACGTCGAAGAGAAAATCGGGACTTGGCAAGAACAGGAGGGAATACACGGAGTGCATGATGTTGCGCCCGTGGTGCAAAGTAAGCACTTGTGATCCTAAATATGAAGCCTCACAAAGTTGAGACCCACATGGGGTCTCACCTGCATGAGAATTCATCCAATGCCGAGCCTAGCCCTGTATGTCCAGGGACATACTTGGATTTAGATTCCATTCACCATATCTTGGCTTCTGCCTCACGGAATCTTCGTCGTCAAATCCTTGAATGAAACCTTGTTCTTGTGACTTGGTTGCATACAGTATAGTATGTTGGCTCACGCTGCCATGTCAAGGATTACACACAGCTTAGCGGCATGTGGCTTGGCTTTGGAATCCGACTTGACCAGCGAGTCGTCTAGATCAGCTCAGCGATATCCAAACGAGGCAGGGTGCAGTAGATCACTTAGAAACTGAGGTGCCGAGCTCGGAAGACAGCAAGATGACATATAAGTATCGCATGCTGGACTTCCAGGGGCATCCCAGACGCGACATCTTCAAATGTTCCAGTAGACATTTACCCCATCTCTATCATTCTCGTTATCATCCAAACTCATTTCAGATGTCCGTCAACGGTGAGATCTCACCCATGGGGCTCCCCCATTTCTGGCCCCTTTTAAACGCCACCAGCATACCTACTCTCGTAGTTGTTGCGGTATTTTGTGGTCTGATCCTCAGAGACAGTGTGCGTGTATATGTGACAGGAGATAATGATATTTTGTGTCATCTGGCTCATTGTGCACAACCTAGAAGGGGCTGTTGACCCTGTCCAGGAGACGTTTTCGAAATGGCCAAGAGCTGTGGCCAATTGGGTGCGCAAGAGAATGCTGGCGTGGATATACCTGTTCCACGGTCCTAATATAATCCAAAACGCCTTTGACAAGGTCGGCTCAACCTTTGATTTGGCTGGAATATATCTTTAAGTGGAACAAACCTCTAATGCTGATTCTCTGTCCAGGCAAATGGCGATCCTTTTGAGATCAATGCTCCGGACAACCGCTACATCTTCGTATCATCCCCGAAGCATATTAAGGAGCTCGATTCGGCCCCTGAATCGGTGTTGAGTCTCCACGCAGCTTCCAAGCAGGTCAGTACCGAAGCCGGCTGGCTCATTCTTCTTCCATCAAAACCACGACGGCGAAAAAGGCTTTTGTTGTACATATCTGTATTAGTAAAGTAGCTAACCTGTCTGATATTCTTTAAACGAACAGTTGCTACAGCCCATGTATACAATGCACGACTTCAACTGGGTTGACGGGCGTGGATATGACGGCGTCGGTTTCATCCGTGCTCTGCGCACGCTCTTGACCAACAACCTTCCCGAAATCTTACCTGATTTGAGTGTTATTATCAGATCGCGCTTTAATGAGTCTCATACAACCCATCGTATTGAGAAAGGTAACTTACTACTTGATTCCAACACTTGGCCGCTGTCCCCGACGTTTCTGACAGAGGGTGATGCTTTTCGCAGAAACAGGCAGAAGGCACTCGCCTGTCTACCCCATGATGCTCAGATTGGTGGCTTTTTGCAACGCTGTGTCGTTCTTTGGCAAAGATATAGGTAGGACACGCTTTCCTGTTTGTCAATATTCTTTCCTAGTACAGCCACGAAAACGGCTGAGCCTTTTAATTCTCCAGTATACTGACAGACAATCTTATCATCAGCTAAGAATGAGCAATTCATGCAGTCAGCTCTGGAATATGTGGAGGAGACACTCATTTGCGCGGAGATTGTAAAGCTATTACCCTCTTCCATGGCTCGGTACGTCACACACAGGACGAGGTCCACTTGCGTGGCCCTTTCTTAATCATTACTAATGTCATATCACTAATATGAGCTCACTCAGATTGGTTGGCCGGGCCATGGGTCGACGACTCAAATCGCAGAGGCTTGTTTTCGAAGCTTTGTTGCCCGTAGCGGAGCAACGGTGCCTTGAGCGTGATTTGAAGGCTGCAGGCCATGCAGTACCCCATCATGTGAGCTCCGCGTAACATTTTATACGCCTGAAGCTTTGTTGTCTCTGGGCTGGGTTCCGGTTTCGATTGACTGAACATTATGCCAGGCCGACTGCATACAATGGATTATGGAATCATCGCCTCGTTCAAAACCTCGGGCACCAGAAACAATCGTGCATGAGCTTATGGCAATATGGTTTGGTTCAGTCCATGCAGTTACAGCGGTGAGTAGCTTTTCGCATATTCAGCCACGCTTGTATGCTCTCGAACCACATTCTCCTTTCCATACTGATGCCTCCCTGAGACCATTACCTTTGCGATCCATGACCTCTGTCTCCATCCCGAGTACGTCCAACCGCTGCGTGAAGAGCTTCATGCCGGGTATGCCGAGTTCGAACGCACATCCACGGGCCTTCCCCTACTGGACAGCTTCATCAAGGAGTCTGCACGCGTGACCCCGGTTGAGGCCAGTAAGTTCAGCCAGAGCCTGTTCCATTTGTTTCTCTGTCTAAAATCTCAATTAAGTGAGCACGCGTCGCGCCGCGCTGAAACCGTTTACGCTCTCCAACGGCATCACCATAAATCCGGGCGAATGGGCTTGCACACCAGTTCAAAGCATGATACAGAGCGCCGAATATTACCCAGCACCGCTCGAGTTCCACGGCTTCCGCTTCGCTGAACACACAGGGGTCGGCGCTGTGAGCGCCGAGGGCCTTGACTTCCGGCAGCCGAGCCCGTCGAAGCTGAATGACGTCGAGCATCCGTGGCACGTCTGGGGCACTGGCAGAATGGCGTGGTGAGTCGCAGAACCTACAATCGGGGTAACACGACCTGCGGTATTGAGACACTGACAAGTTCATAGTCCAGGCAGATTCTATGCAGCTGCGGTGATGAAGGCTGTACTTGGGCAGGTGATTTTAAACTATAACTGCGAGCTTGCAGAACCCGGATCGCCGCGTTGGTTCATCTGGAGAGCGAATAGGCTGCCGAAGGCAACCACTGCAGTGATTTTCACGCCTGTCGAAGAGCAAGGGCTGAGGTGAATTTGTGCGGATGGTCAATTTCGCAACACTGCTAAAGTGGAGGACTCGTTTATCTAAAATACAACGTGGGACCTCGAGGCAACTGGTATAGCATCAGGACACCATCTAGAATAGCACGTCTTAATGTTCAAGGACCGACTTCTTGTCCTGATTCAGTCCGTCCAAGCATAAATCGTCCTTACACAAAGTTTTGTGCCCAATTTCGTGACAAGTGGTCGGTAGAAAGTGCGTGCGATAACATTACATTGGTGCTTATCTGCAACACTAGACCCTCGAAGAGTTCATCGTTCTTAAAGCTCCTTACAAAAGTTACTCGTCGATCTACCTAGGCTAGGATTACGCCTCAACATGATAGAATACATTAGCTGGGCAGCGCAACTTATACATTTGAACGCGGCTGCTCATAATAGCCGCGGTGATCCAGTATCGAGACGGTAGTGCAGCCCCTGTTCTCAGACTTTTCCGGTCTAGCATATTATCCAGGGCCCGGGGTCCCTTCATGGGATGTGGTGAGATGCGCCCATAAGACCAGGGGAGCTGACTCGACACAACTATAAGCTGAGGATGACTGCATGCAGGTTCAATAGTGTATGAGCCGGCAACAACCTCAAGTCGGTGTGAAGGATGCGGATCGCAACTGCTCGGCGGGAGCATGCTGGTTGGCCACCTCCAGAGCTGACTAGGCACCGCCAAGATTGTCCCAGGGTGGTTTGTACCCACGAGCCGACTTCGAGCGCTACCAGTCCCCGTTCCCTTGTACATCTGCCTATCTTTCCGCCTTGTAAGCAGAAGGTCTTTGCAGGGCCAAGCCCAACAACCAAGGAATTCTTTGTATGCAGTGTGCCAATTTGGGTGTCTCGGCCAATCGCCATGCTGTACGTGCCGTATCCTGTGTAGAGACTCCACCCACACTTATGAAAACGAAAGAGGAGGGTTTTAGCAAGAAAACACTGATTGTTGGAGGGACATGCCCGATACCTCGAGACGATGTAGATCATTGCGTACCTATCGCAGCCTTCTTACGGGCATGGCATTTTCCTGATAGCCCTGCCTATATAAGGTAGGACTAAGCCTGCAGGACCCTCGGATCGGCGGACTTGATGCAGGTGACGTGGCTATAGACCGGTCTGATAGACCGGTCTCCATCCGCAATGAACGATTCGCACCTTCGCTTCCACTTCTGTTTTCCCTCAACTTGAACCAACACCACATATTCTGGCCTGGATAGGCGCTTGATGTAGCCCATAAGGAGTAATAGCTTAATTCACATAACCCTGGGTCCCTCTATCCTTTTGTACCAACGCTTAAGTAATGGATTTGAAATGAATAGAAAGTGGATTACTAAGGCTGCTATGGTAAGATAGATGCTGAAATTAAACACTGAGATAATGACTGTCTAGGTAGGAAACTTTAGAATCCATCCTCTCTATATATCCATTCGTTCCCTCATTGCCCAACGGTAATCATTCCAATCACTCCATCATGACCACCTCTTCGCTTGGATGATCATTCCGTGGCATGTGTTCCTTTGTAGAGTGGTTCTTTCAATCCGTGTCGTGCTGTATCTACGAAGGCTGAAGCCAGAAAAAAAAGCTATGGCTCGAGCATCAATTATGTACGAAATATGAAGTAAATTTCGTCAGCGAAGCAATGTGTCGCGGTCTCCTGGCCTTTGTCACGTGCGCCGCCCTGGCCTTACTGCACACTGTGACAAGTCACAGCTGGAGCATGGAGTTGGAGCCTGGGAAAATCGTCAACTTGGAGTTAATTCATTATGTTGTGATATAGGAAGAGAAAAAAAAATTGGAATTAAATGTGTGAGCTTCGGACTTTATTCCCAAGAGCTCTTAGTTCTATATGCGAGGTGATCACATGATCAACTTGACCTCAGATATCTTGGTGGACACACCATGACAATGCTTTCATATCTTGGCCAGAAAGTGCTCGGTCTGTGGACCCTGAAATGATGGCAAAGTGGAGAAAAAAGTGGCCAGTCTATCTTGATCAACCATGGGTGCATTGATGAAGGAGTCGACAGCTGGGTCATTAATCATGCCATCCAACAACGGTAAAATAGAGTTCAGCGCATCGACATCGCGGTTCAGCAGTGCCAGCCGCGACATAATACTGTTTTCAACATACCAGCTCTTGTCTTCCATCATACAAGTGGACTCATACAAGGCCAGCACTTGCGGCGTGACACCGAAACCGTGATCGTTTTCGTGTACCATAGCATCCTTGGCAGCCTCGTATGCCATCCGTTGGCCCGTAGCCCGGACCAACGGCAGAGACAGCGGTAGGACATGGGCATTGAACTCTTCACCCCGGTGTCCCCCGTGAAGCGACGCCAATATTTGACGGGTTTCGTTCCAGACTCCGGACTCGTGGAGCGCCAGAAGACACTGCGGGTCACGGGCTTTCGGCGGTGCATACCGCCCGAGAAGGATCTCACTCGCGAGTCGGATGCAGAGGACCACAAGGTCGCCCTCGGCGATGTTGTTGCCCTTTTCGGCGAGCCATAACTCGCTAATCTGAAGAGGTCATTGCATGTTAACTCTTGCGGAGACATCTCTATCATGGGGCGAGGAGTCTACTGACTTGATTGTGAGCGTATAGACCCTGCCAGCCACATCGGTCAACGAGTTCACTCAATGCCTTCTGCGTATAGTCGAGGACGGTAGCCTTGAAAATGCTCGCGATCACATTCCCCATGTCTGGTTTTCCGACGTTTGCGGTGAACAACTGCATCGCCTCCATCGCGTACTTGTCAAAGACGACGGCATGCGCAAGAACCCGTGCGATAGGGCCGTACTGGGTGCTGAAGGAGAGGATAGGAACCGACATCGGCTCGCCGACCCGCCGTTTGGCGCTATACCTACCGGCAATGCAGCCCGCCACGCGCAGGACGGTAGCGTTGCTTGTAGACAGGCAAAGCGTGCCGACGGTCACGCGGTGGATAGCACGCAGGAAGGATTTCCGGTCGTCCTCGGGCGAGCCGTGAAGATGTCCGAGCAGGGCGTTGGCCGGTAGCGGTACGTGGTGAAAGCTCGTCGAGGAGTGATCGATGGCCTTGGCTCCCGGACGAGCGGGAAACAGGGTGCATGAAACGCCGCGGCACATCGCACCTGACGCATCGTTCAGAGGAACGATAAATGGACGTATGCCATGGTATTTACCAGCTACTATGAGTCGGGCAAAGACAACGGCCGTGCGCGCCATACCAGAGTGAGGGGAACTAGGGGGCATTGTCTTCGCTGCACGAGGATAGGGAGTATGAAGCACGAAGGAACCATCGGCTTGATGGGTCGCGGTGGTTTCAAGATTTCTGGCGTCCAGCCCATGGCCCAGCTCGGTTAACAAGAACTCGCCGCATGTGTCGAACCGCTCTAAGGCTTGGAGCAAGGGCAGTAGGTCCGACCGCTCAGGAAGAAATGAGCTAATTGTGCCAATACAGAGATTCCAATGAATGGTTAGTATTGTCCAAACACCGGAGTCGAGGGTTAAGGCTGGTAGAGGATGAGCACTAAAACTTCTAGGTGATAATATAGCTTGGGGATCAACTCTGACCGTGACGATGAAAGTCCCAGAATTTTGGCCCCAGTGAGCGTATATCCTCAGTCGTCATTCCTAAATGAACGTTACTACCCATCAGCGTTGATCGCAGGCCAAGAATGGTGTAGCTTTTCTAACCGATTGCCTCAGTAAGACTTCGCGCTCGCTGATATGCAAGCCTGATTCTCGCCTCGACAGACGAGGCTCCCAGCTCGCGGTCCTGGTGCCAGATGGGCTCTTGGAGGATCGGCGCGAACGACTCGACTCGAGAGAACGGGGACGTCATGGCTATGGGAGGTGACGGCGACGGAGAGCAGAGGACGAGAGCAGTGTGACAATAAAGTAGAGGAAGAGGAGTGTTTGCAGAATTTGTGGTTACGTTACAGGCAAGTTGGAAAGTCCCTCAGCCAGACAACAGACGGTACTTAAGTAGTCTGAAGGGACCGCGCACATTACTTCCGCACTCAATTCGAACCATGGGAGAACATGATGTGAACACAACGAATCTCCCCTGTCCCTCGGAATACTTTATTCAGACTCAACGTGATCGAGCCAATGTCCAGCTACCCAGTACCAATTCTTGCTGGCAACTCCCCTATATTTGCAAGTACTCTTGAATGCTTACCACCGTATGAAGGCGTCATGTATGTCCTCGGACGTATACGGAATAGAAGCGGAACCACATTTACAAGTACCCTCTGAGTCAGCGCCAAGAATTCTACACGCAATTTCCTTCCCTGATTTATGCTACTCAAGGTATAAGCCGCTTCTGGCACGCCTTCTGCCCGCCTTCGGGCCTGCACGCCTTCAGGTACCAACTAACCGTTTACGTACCAACTGAGTATTCAGATGCCAACTGAATACTAGAAGGCGAGAAGGCCACAAGGCCACAAGGCCAGAAGGGGTGCCAGAAGGGGCTTGTACATTATGTATCAAAAATTTGAAAAATCCTGATCAGGTACATGGTTTTCTATAGGTCCTACACGTAAAGTTTTGTACTGGGTGGTGAACAGAAATGGCTGAGTGTGTGGACGTTGGCTCAACGTGATCTTCTTATTATGATTACATAATATACCTAAAACATTATCACATTAATGCATACCCCGAGGGGTAGCATTAGTATATCAAGAAAATGTTAAACACAGCCTTCAATGTGGATATCGCGATGCGTACTCAGAGGGTTCATAGCAGGTACTTAATTGAGACGTAGCCTCGAGGCCCACCAACATGCCAAGCAGGCAACGGAGGTGTTGGGTACCTCTCAGGGCGTCACATGTGTGCCAACGCGCATGCTACACACCCGAGCCACCCGCTCCCTCGGGGTTCACATTCTCGACCCAGTTCACGCAACTCTCGTGCCCGTGAAACAAGAATACGTACTTTCAACTACGATGGACTATTCGGACCCTAACGCCTTCACCTTGCCCTACCAGCTGACGAAGAAAATCCGCCGTGATGTTTATCCACTGTTACAGCCGACCCAGCCCGAGCTGTCGGCAAAGGGAAAGACAGTGCTCATTACTGGCGTTTCGGGGGGCATCGGCAAGGTAGACACGATTCCCGGAAACTCGGTCTTCTTTATGTGTGGCTAATAGATGCAGGCCATAGCCGAATCGTGGGTTACCGCGGGAGCTTCCGGCGTCGTGATCACTGGGCGCAAGGTCGATGTGCTCGAGGGTGTCGCCACGCGACTTCGGAGTCTCGCCCCGGAGCCCAGCACTAAAGTCCTCGCGCATGCGGTCGACATCACCAACGAGGCCTCGGTGGCGGCGCTCTTTGCGGCAGCCAAGGAGGCGGTTGGCAAGGTCGACGTGCTGGTCCACAGCGCGGGCAGCTTGGAAGGCGGGGCCATCGGCGCCGTCGATGCCACGACATTCTTCAACGACTTCCAGGTCAACGTGCTGGGCTCATACCTGGTGCTGCAGCACTTTCTCGCCCAGGCGGACGGTGTCGGCACCGTCATCAGCTTCACGACGGGCGCCATCGGCAGCGTCTTCCCTGGCATGGGTGGCTACACGGCGTCCAAGCTGGCCCTTGTCCGCATCATGGAGAACCTGCACGCCGAGCACCAGGGCATACGCGTCTTCTCGCTCATGCCGGGTATTGTCCTGACCGGGATGACTGTCGATTCGTTACGGCCGTATGCCAAGGATAGCGCCGCTCTCAGTGGTAGTTGGACACTCTTCCTGTCTACTCCACGCGCCGAGTGGATGCGCGGCGGCTTGCTCAGCGTCAATTGTAAGTCGCCTTTCAGTTCTCCAAGATCACTGCTTTCACTAATACAGGTCGGCGTCGCAAGGGGATATCGAGGAGATGGAAGCCCATAAGGATCTGATTGTTGGCGACAATCTGCTTAGTCGGGCTTTTCTGAACGCCAAGCTCGGGAAGGATGGACATCCTTGGACTTGAGGCGGCGGTGATCTGAGTAGCAAGGGGATTATCGTCTATGTGGTGGCAGTCACGAAACTTTATGTCAGATATTGGGTCACCTAATATCGTCCAGTACTTAGATCAAATCGAACAAGATGACAGGGATCCCAGTCAGGTGAGGCGGGCTTTGTAGGGACATGAGGACTGCAGACATTATTCACCACCTCGTACAAATTATAGCTTAACACAATCTTGGAAGTTTCTTAGAAGGGGAGGAAAGCGAATGGAATAAAAAAATTGTGTCATTCTTCTTAGATTTCGATCTTGGAGGTCGGACAGTATCGAGACGCCACTTACTGCCGTTGCGAGTGACCAGCGTTGTTCGCAGGGTTGACATCATGAGTGTGGATGAGGCATTTGCGATGAGGTTGGGCGCGAGATGGTGCCAGCGAGTGTGATTGGCAAAGGTCCCTAGAAGGGCTGCAGGTTCAGTTTGGCCCTTGACCCAGCGCTCTTGGAACAGGGCCACATCGATGGTCCCTTCCCGCTCGGCATCGTTACGCAGCGTCAACGGCCAGCCAGGTGGAAATGGCGAAATCTGCCTCCACGATAAGTGGATGATGGCAGGGCAACAGCTCTGATTATCGGTTCACAATTAGTGGGACTGTCATGGATGAGAGGTACCATGGCTGCGTGGCGGAACCTCAAAAACTCGAGCAAAGTGTTCATGTGAGCCAACAGGTGTTAGGCAAACCCGGAAGGCGCAGAAGCCCCAAGAATTTGAAGAAGGAACCACCAACACAGCTGAGCTCCAGCGCTTGCCTGCACTTGGGCCAATTCGTCCCAAGCCTCTGGCGCAAAACGAAAACCTGAAGTCCTTTCAAATCTTCCACAACGAACAATCTTTCCGCAGCACAACACCCAAAATGGAGTGCCCGTCAGACAGCCCCTCCAAAGGCTTTCAGCAGAATGACCTCGAGTTGCTCCATTCGGGCATCCTTGCAGATGGAACCATCAAATGCCAGGGTCGTACCTGGAAGGTCCATCGTGCGCTGCTCTCGTCGAGGCTTAAGTGGTTCAAGAAGGCCTTCTGCGGACCGTTTGTAGCACGTCATCCCTGAAAAGCATCTCCTGATGGACACGTGTGCTCTAACACTACCTCGATTGACAGGAAGCTACCTCTTGCGAGGTTGAGTTCCCAGAGGCTGAGCCCGAAGCAGTCGACTTCATGATTCGGCATCTCTACCGCGAAGGTACAGTTCAAACCATCCAGCTCAGCGTAGACCGCCAAACGCTGACGGTGGGGACAAGAGCTTGACGTCAGTGCCCTGAACACTCCTCTCCTCTGCCTTTCCTGCTGGAAACTGGCCGATTATCTACGGCTCGTCAGCCTGAAGTCAGTCGTAAGATCGGCAATCAACGACCACCTCAATGCGATGCTCCTACTTGCGTCCACCGATGAAGACCTCGAGTACCTCACAGGCTGCGGGCGCAAGCCCATATGGTTGGGACACTTCATGGACGCCTTTCGAGAAGTTTGTGCCCACGCCGTCTTCCGGCCTCTGCAGGCCGAGTTTGTCGCCTTTCTGTGGGTAACCCGATTGGAGATGCTCGACCTGCGCGAGATCTGGGATACCTTGGACGAGCACAAGGACGTGAGAGCCAAGCTGCTACATCTCCTGATCCGGCAGGAACGTGGAATCGTCGACGGCACATCGTCACGATTGATCCCTCGGGGCCGCCTCATCGACGCCGCGATCAGGAACAAGAGCAGGCCGGAGGCCGGGGGATTTGAGGATTCCAGATGTTTCCGCTGCGATGTGCGGTACATGCTCACTGACGATCCATGGTTTTACAACCCCCTACCGATGCAACACTACACCCAGTGTAACACAATTGGTCGCACGCAGTGGTGCAAACAGTGCGCTGACTTTATCAATGCCTCTCGTACCCAGGGATGGAGACTCGACAGACCCGAGGAGAAGTCGACCATGAAGACATTCAAATTGAAAGCATGGACTTGGTATCACGATGATCTGGACCAGGCACAGTAGGGAAAGGTCCATGGTCACCAGACAGGACTCGGGGGCTATTTCAGAGGAGGCCGTCACAGGAGAAGCTATCGCACGAGAAGATGATAGCTTGTAGGGAGTTGGGCTCGAGGGGCTGGTAGAGACCCGAGCAAGACTACTACCATCCCCAGACAAAGCTACCAAATTAATCTGCCTAGCTGTTGGCGTATTTTGGCACAGACACGCGCAGATCAGTTCCTGCAGCTGCGGTGACCAAGTAAGATGCCTCTCCGTGAGGGATTCCTGTGCCAACCCGCGACAAATCAGCCGACACGACAAACCTTGGAATCCAGAACGATCAAGTGGATCGAGGAGTGGATCTTGATGAGGCTGATATCTATGCAAACGCTCGATGGGATGTTACGGCTGATTCAGTCCCCAAAAACCCTAATTTGACTTCGCACGACGAGTTTATACCGCAGTCATGACGCACAGGCTGCAGCCAGCCGTGCCATCGGGACAGGCTCGAGCTACTCCAAATGAGTATGCCGATCTGCACTGACAAAGGTTTTGCAGCACCTCCACGGGCCGTTGCTGTTGAATCAGAAGCTCGCGCGACGGCAGTCACGGGAGTTTCACATCAGCCGTGATGGTCAGCTAGGGAAGGCCCGAGCCCTCTTATTAACCGAGACTATGCCAGGAACGAACGCCATGGCTCTGTTCTCCGCTCATCGACCTCAGCTCATCGCAGATTGAGAGCAGGAGCACATCCAGCCTGCGCAGGCGAGTCATTGCAAAGCTTCTAATCGCTCCATCCGGGGCAGTATCAGGTCTTCTCGCTTGCAGACACCCACAGCAGGCTAGTATAACATCTTTTCCCCCTCTAGCTGTTTTGACACCACTCCTGCACACGCAGATGGTCCTCGGCCTCGCGTTGGGTAATGGCTTAGCCTGGTCAAGGAGCCAGATCCGATCCAGATGCCGATGACGCCCCCCACGGCGGGCGACCGCAGCACGCTCGCGCCGCTCCCCGAATACCACCGCCGGGGCCTTACCGTGCTGACTGTGTTTTCCGTGCTGTCATTTGTCACGACGACGTTCCTATGGCTGTTCATCACGTTCAAACTGCTGTCGTTCCGGCTGCACAGGTTCCGATGGAGGAGGTGCCAGAAGAGGCCGGCCCAGCGGCAGGAGCAAGTCGAGATAAGAGACCCTGACTTCTCGCTCGGGCTGGACCAGCGCCATGCGCACCCCGGCGGGGGCCGCACCATCCTCGAGCAGCTGCAGGAGATGGACCGGCTGCGGTTCGAGCAGGACCAGCGGGACCAGGCGCAGCAGCAGGACGGGCACCAAGACCAGCTGCAGGGCACAGCGGCAGCCGACGAGGAGAGGGCCCCGGATGCATGCGGCCAGAACTCGGGCGACGAGGAGGAAGAATACAACCCCTTCCCCATCCTGGTGTACCACCTCCTCCTCGCCGACATGCAGGAGGCCATGGCCTACGGGCTGAGCATCCACTGGCTGTCCGAGGACGGCATCTTTGCCCCCTCGGCCGTCTGCTGGGCCCAGGGCTGGTTCGGCTCCGTCAGCAACCTCGGCGCCAGCCTCTTCCTCTCCGCCATCTCGGTGACGACGTTCAGCACCATCGTGCTGGGGCACAAGCCCGGCAGGAGGATGCTGTACGCGATGATCAGCTGCATATGGCTCTTCACCTACGGCATCAACGCCGCCGGCGTGCTCTGCTCCCTGCGCAGCGGGCCCGTCGTCGACATGGGGGAGTCGTATTTCATGAGGGCTAACGTTTGGGTGCGTACTGGTGTCTATCTGCCCACCTAACACCAGACAGATCATCTGTGTCTCCCAAGTATGCCGAGGGTGAATGCTGACCTCTGCTGACCTCGCGATACAGTGCTGGATCAGCTCCGAGTACAACCCCTGGCGCCTGTGGTCGCACTACTTCTGGATCATCGTCTCCGTCTCGCTGACCTTCGGCCTCTACTCCATCGTCTTCGTCACCCTGTGGCGGCAGAAGCGCAGCTGCCGCCACATGCCGATGCGCCGGCTGCACACGCCCGAGTCGGCGCGCCTCGAGGGCGAGGCGCCCCGCCAGTCGGGCTACCACCCGGCCTTCCTCGTGTACCCGTTCATCTACCTGGTGTGCATCGCGCCGCTCGTCATCGGCCGCATCTGCATCATCATGGGCTACGACCTGGGCATCTCGTACTTTGCCTTTGCGGGGTCGCTCCTCGCCGCCAACGGGCTGTTCAACTCGGCGCTGTGGACGACGACCATCCTGTTCAGCGCGCCGGGGGACATGGCCGCCACGGGCTTGGACCGGTTCAGCTTTATGAGGACGCCGGCGAGGGATTATGGGCATACGGTTGTCATCAGCGGGCCGGTCAGTCAGGGGTATTCTGGGATGTACCGCGGGCGCGGGCAGGGGCAGGGGCAGGGGCAAGGACACGAGGCGAAGAAGGATCGGAGGGAGTGGTGGTGGTGGCGGTCTGGGGGCCAGAGGGGCTGGGGTCGGTCGTATGTTAGCGCGCATGAGGCTGTCAATCCTGATCTGATACGGGTTTATTCTACGCCCGAGCCGGCGGTGGTGGAGGGGCCTTTTATTCATATGAATGTTGTCACGCGGGTTGTGGTTGAGGATGCGAATAGGGAGAAGGCTCCGGGGGGAGTTGATTAGTGATGATGGTTTTTCTTTTTGTTTTTGTACAATTTAATACTTGGTCTGCATGACTTCTTCCGTGATTAAATGTGGGCAGTGACCTGATCGCCCACCTCGCTATCATGGCCCTTGTGTGGATGCCATGTCTCCTGTCTGGTGGGTGGTCTTGTTCCGGGCGACCTGTCTCCGGGCCATTTCCCCATCCCGTCCAAAATTTCCATTCTTCTGTTCATCAGTCTGGTGTCATCCGCCAATTTCTGTAATATGCCCTTCCCTCGAATCTCATTTTCCATCGGGTCTCGGTTCTCGTCTTCCTTCTCCCATTGTGGTCTTCGTCAATAGAGTTTCATCCAGGAGGAACCCTTCATTCGTGCCAGCGAACCGCTTGGCCGTCATAGTGATTCAGAAACGCGTGTAGCGTCAAAAATCGGATCGATTTCAACCTTGGTAAGATGGGGAAAGCCGCTTATTTCGACCTTGTGGGGCGCCAAAGCCTCCCTCTCAGCGGCAGTCAAATCATTTTCATGTCCAGTCCAGCCCAGGCGGAGTTCTTCTAGTGTGCCTCTGACCTCTTCTAGCGCCTGCTGAAGTGTGGGCACTGGGATTCCCTCTTCTTCGTCCGTGGATGGGACGGGGGATCCCTCATCTTCGTCCGTGAATGGGTTGGGGGACGGCCAACGGAACCATATCGGGGGCCAGGTTGTATAGCAGAGGACCTTGAGTGAGCTGCAGGAACTGAGGATGACCCGCAGTTGGGCGGGATGTGTCCGCGACTCATAGAGCCCCAGATTGGTGACGTGGGAGAATATTGCGAGACCTCTCGGGGGCGGACGTGGTCGAGGCCATCCCTGGCCGTCGAGGTAGTCATTGAAGAACCATTCTCCATTATCCCCGCAAAATTCCCAGTCCTTGCTCACTAGGTACTCTGGTGCTAGGGGATTTGGTATGAGCCACTCGCTGGAATTCCGCGGATACTGCTTCCTGATGGAAATGAGATTCTTCAGAGGATTCTCGGGAGAAGGTCGGGTGGGGTCAAGCCGGAATTGGTCCATGATTGTGTCGTGCAAGGGCCGAGGACAAAGAAGATAATCGCGCTCGGGCAAAACGACAACCAAGATATCCTTGACTTGGGTTTGCATATGAAATAGGAGTTCGAGGAACTGACTCTGTACGCGGTGGATCGTATCCATCATCAGACCCTCGTAATCGACATCCCACATGAGGGCCAGGGGCCGTGACAGAGCAAACTTGAGCAGAGGCAAGAGTTTTCCCAGTGCGTTTAAGGCATTCGCCCCATTGCTCTCTAGGTTCTGTGTGTCGACTTGCTTCACCCTGTCAATGGTCTTCGTGATGAAGTCCACGTTGCGTCGGTCTGTTTCAACATCCTCGCCGAATGGAATCTCGGCGAGCACAGCAATACGGTGGATCCATGCTCGGCGCTCCTTGTTTGAAATGAGGGTCACCAGGAGACTGGGCAGCTGCGTCTCGTCGGTGAGTATGACGTATTTGTACAGGAAAGGCAAGGCAAGGTCATAGCACTTCTTGGAGGTGAAGCAGAGACTGAAGAGAGCTTTCCGAGAGCCCTGGATGGCAGGAGAAAGAGGTGCCCAGGTTCCGATGGGTAAACGGTCGGGCACAAGACTCTCGAACACTTTGAGGCGCACCTCCTCCGGGAAACAACCCAGGATGCCCGAGCCATCTTGCGAGGCCATGTTTGCTTGTGATTGCCGATTGAGGAGGCGTAAGAGCCACGGCAGCGCGCGGGGTGATTGACTGGAAGCAGATTGATGTCAGCACGATTGTGGGAAAGTGTATCGCTGCATGTGAGGTAGGTTATGCTGACGATTTCTTGCAGCAGGCGCTTTGTTTGTTATGTGAGGGCCAAATGCACATGGTTGGGGGTGTGAAGACTGACGAAAGGAAAAGGTTGGGTTACAGCGGTAGAAAGAGGTGGTGATGGCTTGGCTGGCAGAGGTGGGTGGTGCTTGGGAAGAAGTGGAGCCTAAAACAAGTTTGCAGTGGTGCTTTGGGATTTTGTTTGTTTGGCTTACAGGACAGCTGCAGGTCGTAGAGACCTGACCCAGGGGAATCTTGAAAGGGAAGGGAATGAATGGTGTGAAGTTGTTTTAAATGACCAGATGCATGTAGACCTTAAGCAAGAGTGAATACTAACCTCACTTAAATACCATACATCCTAACCTCCTTCCTCCCTCCTAACATCCTTCCTCCCTCCTACCCTCCCTCCTACCCTCCCTCCTACCCTCCCTCCTACCCTCCCTCCTACCCTTCCTCCTACCCTCCCTCCTACCCTCCCTCCTACCCTCCCTCCTTCCTGCACTCCTAACCTCCCTCCCTCCCCAAGGCGAGTGTGGTCATCAGGGCTCCAGAACAGATGCCCAAGTGTGGTGGTGTTGAGTTGTGGTTGTTTTGTGTGTGGCCGAGAGGCAAGCTTGACAAAGGAAGGGGAGGGTGCAAGAAAGTTGGTAAATGCAAAGCCTGCCAAGAAACTCGGTCAAGGGAGAGGTCACGTTTACTTGGGACTGTTTGACCTTTGCCAGGGCAGTCCAAATTTGAAAAGACCTACCAGGCCATAAGTCACAGCAGTGAGTGGGCGTGGTTGCCGGGGAGGGAGCTTCTGGAAACAGAGAAAGCTCTGGTTGTTTGTTGGCGACCCTAGGCTCATGCCGTCGTGGATGACATTGATTGACAGCACAGCACCGGAATTGGACAGATGCATCCCATGACACTGAAGACCTGTTGCCTGCAGACTTTTACCATCTAGAAACACCCCCAATCACGAATAATCGTTATGAAGACTAGCTATCTCGAGAAGCAGAGATGCAGGTTGTGCATCGACTTCAATGTTGAAACAACAGCCATAAGTATTTCAAAAGATTTAGCAGCAACTGCAAGTAATGGTGCTTTGCGAGTCGACATGCTCTAATGAAAGCTTATGCACATTGATCACAAATCCAAGTAGGACATATTGAACGAAGTGTTTCGACCCCAGCTTTTCTAGCTTGGCAAGAAAACACAAACTTTCCCCCATATTCAGTCCAAAGCTCAGCGAGCTCTAGAAAATTAAGATATTCCATACACTGAGGGCATGGAGTCTGAGTACATGGACATGGTCTGCACCTGGCTCTAAAGATTTTCCACCTGTAAATACTTCATGCTTTATCCGTTGCCCCTTTGTATACCGATTGGGCATGCCGTCGCAAGATCATGGCAGGCCACTTCAACACAACCACCATGGGAATCGTGTGGAATGATGTGTCTCCCGTTCCGGAGCAATTTTGAGCTCGTATGTAGGTCAATGTCACGGCTGCTGGGATTTCAAACGTGCAGCAGGATGCGTCGACGCTTGCACTCAACGTGCTCGCCCCAACGGCCCCCAAGAAGGCTCACGAGTTTTGCAGCTCCGCGAACGCGATAGTTCAAATGTTGAAGACGCGGCTGGAAGCTATGACACTTTTCAGGTGGCCCTCGATCATTCCGTCCCTATCAGTAAGTCACGAGTAGAATTCATGTGGATATAGCACTAGGCAAATCCCCGAGATTTGTCCTCATTTGAGGGACGAGCACATTAGCTGGCTCCCTTATACAGCGATCATTCCTTATCGTACCACGTAATTCTGTGCCTGTAGGCGATGCCACGAGAGCTTTCAATAGCCACATGGTCAGTACACTGGAACACAAGACCCAAGCAATAAAACAGAATCAGAGTGGATCCGGCGGTATACTGACATCCTTCATTCGCGCCATCGACAAGCACGAGACAGAGAAAAAGCACACTGTCAAGAGGGTTTGATTATCTGAATATATAGTAGGCAATTTGTTCGTCAACTCTGCCGGATGCGACGCTTTGGCTGTTGCCTTGGCGTTCTGCTATTCTCTCTCGACGGTCTACCCTGACGTGCAGACATGGCTACCTAGGTACCTAGGTAACCGAAGAGGTCACTGCAATTGCCTTCGTAGGGACCCGAGGACTGAGACTACAAAGCAATGCTCCCATGGCCAAAACATTACCAGGCTGTGTTGCTAGAGACCCCAGGCACATGTGCCTCCGTCTCTTTACGCCGATTGTCGGTACAACACAAAATGGACTGACACAAGGACGCAGACACTTGATGTGGACCACAAAGCACTTAAAATTCCACCGGGTGTGTATATCTCAACACTTGGAAGTTATGGCGATTCATACGCACCCGGATCATTGGGATGAGCCCTACTGCCGGAAGCCATCACGGTGGGTCCGCTCAGAACAAACTTCGGGACCAAACCCTAATTCTCTTCATTTATAGACACTGATTGAGCCAACCCTACATATCCATTTCCCAAGGTCGGATGGTCCCCAGAACCGTCGTGGCAAGAAGTTTATCCGCGTTGAAGTCGTCACTGTCCTAGCGAGACTGTTTCGGAACCACCGCCTGGCGATCACGAAATAGGCTGGAGACATCTGGAGAGTGAGTGAGCGGCAAAATAAATCCTGTATCCCACCACGTGAACAAGGTTAACATGGAAGTGATTCTTCGGAGAGAGATTGTCAAGGACCTGCGCTCAGTTTGTAGCTACGTCCAAACAAGACCTCTGGTATCAATAATGTTGGAGAAGGCTAGTATATTCGACCCTCACTCTCCCATAACGGGTATGCATGGGGAGTTAATGTTTCTATAAAATCTTTATGAGGAGTTTTATATTATATGTATAATCATTCCCTACTATATTTACAACATTTGAGCTAATATTTGACTAGGCGGCCCTGAGCATGGGAAACTTCAATGCGGGCAGCCCAACTCATTATAATACCGGGGTACCATGGATCCTGAGAGCGGCTCTAAATCGTCCCTTGTTTTACTTTGTAGTTCCTTACTTCAAGTTCTGGTTCTTCAAAATGTTGGGATAGCAATGCAGATTAAGGAAGGGCACATGGACGGCGGAGCATAGTTAAGCGACGATCAGTCGGGGATATGAACCCTCATTCATGCTTGGCGAAAAGAATCCGATCGTAGCACGGAAATTGAAGCACGGAACTTGTGGCCATAATAGCTCGGAATTCAAATCCATGCCCAGGCGTGTGGTCTCCATGTGTCATTATACAAACTGAGTTCCAAACGGAGTTCCCTAGTTGCCAAGGCGTGCTCCAGTGTCTGCTGCGTGCCCACTTTCTTCGAAGTTCGTAATAATATCCAAACCCCAGAATACGGTACCCGTGCTTTTTATGGGGCTTCCTTGCGGCCCCTGTGTTGGTGGCCACTATAATATCACGCCGCACACAAATTGAGACGCTTGGCCATGATCCTTTTTGTCGAACAATCCATCCTGCCAAGGACCGTATGACCTCAGCACGATTCAGTGCCACGCAATTACTCAGTATGCGAATTTGTGCAAGCTATACGATCATTGGCGCCGGCATTGACAGCCAGATGGGGTCGCACATGGGGGCTGCAAATCAATCAACCCACTGCAGTGCCATGCAGTGCCAAGCGCGCCATACCGAAATAGCAAGCCAACTGTGGGAAACGAAACACCAACCCCAGGTGCCGGGCCCCTCGCATTAGATTGCTCCGACTTGGCTCACAGCCTTTTTGTCCGTCTATGAGAGAGCCGCCTCTGCGAACAGGACAGGCAATGGACGCCTCGATGCCTGATATAAATCGTGTTTCCCGCCCACCATGGGAAACACTTGGAAACAAGACCAATACCAATCTGTAGTTCCATTCCACTTTTCGTTTCTTTCGTTTATATTAAAACATTCATTATGCATTTCAGCAAGCCACTCATTCTCCTAGCCGGCCTGGAGAGCCTTGCCCAGGCGGCTATTTTCTCTGCTGATGCGGACAAAGACCTCTCCGTCTGGGGACGCTCGACCTCCTCGCCAGAGGCCAACGAGCACAAAATCCGGAGGCGTGCCCTGCGAGGCCGACGCCTCGGAAGCAGGCAGTCTGGCTGGAACCCGCCGGCAGACCTGGCAACCCCACTGAAAGAAGTGTGGGACCACACCTTGGAGACGTACAACAACGGCCAGGCCTTCGCCTTCAAGAACTATGGTTGGGACCAGCTTAAGGCCAACGACGGGTATGTCCCAGCAACTAGTATACCAAGCGCCAGAGCATAAGCAGCATTTTAACTAACACACCGCAATAATTAGAGCTCTGAACTACTGTGTCAGGTGGGAGTCAGACACGCCCGTCTCCGAGGCCCAGCGCGACCAGATCGCCACGGCCGTCAACGAGCAGTACCAGAAATGGTTCAGCCACATGTACGGCTTCGACGGGTTCCCCTACAGCAACATCAGCGTCAACGTCGTGGGCTGGGCCGTCAAGGACAAGAGCCTGCTCGAGGGCTCCACCGAGGGCCTCGACATCTACACCGACGTCGACGGCGAGGGCGCCCCGCAGTGCGCCGAGTCGTGCGGCCGCTTCTTCAACCAGGGCGGCGACTTTAGCAGGTGCGCCGGCGGTGCCGCGAGGCACTACGACCAGTCGCTGTGGCTGACTGATGGCATGGGCGGCGGTGCCGGTGGTGACTGGGGCCAGCGCATTGGGTCTGAGTATTTCCTGCAGACTCTCGGCTCGGATAATATTCATATCCTTCTGCATGAGATGGTAAGCCGTCTTCTTGGCCCCTTTGTGGCGAAGACTCTTGCGGAAGCTAATTTTTAAATCATAATAGGGACACACGTTCGGCCTGGATGACTTCTATGACTGGACCCCGACTGGCATGGACAAGTTCATCATGCTTGCTGGCGCGTCCCAGGAGGTTACGGAGTTTGATGGGTGGATGCTGCGCAACTGGTGGTATGAGCTGTCGCGGGAGAGGGGCTGGCAGTCTTGAACTGTCGAGACGGGGATCTGAACATCTCAGTTTCGTAGCACTTCATTAGCATCCGGCGGAAATAAGACCTCGGGATTTACCGTATGAATAGCCGACGTGGCCTCTTACGTGGCTTATGTTGTGATTTCGTTTTCGATATTGTGGCAATGTTTCAATAGAGGCGAAGACACATGCATTCCTGACATGGTTGCATGATAGTATCTAAGTGTACGACGACTCTAGTTCAGACCCTCCCGACCTGGCCGGTATAGCTACACTGGCAGTCTCCAAGCCATACTCACCTAGTGATCAGCTTCAGATACAAAGCCTGTCCATGTCGTCCAATACACCCGGCCGGATTACATATCCACTGTTGGCCGTCCAAAAAGCAACTGTGCAGGCACCCTGAGATTGTTTTCCCAACCCTCCGTGGCTTCACCTTCCGGTTTTTCCACAATCGACATGCTCCAGATGTCACTTCTCAAAGGTACTCATCCTCACGCCACGGGTACGCGTTCTCCTCCTCGACACAATACTCACACCATGCCCTGGTGATGTTCCCGGCACTGGTCAGGTTGAAAGGGTCCTCGAGAATCTGGCCCCAACCAGCCCTGACCAAGTAGCCGCATGAGCAGCAGAGGACAGACTGCACGACAGGGGCAGGGAAGAAGCTGGGCTTCGGAGTCCAGACCAAGACGTCCTAAGTCGGGCCTGTAGACTCTGTCCGCCACACAGGGTCCGCGGTGTTGCACAGGCTTTGAACCCGGCTGACATACTGCGGCATGTTCTTTCTGAACCACGTTCTGAGACTGATGTGGGGTGCGTGGGCGAAGCGCTCCAGAAAGTAACTCTTGCCGGCCCAGACGAACTCCTTCAGCATGTTGTTGATGACGGGCGTGTTCCAACGCTCCACCTCGAGGATCGCGTCCTTGAGGTCCGCGGTCCACTCCCGGGCCTTTTGCTCCTTGTAGAAGTCGTCGATGGCGTTGTCGAGGATGTACATCCACTTGATCTTGCTGTCGAGGTAGTTGCCGAGGTAGTGCTCGACGAGGGTATACAGCGGCTTGACCAGGAAGAAGTCGGCGGACCGGTAGACCTCGGCGCAGAATAAGATGGGCTGGCGGCCCCTCTTGTTCAGCTCTTCGGCCATGTCGATGGCAGCCACTATAGCGCAAGTATTCGTGAGTTTAGCAGTCGACGACGACGGTCCTCTGATTTACATACCTCCTCCGTAGATGTATTTAAGGCAGACCTCAACTGCGTCCTCGTCTTGCTCATCGATATTGACAGTTGCCTGTTGTCCCTCCTATTCAAGCACAAACTCGTCAGCGATAGTAGAGGAGAGTCGGTGTATGTGTTACCACGTCGTACCTGGAACAGACTCGTTAGAGCGGTCGTGAACCACGCGCTTCTGCTGCACAGTGTGGCTCGGTTTAGGTTCCATGTCTTCGTGCCGCAGGTAATGGTGCAGTCGGAAAAGAGACCTGTCTCCATGGCGCCTAGGTCTGCAGACCGATCGGCAGCCTCCTGCTCCACGTCCTGAGACATCAATGACGGCCGTAGAACTACAATAGAACTGGCAAGGGGTGTGTGTCGCTATTTGATATCGTCAGGATCCCGTAGATCAGGCTCGGCTCGTCAAGCATCAAGTCGATTCCTGTGAGGTGGGAAGGGACAGAGATGTTGTGTTGGTGTTTGGGACCACCAGAGGCCTTGCATATATCACTGCTGTCAGGTGGAATGGTTCCCCGGTTCTCCATCGTGAAGTAACTGATAGACTGAGATGTTCACCTGGGGCTTTCACATTGAAAGGACTCGACGGCTTCACTAAAACATTCTGCCAAACAGATCACCCGCAGAGTGATGTACCCTGTCCGAGCCAGACCTTCCATTCACCTCCATGCTGACGCTTTGCCAACAATATGCTGAGCTAGTCGAGATGCCGGGACCACTCGCCTCCCACTCACTGCGAGTGATTCTCTCCCCAGCGCCCCATGTGCAATGATGGGCTTTCCTGGCCGGAATTCTGGCCCTCGATCACAACCTGAAATGAAACTCGATACCGGCCTGGCCTCCGAAATGTCGACTTCGCCAGGTTTCTATTGTCACTATACAGAATAATTCCTTCTCATATTTTGTATCAGATCAACTAAAGTGTTCCTATAGATGTGTTCAGAGCCATCCGGTTGAGTACTGGTTTGTACATCTTAGCACAAATACAGGCATAACTTGCACAAGCATGCAGTGCTTACGCAAACCTGGCCTTGAGACAGCTAAAGCACCATGTCATGACAGTCTAGATGTGTACGCAGGTCGTCCCCTCTACTGATAGGAAGAACTGGTCAAACGAGTTTAGCTTCTCGTTTCGCTACTATTCCTTATATGTGCGAAGCCATATACAGTGCCTTCATACATATAATGACTTGGAGAGAACCCTTGGGAACATTACACAACTTTAAATATTCGATGCCACGTCCGTGCAGCCATTTTGATAGGGAGGAGCACTTGAGCTCACATACAGCGCTGTCAAAATTGTGGGCTTGAATCTGTTCTAAACGTTTGATTGTTCCGCAATAGCTATTTGATCAACTCTAAATGACTCAGCCGTCATTCTCCTCTCTCCAGGGGATGGTGTCGAGCTTCGAGCAGTCCCGGCACCAGCCTGTTGTAACGACGGTGTTTCTGACGAGCTCAAAGGGATCCGCGATTTGCCCATTTCTATCCTCGTGTGACCAGGTGATATGTTTCAGGCATCGTCGACATTTCTGTTGTCCTGCTTGCAGGGTAGCCTCTTTGCGACAAAGCACAGCCCAAACTCGATCCGGGATCCAATTGCCTGAAGCATAGTAGCCCAGGAAGTCGTCCATGAATTTCGGTGTGTCTGTCAGGTGATGGAAAAGGACTGAGGCGCCGCCAAACCGCAGAGTATCAAATCTTCCGACCCAAAGAAATTCCATAAGCACTGCCTTCAAGTGCTCGGCGTTCCATTTGTAAGACTGCCGGACTCCGGAAATCAGGTCGAGGGCCCACGGGGTCAGTTCGCCCGTTGTCGCCGTACTCATCCAATCAGACGCCACACCGAATGTGCAAAATTGTTTCATCCGCTTGTCGCAGTAACTGTGAACAGCTTTTTCCACAAGCGGCTTCAACGGACCGAGCAGTAAAAAGTCTGCAAGATGCCAAAGGCAAACGCATTGTTCGACAAAATTGTTGGGCGCGATGGAAGACTCCACTTCAAGCCCTGGGGTTTCGATCTTTTAGCTTTGCTCAACCCCTCAACAGTATAATGTGGAAATTGCTGCTCACCACGGCTATAGATATACTTCAGCGCAAGATCGACGCTGTCGGGGTTCTCCTCGTCCAGTTTGATCTGTCTGGTACTTGCCTCCTTTGTGCGAAAATGGTTAGCGTCAAGTGAAAAATAGATACCATTTAACCATGGCGTCCACGTACCTCGAATGGACCCGAGAGGGCTTTCTGAAACCAGGCGGAGCGGGGCACGAGGATCGCTCTGTGGCACTTCCAAGTGCGGTCGCCGCAGACGATGTCGACGTCGGCAAAGTTGCCAGATTTCAGAAGACTGTGATTGAGAGAGGGTTCAATGTTTTAGCTGCCATACTTAAGTGCCATCGGGGAGCTCAGCGGAGGTGGGTTGACGTACTCGAGCTCGCCGCTGCGGAGGTCGCCTTCACTGTCGTCGCCGCCGCCCGCGCTACCAGGGTCGTCTGCCATGGTGCCTCAATGATGCCGTAAGGGCCAGCGGTGGTGGTTGAATCGCCGAAGGGGTTTTGAGAAGGCAAGAAGTTGGAAGCAGAAGTCACCTTGGTAGGTGCCCAGGTACCTAGGTACGTTGAGAAAAGTGGGGCCCTGAAGAGACAGGTAGGAAAGAGCCCTGGACTCAGAGTGGAAGCCCAGAAGCCCACTTGGTTCAGACGGTAAGTGGCAGGGCCCCAAGGCCGACTGACCCAGAGTTTACCTCATTGGACGTGAAAGGACAGTTGAGACGGATCTGTCGAATGCTGAGCGACAGACGTCCCGGCCAAGAGTCCACAATTCCAAGTTGCCTCAACTTTGGATTGGAGCGATCATACACCCTTACCGTCACCAAAGTATAAAAATGAATGTGGGGTTAAGCTAAGTGGTATAATAATAAGCTTGAGTAAGTACCTTTAAGTATATGCTTGAGTCCTTAGGTCGAAATCATGCCAGAGAACGTTTCTGAGTCCGAAAAGTTAGACTTTATGCTTGATGTCCTTCATCATCTGCGATATATCAGTGAAACCCACCCAATGTAAAACACATCAACTATATGAGCAAAGTGGTGGACTACCATGGCAAGACCGTCAAACTTTACAGCCAACGGCCTCGGGCAGAGTTAGGGGTAAGCGCGGTGGTCACGTGGCCCGGATTTCAGGCACAAGGTGATTATCACCAGAGCACACGCGACCTGCGGCGTTGTGATAGTCCTGGACGGCAGAACGGGCGTCGTGTTCGAGGAGTTCCTCCGGTCGGCGGACAGCGGCCAACATTGTTCCATTCAAGTACAAATTGGAAAACATTCATCAACTGCGTGTAGAACGGTCAAAGAGAGGTGGTCTGGACTCGATTTCGATGACTATGGACTTCCTAGGTATTTGACCAGGAGCCCCATGCGGTATTCTATACATCAAGCAGGGCTGCCAGCAAGGCCCAACTCCTTGATAAAGATATCCGCCGCCTTCTCTCCCACCGCCAAGGCAGTATTGTTAGTATTAGCAGCGACATTACGAGGGACAATGCTAAGATCGGCAACCTTGAGGCCCTTGACGCCATAGACACTCAAACTTGCATCAACGACACCGTTTTGCTCCCGAGGCAGCATCTTGCAAGTGCCAAGAGCATGCCAGGTTGTGCCCACATTGGCACGCAGCCACATGTCAAGCACAGCATCATCCTCTGCCGTGTACTCAATCTCGGGAGCATCAGCAGGCAGGGGCCCGTCAGTCAGCTTGATGCACGCGGCCTTGGAGTCCGGGGCAAAGGGCGGGTGGCACTGTTCCATCTCGCCGCGGTAGCATGGCATGCGGCGGATGACCTCGCGCTGCTTCTTGTAGGACCAGATGTGCTTCTTGATATCGTTGCCGCCCGCGTCGGTGAAGAAGCCGTGCTCGAAGTCGAGCGGGTCGCCGAGGCTTGGCCCGGTGATGTGGATGTGGCCCCGTGAGAAAGGGTAGACGGTGAAGGCTGTGACGGCAAGTGCTGGGTCCCCGGTGGCGAGGCGGGGATCTCCAGGGAATCTGTGCTTTGGTCAGTATTGTTGATTAAGATCATGTGTATGACTTCCAGCAACGTACCCTGCAATGACACTGAACAAGACCATTGGCTTATCCGGGTGGGCCTTAAACTCCTCATCCCAAGCCTTCTTGAATTCGGGGTCGAAAGCGGCAAGCTCAGCCTCAGTGGGACGGACCTTGGCCTGGATCTCCTGAGCATTCCAGCCCAACATTTTGTTGCCACTCTTGATCAGATCCTCCGGGCTGCCAAGTCTACCAAAGACAAGGGCATCAAGGGTATCCTCAGGAGCCAAGGAGTTCAGGTATGGGTACGCGAGGAGGTGATGGTCCTCATAGCCTTCCCCTACACCAGGTACTTCGGCAACAACAGGGACTCCGGCTGCTTCGAGCACTTTGGAACTCCCAACGCCGGACCTTTCGAGCAGTGACGGTGTAGCACACGCTCCAATGGAGGCAATGACAAGCTTCTTGGCTTTGATTGTGCGAGGCAGACCCGCGTCATCAGGATGGAAGACCGGGTTTGGTCGATATTCGACACCATTGGCATTCTTTTCGTCATCGAAAAGAACCCGCAGGACCTGTGACTCGACCAGACCATGGAGGTTTGGGTGCTTCCCATCCTCGAGTCGGGGGTGAATGTAGCATGTCGCTGCGTCCTGGCGTTTGCCGTCAGGGGAAACGAAGCGCTGAGCGCGCCAGACGGCATTCACTGACTCCAGGTCTTGCAGGTCTGGCACCTCCCGCAGGCCCTGCTTAGCAGCTGACTCGATGAACTCGTCCTCGATCCTTAGTGAGTTGTACGTTCCACGAGAGACGTGGATCGGACCCTCGTGTCCGTGAACACCACTTTGGTCTGCACCATCGTAGGTCTCGAGCTGTGGTTCGGTCAGTCACCCGGGTTTTTCATCGACTAGAACATTAGAACTTGAGGTGCCCATTGCAGACTCACCTTCCGCAGGTACGGCAGCATTTCCTCAGCCGACCACCCGGGCATCTTCCAGGAATCAAAATCTGACCTCTGGGCACGGCTGTACATCATGAAGTTGGTGGATGACCCACCACCCAGAACACCACCAGCTGGGAGGACAAGTTCCCGGTCGCCCACCGCCGCCGACTTTTTGGTCACATAGAACAAAGTATGCTTGCTATTGGGGGCTAAGTTTGCTGTAAACATGGCCGGGTATTCGATGGTCGGGTCCTTGTTGTTGGGGCCGCCCTCTATGAGCAACACGGATAGCTCCGGATCGGCGTCTGCAAGCCTGGCCGCGACGACGCAGGCAGCCGTTCCGCCTGCTCAGTTTTCAGCGACATTCTGAAATGAGGTGGGAGTTAGACTGACCTCCAGCCACGATGACATCAACCTCCTGGATGATCTCTGGGAGCTTGTTGTAAAGACCCATTGTGACAGTGACGGAAATTGACGAGCAATCTTGTAACTTGGCTGGCTGCCTTGTTTGAAAATATTCGACAGATTAAAAAGACGTGCTTCAGAACTGCTCTAGCTGGAGCTGGGCAGGTTCTAAGGTAAGAATGCTGGCAGAAATAAGACGGGCGTCAACAGCACGAGAACAATCAGCTAACTTGAGAATCCGAGGGATCACAGTCTCGCAAAGGTCACGAATGCATGATTATTTTCTACCCCGCGCTCTAATCGGCCGATTCGCTTCTGTGCCGCCCTTCAAGTTCTCGTAATGCTGCTTGTACCCACTGAAACCACCCAGCTTAAGCTTAGTACAAAATGCTCATGCGAATAACCGCTCGCACGGCTCTGCATAAGTCACTCACTGGCACATACCTGGGTAGCCAACAGCCAGACAGCGTGGCTTTGACGTCGGGGTCACACACGGCACCGATAAGCAGGGCTACAAGAATACTGGGGCAGTGGGGGTGCAAGGTCTTTGTGACGATCACCACAACCGTTGGTGCTATGTGGGTCTCACACACTTCAAATGTTACTTACTGTCTGGACTGTTTGACTGTGTAGTCGCTTCCATGCCACCCTTACCCGTACGGCCCCCACCCAAGCAGCCCCCAACCACACAGTGGTGTCGTACAATGAATGCAGAGTACTTTTGTATGGATAATGTCCATGCAACTTCTTGGTGGGCCCGGAACTGCTTTCTAATTGGTCCTCCAGCATGGCCAACGGAACTTGGCAAGAACAGACGATGCCACGATGCCACGGTCACACTTTCCGCACTTCGGCCCGGCCCAACGTACTATGCAACGTGCAGGCGGCTGAATTAGCGAAGTTGGGATATCCATACATGTGCATGCAACGTCTAGGCAGCACGACTTGTCGGGAAGAAACACCGGTTCATGCACTGCGCCGCAGACTACTGAGGTCACGGGCAACGGCTTCTGCGAATCTCTTTCCGCATTCAAAAAAGAACCAACGCACACATGCCCCTTCTTAACGACCCAATGAAACCCAGCTTGGCACCAGCGGTCCGAGGCTTGGTTAGCAAGACCCACCGTGTGCTAAGAATCCACTTGTATGCTGCACTGGGAATGATTCGTCGCAATTGGGACCCCGGGCTTTGCCTCCGGGAGGTGGTCGACTGACTTGGCCAATCTCAGGCGACAGGTCTCTGGGTGTCGTGCCGTAATCACGCCCCGTGCGACTCGAAGTCGCTAGATACCATGGTTCAGCGCGTCGACTGCAGAGGCGCCACTTCTCTCCCCATTGCGTTGGCTGGCTCTCAGTGGAATTTGTCGTCCGTGTGGTCCAGCTCCAGAATTACTTCCGCTTTTACGTGAGTTCAGATGCTCATGTTCATGCGTCCATTCATTCCTGCCTCGCTATTTTCAATGTTTATCTCGGACAGCTTTTACCGTAATGACACTGACTTCCTCAAATTCGGCTGTGGTGTCAGATCCAGCGGTCCCCTCGTCAGCTGCAATGCGCACCCACGACAACAATGAGGACGGCCAGTCTCCACAGGCTATGCTCCAACAAGGCAGTGTGGATGGGTTCAAAGCCGAGCGCAAAATCAGAGGACTACAATGGCTCGTTGTCGTCCTGTCAGTCCTGTCATCAACGTTTCTCTATGCTCTGGACAACACTGTCACTGCCACCGTGCGGCCTAGTATGATCACCACCTTTGGCAACCAGGTGAACATGCTTCCATGGCTCTCCGTCTCGTATCCCATGGGAGAGGTTGGCACAAACCCACTTTGGTATGTTCGAAGACAACAAAAGTTGAAGTGCTCTGCGCTAACATCCTTCCCGGGGCCAACTCAATAAGCAGTTCAATAACAAGACCGTATACCTGGCCGCTATTCTCATATTCGAGGTTGGCTCGGCCGTCATTGGCTCAGCGCAAACGGTTCAAGCCGCTATAATCGGCAGGGCCATCGCTGGCTTTGGAGGATCAGGCATCTACGTCGGCACAATGACCATAATCTCCGCGATGACTCTGGAAATCGAGAGGGCTAGCTACCTGAACAACGTTGGCATGGCCTGGGCCTTGGGGACTCTCCTCGGCCCAGTTATTGGAGGGGCTTTCGCTGACTCGCAAGCCACGTGGAGATGGGCCTTTTACATCAACCTCTGCATCGCCGCTCTAGCTGCTCCAGCCTGCATCTTCCTCATCCCGTCCTGTCCTGCGCCGACTACAGCTCCTCGGTGGGATCGAATCAAGCGCATCGACTATGTCGGTGCAACTCTATTCTTAGGAGGTGTTATTGCTGTTGTCATGATACTTGGGTTCGGTGGGGCCATATGGGACTGGCGAAGTGGTCAGATGGCAGGCCTGTATGCCGCCGCCGCCGCTATATGGCTCCTCTTCTGTGTCCAGCAACGCTGGAGTCTATTGGCTCTAGAACGTGTCTTCCCAGTCCAGCTCGTCGGTCGACTGGACATGGTTATATTCTTCTGCTGGGGAGCTCTCGCGATTTCTAACATGGTCGTGACCATCTATTCACTACCCCTTTTCTTCCAGTTCGTCTATGGGGACTCGGGGTTGCGGTCAGCAGCTTACACGATCCCATTCATTGCCGCCGCCTTCGGCTCTACCGGCGGCGCGGGTCCACTCTTTGGCAAATATCCAATGTACATGCCATGGTTCGCAGCCTGCAGCGCACTCATGCTAATCGGGAACGGGCTACTTTCAAGCATCGATTATCACACCTCCCGGGGAACAATCTGCGCTTTCACTGTCATTCAAGGCCTGGGCTGTGGGCCCGTAATTCAACTGGGATATACCGCAGCTCAGGTGAAGGTCAGCCGAACGGATAAAGACGACATCCGAAGCGTGACAGCCTTCATGAGTTGCTCTCAAATGGCTGGCCTTGCGTTGTCGCTCGGAGTTGCTACCACGGTGTTTCTCAATAGCGCTACTGCAGATATCGCCGCGATTATCCCAGGTGTTCCCCGCGAGGTAATTCAAGACACGATCAATGGCCTAGACACGTCACTTGTGGGTGATCTTACAGCAGAGGCCCGCACCCACGTCCTTGAGGCAATAGCTAACAATGTGGCTAAAACCTTCTACTTAAATGTTGCTGGAGCTGCGTTTGGGTTCATTTTGTCGCTTGCAATGAAACGCGAGAGACTGGAACTTGAATCGTCCACGAAATCGAAGAGCGAGGTCTCACATTAACTGGGTGACCTTGCCATCAATAGAGCTGGATATAATGATGGCAATGTTGACCGTCAGGACGCTCCAGTTCTCATCTCAACCTCCGCCATCTTTTCTCCGTCTGTTATATTCATCCCGTATACTACGTCGATCCAATAAGCAGACGTAATTTACACTTCGATTCTTCTATACTATAATGCGCCAGATAGTATTCGGCGATCCCGTCAAAACTTAGCTTTCGAAAGAACATTCTTGGTCCAAGTTGCTCCGTACCTAGGCTAAGTAGCCAGCAGAGGATAGACTTGTTATTTCACGAATGCAATCGTGGCTTTAGACAACATGCTGAATGTCTAAATGGCCATGAGCTTGCATGTTACCTACAGACATGTGTCCGATTAGAATGGAATTTGTCTGGGATTAGTTGCGGTGGGTCTCCTGGCAGCATTCGGCGGGTGGGGGGGCTGGGATAATCCATGTAAGGGTATGTACTAGGCTCTATTCCCTCCTGTACAAAATCCACAGAGCTACAGTCACCACGAGTGACAAGTACGAGTAACAGCGTTATCCTGCTTGTTTTCGAGAACGAAGAAAATGAAAATACTCTGCTTACACGAGAACGGCACGAATAGGGAGGTGAGCCTCTCCTTTTCTGTTTGACTATCCCAAGATACGACTGGATATTGCCGGCTTGTTGGCTAATCATGTTATTCAGGATCTACAACTACAATCTGGTGAATATAACCATTGGAAAAAAGCATGGGATTGGCACAACACTGACAAAAACAGCCCCACTCCGACATGAGCTTGAAGAGCAACATGAATACGAGTTTGTTGAAGGCACGGTCCCGATGCCTCTGTCTACTTTGATCCAAGGTAAGCGACATGCCCAGGTGGTGTTTTCACACTGACCGTATCCGTATCCATCGGCCATTTTCCCTCTCGTGTGGTGGGGGTCGAGAGAGCGTCTACTAACATGTTGTCCCGCTCCAACAACAAATTGAGATAACTATTCTCTGGCTCAGAAAGTCGGTTCTACGCCTTCTACAACCCTGAAGACCTGCCTACACTTGACAAAGCCATCGTTGAGTTGGAAGAGTATCTGACAGCCGAGGGCCCCTTCGACGCTGTCTTGGGGTTCTCCGCCGGGGCGGTGCTAGCTGCGTTGTGCATGGCCGTGAAATCCCTGCGGGGCGAGGAGATTCCGGTGAAGTGCGTCATTTTTGTTGCCAGCGCTAGCTGCAACATCGAGAAGACTTATCTCGGTCTTGATCAAGGGGCTGATTCGATCAACATCCCGATTCCCACTGCGCACATCTGGGGTGCCAATGACACCACTTCGCCGACAGGGGGTCAGGATCTCAGCCTGTTGTTTGACGCGTCGCTTCGCGCCGTCTTTGTGCATGATGGGGGCCATGAGTTTCCGCGTAAGGAATCCTTGACGGAAGCCGCCCGGGTGATGCAAAGAGCACTGCATCAGGGTCGAGAAATGTCAGAGTAACATCAGACCATTGTTCGCGTATCGGGCCTGCCCAACCGCATCTCAATATTATTTAAGGTGACCTGCCCACATTCAGACCAACCCCCCATTCGGACCACTTTTTCCACTAAAACATACTATTTTTAAACACTTATTTCTCTATATAGTAATTTTAATATTATATATAAATTTAACTTTATTTAAGGTTTTATATTATATTATTATATAAAATATTAAATGAATTATTTTTAATTTTTAATAATTTTAAAAAATATTTAAAAGTTACTTTTTAAAAATTATTAAGAAATTTATTTATTTAATTAGAAATCCTTAATATTTAAAAAGCTTCTTTAAAATTTTATATAATATATATAAAGTTTTAATAATATTTTATTAACTTATTATTATATATTAATTATTTATATATAAGTTATATTAAATAAAGTATTTTATATAATATTATATAAATAATAAATAATACTTTAAAATTATACATACTTTTTAATAAAGCTTTTATATATTAATTTTAAAATATATATAAATTATAATATATTTATTAATAATTTTATAATTTATTTAAAATATATTTTAATATTTTAAAAATATTTTCATTTTTAATTTAATATTATAATATTTTAAATTATAAAATATTTTATTTTTAAATATATATCATATTAATAAATATTATAGGAGTATAATATTATAGTATTATATTTATAAGTATTTTTAATTATATTAAATAAAATAAAGTATAAAAAAGAGTTTTATTTTTATAAATATAAATAATTTAATATATAAAATATATAAGATATTAAAAACTTATATATAGATTATAAATAATAGTTTTTAAATTTAGTAAAAATCCTATTATCTAAGAGTGTAAATTAGTGGAGAAAATTAAGTATGTTGTAGTGTAGTTAGGTGGTTTGAATTAGGGGGTGGTCTGGATGTGGGTGGGTTGCCTTATTGTTTGTTCGGTTACTGAAAGGATTGCTGTGCGGACTGGGGGAAATGCACCGCGTCTGCCCATTAGTTGTGGAAATAGGCCGGCATGGAAAGAAGTAAACACTCATACTGTGGGTGTGTATATCATATGTGCAGCAGATCAGTTAGAAGCATCAATAGTGACTAGGTAGGTCCTACCGGGGGGAAGGGGGGTTCTTAATATAGGCCTATTTATATTGGGAATTAATATTTAAATAAAATTTAAATATTATAGTAAAATATTAGTTAAAGGTTAATAAATTACTATTATAAATAAGATTTATTAAAAGGTGAAGTATATATAAGATTTTATTATTATATTAATATATATTAAAAATCTTTTAAAATTTATAAATCTATTAATATTATATTTAATAAGTTAGTTAATAAATTAAAATTTATATTTTTATATTTTTATAGTTTTAATAAGTTATATATAATTAAGTTAAAGAATAATTATTAAATAGTTAAGTTAATATAAAAAAGAAAGAAAGAAACTTAGTTTTAATAAAAGTTAAACCTTTTTTTATTTATATATTAAACCTTTAATAATATATTTTATACTATTAATTATAAAATTATATTAAATTAAAAAACGTTATATTATTTAAAGATTTTATAGTTATATTAGTAATATATTTATATTTTAAAATAATATTAATATTATCTTAAAATAATGACTACCTGCTAAGTCCTTAGTGACTACCTTTCAACTAGTCCCCGTCTGGGTCCATGTCCGAATCGGTAAAGCCGAGCGCCGAGCCCGGGCCCGAACCCCACAAATGGCGTGCTCGGCTCCGTCCCTGGCCGACCCGGCCGACCGACTGCGTCCACAGATGCCGAAAGTGTCATCTCTCAACACCTACACAAATATCCACAGCACCAAGATATCACCACCGGATAACCGACAGCAATGACCATGGTGACCCGCCCCGCCGCCCCGCCCCCTCAGACCGACCTCAAGACCGTCGTCGAGAGCCGGAACCGGGAGTGGCACTTCCACATCTACTTCCTCGTCCAGTCGCAGGCCGAGACGGCCGCGGCCCTCGCCCTCCGTGATGCTGTCCTGAGGCTGCGCCGTGATGGTGTGTGATCCCTGCTGAAAGAAACCGCTCCTTGCGCGACTCATAGCGCCGCTCACCCGCTGACATGATGTCTCCCCAAGGAGCCTTTGTTGCCGTGCCACTTTTCCGGGTCAACCACTACCCCATGGGGCCTCATCCCGCTGGTTCTTACGAGAGTGAGTAGCCATGGTCCTCCGGGCCTAGGAAATGACCCCCAAAACACACGCAATATATCCGAGGCAGAGAGCTGATGGTGTCTGCGCACACAGTCTGGGTCCCCGACTCCTCATTCTCCGACGTCTTCTTCTACCTGTCAGCAAACCGAGGCAACCTGAGGTAAGGATACCTAGCTTTACCACGCCCTTCCATGTTCCTCCCAGATGAAAGAGGCCCGGACCGCTAACACGACGCCCAGCATCCTCGTCCACCCCCTGACATCAGACCAGCGCGGCGACCACGAGACGCGCAACGCCTGGATGGGCACGCCGTGGCCCATCTTCCTCGACGGCCTGCCCGCGGCGGGCGAGGTCCCGCTGCAGTACCCCGAGCTGGGCCTCGGGTGGTCGACGTCTCCGGAGCAGGAGGTGTCGCTCGAGGAGAGGCGCAGGAGGGGCGCCGAGGTCGAGGCCCTGCTGGCGGGGGACCCGGAGGCGGCCCCGGCCCCGGCCCCTAAGGACTGAGGAGGGGCGCGGCGTGATCTTGTTCTGGATTTTCGATGGAAATCACTGAAGCTCAGTAGTAATGTCGTGCGATGGTATAACTTACAGCGGTGGAAGTTTGCTTTCGTACACACGTAGATGCACTGTGCAGACTGCAAGTCCAAGGCTTTTGTTCCTTGAAAACCTGTTTCCTCTCCACGGCACGCTTCGACTTGGTCAAGGGGAAGATGCAGCCGAGAAAGCGTGTGTCCCTTAGAAGCTGCGACGGCCTTTGCAGCTACAAAGACGTTGGCTTTTCCTGCCGACTTACAGACGACAATTAGCCCCACTTAAATGGTTGAGGGTCCCTGCTCACCTGCTCAGTCAACAAGCTTCTTCTGAACTTTCCCCTTAGACGTTTCCTCGACACTCCAAAACTCACCACCGTTGTGGTCAGCCTCTGTTGTGGTCAGCCTCTGGCCTCGTCACGCAGCTATCACCCTACCAGGATGGAGGCACCAGCCCCGAATCCCATGAAGACTGCGGCCAGGAGAGGCAAGGCTAAGCGTAACAGAACACTTCAGTCGTCTAACCCTTCCACGCCCAGTACTGTTCCTTCGACCAGTGGCATGTCTTCGCCCAATCCTGCGAGCGACGCCGCCGCCAGCCCAAACCAGGCCAGTGGGTCGAAGAGCTTCCCCAGCAAGACAATGTCGACTGTGCCGAAACGCTGGGAGTCCCAGGACTTGGAGTCAGTACGACCCTCTTGCTTTGCCGCAACCTCTGCTAACACAGCCTAGCCTCCTCAGGTCGGGACTGTTTGCCGATGCAGAAATCTCCTGTTCTGGGTTTGGCGGCGGCCGAATTCGAAAGGTTTGTCATCTGATTCGATCACACAGGCTCTTCTCGCCTTGGTACCTAGGACCTTAGTAAGCTCACTCAGCCGGACCAGGTCCACCGAAACATCCTATCAGCTCGCTCTGGCTGGTTCAAGAAGGCCTTCTCCGGCAACTACCAGGTGAGCAAGCTTCCAATCTACTTCATTTTCCTCGCTAACCGTTTTGCTTCTATAAGGAACGAAAAGATGGCAGAGTCACGCTCGAGGAGGGCACTTGGCACGTGGATCTGATGCTCTACTTCTTCTACAGCGGAGGTGAGTGGCTGCCTGAAACCCGTCAAGCCGAGCATGGCTGACCAAGGTCCGCAGGCATCGACCTGGCCGACAACACCCTCACCGCCGGCAGGAGCGTCATGAAAATCAGCATCGAGCTCATCCGACTAGGCGGCCGCTTCGAGTCGAAGAGCATGCAGGACTACGGCGAGGAGCTGCTCGCGACCTACCTGACCGAGCTCCTTGACTACGTCTACGATACCGGCACCACAGTCACGGGGAGGAAGGCCCGGTTCGGTGAGCAGGCTGACTTCCCAGCTCTGTTCTGCGATGCTGTCCGCGACGTGTTCTCGACCGTGGGGCCGATCGAGTCCGCCCAGCGCATACTCGCGGATTTCGCCTTCGCGGCGCGCGCACACCTCTTCGCCGACAATGAGTTTGTGGCTTTGGTAGAGGGCAAGGAGGTGCCTGGTTTTGGAAACTTGGTGCTCACCGCGCAGATTAAAGGCTCTGTCTCCGATGCCTTCGCGTCGAGCAAGACATTCAAGAGGTTGTTGGTCCAGGCCTGGTATATCACCCGATAGAGCACCTTCCTGAGCCTGGCCTCGGGTTGCATGCACATATGTGGATGCGCCACACTTGCTCTGGAGGTGTACTTGCCCCTGTGATAGCATCACATCGGAGGGGTGGGTGATCAGCTTTGAGTTCATCTGACGGCTTACTCGTTTTGGAGGAACATCCCTCTGAACTAGAGCAACAGGTCTTGGTGGTAGATGGATCACATGGGGTGCTTATGGAAGGGGACAGTTACTCCTAACGGGCCCGAGTAAAAGTAATGAAGTGGAGAGCGAGGCGTCTCCGTGCAGCACATTCATTCCTAGTCATAGGAGCCATCCAAATAGACTAATTCTAAAAGCATAGGGCTTTTTATCTTCCTTAATGGAGACGGTCCTTACGACCTATGGTAAAAAAGGGCTTAAATTGTCTATAAAGAATTATGAATTCAAAATTAGGTTTATGTGAATGAAAACGAGTGCCATTTGAGTCTGGACTGTACCTAGGTAGGAAAGCAGCCATCCCAGCACCTAAGACTTAGGTTGTAAATGGCAAGGTGGGCAGGCCACCACTGTGAAGGCCCCATAGAGATGGCTGTGATAAAATACATGAACACATCTGCAAGCAGGGTTGTAAATTTATTCCTTAGTTTCTTAGTCTGACTAAGTTAGTCTTTAGTCTATTAGTTTTTAGTTAGACTATAGTTAAAATAAATTAGTCTTTAGTCACTTAGTTATATTAGGTGATTAAGACTAAAAGATTAAGATTAAATTAAAAAAAGACTAAAAGATTAAGAAAAAAAGTGGGGCTTTTTTATAATAGGTGGGTTTTTTTTTAAATTTAGTAATTTATAGGTTCTAGTAGGAATTGAATTTAGGTCTACGATTTATATAGTTATAGGAATTATTTATGAGATTTATGAGGAAGATTTATTTAATTATATTATATATATTAATTAATTGATAATTATATATATTTTTAACCCTTTATAAGGGATAGATTAGAAAATAACTTATAATTTATTTAAGCTTATACCCCCCCCTTTTTCCTTACTCTTAGCTTAACCACTTATATTAATTATTTTATAATTAAATTAATATAAATTTAAAAAATATAATAAAAATATATTTAAATACTTTTTATTTTATACTTTATTAATAAAATTATTAAAAATATATTAAATAGTATAAGAGTTATATTCTTAAATAATATATAATAATTTTAGTAATATATTAAAATTATTACTTTTAAAAACTTAAAAACTTTTAAATTTTTATATATATATAAAAGATACTTTATAAGTATATATTATATTTAAAGAGTAAAATCTATCCTTTAAAAGTAATAATTTAAATAAAATATTTTAATAAATTAAATTAATATAATATATTTTTAAATAAAGAAAATAAATTATAAATATTTAAAATTAAATATAATAAAATAATATTTATATATAGAAATATATTTTAAAGTTAATAAAAATATTTTTAAATTTATATAGGATACTTTAATATTTAATATTTTAAAATATTTTATTTTTAGCTTTAACTATTTAGTTTAGGTTTTTAACTTTCTAGTTTAAGCCTTTAATTACCTAATTTAGACCCCTAACTACCTAGTTTAGGCCTTTAACTATTTAGTTTAAACCCCTAACTATTTAATTTAAACCTTAATATTTTTAAATTAAAGTTTTAACTATTTAAATTTAACTTTTAATTATTTAATAAAATAATTTAAATATTTTTAAAAATATAATAAAATATAATAATATATAAAAGATTATTTAAAAATTAATATAAATATTTATAAAATACTTTATTATAATATTTAAAATAATAATTTAATTTTATTTTAAAAAAATTACTTAAATATAGAACCTTTATATATTAAATTTTAATATTATAAAATTTACTATTATATTATAATATTATAATATAATATTTTATTATTAAAATATTATATATTATAATAATTATTCTTTTAAATTCTATTAAAAATAAAGTTAAGTTAATAAACTATTTATTATAGAAAATGGTTTAATAAACTATTTATAATGGATAGATTTTATTTACTAAAATATTAAATAGAGAGTTTAACTATTTAAATATTTTTTTATTTTTCTATATATATAGCTCTTTCCTCCTTTTAAAATCTTTTTTTCTTTCTTTTATTTTACCTTTTATATAAATTTCCTATTACTTTTACTATTATATAAAACCTTTATCTTACTTAAAGATTTATTTATTTATTTTAAATAAATATATTTTTATTTTACTCTTTTTTCTATTATAGAGTTCCCTATATTATTTTTTAGAAGATAATTTATAATTTATCTTAAAAATAAATATAATAATATTAATTATATATTACCTCTTTTAAGAAAATATATATTTATATTTTTAAAATAATTTATTTACTTGAATTCTTTTACCTATTAAAGAAAATATAAATTAGTAGATTTTAATATCTTATATTTAATAAGTTATTTTTTTACTAAAAAAATAAGATTATATATAAATATTACTTTATAAGTTTTATTTATATATAATTATATTTATATTAAATTATAGTTAGTTAAGAATAGTAGAAAGCTATTTTTAAATTAGTTTCTATAATAAGAGTATATTTAATTATATTTTTAAGAATACTCTAACTATATAATTAATATATAAAATAGTTTTTAATTTTTAAAATTAAATTTTTATTTAGTTTTTAATTAATTAATTTTTATAGGTATTTTTATAAAAGAGATATTCTTAAAGGGTTTTAAGTTTTAAATTATATTTGTTATTATAGAAAAGTTTATTTAGAAATTCCTTTTAATAAGGAAAGTAAGAAAATAAGAATGAAAAGTAAGTAAAATATTTAAAGATATTTTTATTAATATATTAATATTTTTTAGGAGCTATACTTTATAACTTTTAATATTCTAATTAAATAAGCTAAGGCTGATTTTATAGATATAAATATTTATAATAAGATTTTAAATTTTATTATTAAAAATAATTTATTTTTAATATATTAAATTTAAAGTTTTTTAAAGTTATTATCCTATTTAAATTTATATATATAAATATTTCTTTTAATATTTTAATTAATTAAACTTTTACTAATATATATATATAAAGCTATATTTATTATTAATTATTTAAAGATTAAAAGTATTTTAATAAATACTTTTAATAAAGATTTTATAAATTTAAATTTAAATTTAAAAGAAAATATTACTAATTATAGTAAATTTTCTTTTATTTTAATATTTAAACTTTTAAAGTAAATATAGCTTATATAGGAATAATTATCTTATATATTAATTTAGAATTTTAATTAATTTATAAATTAATTAGATTTTAAATTAAAAATAAGTATACTAGCTTTATTCTTTTAAAGAATTTTAAAAGTTTATTTAAAGTTATTTATATATAACCTTAAATAGTATTTTTAAGTATTTAATATTATATATATATATATTTATTTAATAATTAATTTTATTATAGTTTTATTTAAAATAATATAATAAATAATAATATATTTTATTAAAATTTAAAAGGAATATAATTCTAATTTAAATTCTAATTTTAATAATAATATTTATTATATAGTATATATTATTAATTTAATAGTATAAAATATTTTAAAATTATTTATTAAATAAAAAATTAATAAATATATTTCTAAATATTTTATAAATCTTTAAGCTACTATATTAAAGTCTATTAAAATAATAAATAATTTTATTAATATTATTAATATTTAATATTAATTTTTAATAAATATTATTATTTAAGTTTAATAAATAATAATATTAATTTAATATAATATTAAAATTAATAAACTCTTAATAAAAGGTATTAAAAGTATATATAAAATAAATTTTTAAAAAAGATTTTAAAAACTTATATACCTTTAGGTAAATAAAAATATTTTTAAATAATATTTTATACTAATTTTAATTTAAATACCCTATAAAGTAGAATTTTATATATTTTATATTAAAAACTTTTATAATTAAAAGAGCTTTTAATATATATATAAAGAAATATATTTAATATTAAGTTTAGAAATATATTTTTAAACTAAAAATATATATTTTAACTTAAATTAATAAAATATTTAAAATATTTTAAAACCTTTTATTAAACTTTAAAAGTAATTATATATAACTATTTCTAAAGGATTATTATATATTTATATAATATATAATAATTTAAAAGTTTTAATAAAAGAATTTAAAAGAAAGTTAAAAAGAGATCCTTTTAATAAGTAATTTTATTTAATTTATATTAATTTTTATAATTATATACTAATTTATTTAGAAAAACTACTTTTTGAATTTATAAAAGCTATTAAAGTTAACTTAAATAAATTAAAGAAATACTTTTATATTAACTAATTAAAGTTAATATAAAAGGTTATAAACCTTTATATTAGCTTTAATTTTAAACTTAAAATATAAAATATCTTATTTTTAAAAAAATAAGTTATTAAACTTTTATTTTTATAAAATTAATATATAATTTATTTTAAAGGATAAGTTTAATAAATAAGTTTAAAATTAATCTTTATTTATATATTTACTAATATTTTATAAAGTTAAAATAGAATTATATTTTTAATAAAAATATATATAATACTTTACCTATAAATTTATTTTAAAATACTTTTAATTTTAATAATAAATTTTATATTAAATCTTTAATAAATATTAAAGGTAAATATAATATTTATCTTTAAGAAATATATTTTAACTTTAAGATATTTTAAATTATTTTATTTTAAATATTTTATTTACTAATAATTAATAATTAAACTTTTAAATATTAAAAATAATAGATTTTAATATTCTATATTAAGTATATTAGCTTAAAGATATTTTATTATTTTAGTTATATTTGCTATTATAGAAAGAATATTTTCTATTATTAGTTATATTATAATTAAATTAAAGGTTAATTTTAGTATAAAGATAGTAAGGGAATTAATATTATTAAAGAATTGGAGGTTTAATAGTATTTAAGAGTTAGAAGTGGAAATTTAGAATTTAAAGGAATTAGTAGAGGAGGAATAGAGAAATAATTTAAAATAATTTATTTTATTATTTTCTTTTAATTTAAATTATACTTAAATAATTTATTTTAAAAAGAATAATAATTTATTTTATTTTAAATTATTTAATTTAATAAAAGTTATTTTATTATTATTTTCTTTTAATAAATTTTTTAAAGATTTATAAATTACTTTAAACTTTTTTATTTACTAATTAAAAACTAAGAGTTACCCTAAACTTCCTTATTTACTAGTTAGAAACTAATAGTTACCTTAGACTTTCTTATTAATTATAGAAAATAATTATTAAATTAAATACTTTTAAAAATTATTAATATTCCTTTAATATTCCTTTAATATTTAATAAATATAAAATAAACTTAAAAATATTTAAATTATTTAAATATTTTTATTATATACTTTATTTAACTTTCTATTTAACTTTCTATTTAACTTTTATTTAATATCCTATTTAACTTTTTATTTTATTTTTATTTAACTTTTATTTAATTTCTTACTTAACTTTCTATTTAACTTTTATTTAACTTTTTATTTAACTTTTATTTAACTTTCTATTTAATATTTTATTTAACTTTTATTTAATTTTCTATTTAATTAATAATAAGTTAATTAATAAAAATAAAAAAAAAGTAAAAGAAGAGGAGAACGTACTATAAGGGACCTATTAGGAATTGAACTTAGGTCTTTCCTCTATTTAGGAAGATTCTAATTACTAAACTATAAATTTAGGTATAGTATATTCTATACTCTTCTTTAAAAATTCTATTATTTAGAGGGTATATATATTAAATAATAATTTAAATAAATTAAAAATTTAATAAAATAAAATATTTAAATATTAAAGAAATATATAATTTTTAATTTTAATATTATAATATTAATAATAATTATTATAAATAATATATATATTTAATTTAATTATATAAAAATAAAATTTTTAATTATATTTTTAATTTAATTATATAAATTTAATATAATAAATTTATTAATAAAATTATTATATATATTATAAAAGAAGGAATTCTAATAATATTATAATTATACTATAATAAAGCTTTATTAGAGTATTTAGGGTAAATAAATAGTATTATAATTTTATAGTATAAAAGGAGTATTATAAACCTATATAAATAGTTAGATAACTTTACTCCTTAATATTTAATTAGTATAAATTTAAAATATAAAATTTAATACTAATATAATTAAGGGCCCTTAATAGTTATAAAAGAACTTTATAATGTTAATTATTAACTTAATACCTTTAAGCTTATAATAACCTTTTACTACTTTAAATACTATTTTAGGAATATAGATTAATAGATTATATTACTATACTATATAGTTACTTTTAAATTATTATTTATAAAAAACTTTTATATATAAAGTTAATTTTAATTTTATATAAAATTTTATATTTATTTAAATAAATTATTAAAAGTAATTAAACTTAATTTAATTATAATTTTTATTATTTATTTAAATAATTATATAAAGGAATATATATATTTAAAGTTAAATAGTTCTTTAAAAGATAAGTTATAGAATTCTACTTTTTTAATATATAAAGGTTTAAAGTTTAAATTAAAATAAAAATAAAATTATATTTTAATTTTTATATTTTATTTAATGTTATTTATTTAAATTAAATTAAAGTATAATATTTTTAATAAATATTTTTAAATAAAAATTTTAAAAATATTTTTATTATTTTTAGAAAATTAATTAAAAATAATAATTAATTTTTAAAAAGATTTAAAAATATTTTTTAATATTTAAACTATATTATATATTTAATATTTAATAAAATAAAATTTAATAAAAATAGACCTACTTTTTCTTTAGTTAGATTAAAGATTAAAGACTAATTTATAAATTAGTTTAGTCTTTAGTTATAATTACTAATTAAAAAAAGATTTAGTCACTATTTCCTTAACTAAAAGTCTTTAGTCTTAGTTAAGGCCTGTAATTAAACTAATTCAGACTAATTTCAACCCTGTCTGCAAGCACGTACCTAGACAGCTGGACCCACTCGCCCTCTGAGCTCTGTCTTTTCCATCCATCCATCCACCTCAACCTCCTAGCAACCCCAACATCAGACCTCATAAACTTCCATCGCCTCTCACTGCAAACACAAGATGGATGACGACGGCGAAAACAATGCCTGGGTATCCAATGACCTAGAGTCAGCTTGAACCTCTCCTTCTCTTCTTTGATTTTTGCTGACATAGGTTAGGATCCTCCGATCTGGCTTGTATGCCGATGCAAAGATCATCTGTAACGGCGGGCTTTCCACTAAGGTTTGTCGTTTGTCAGAAGTTGCTGCCTTTCCAAGTTCTCGAACTTTTCATGGCAAAAGGATGCTAACAAACACAAAGGTCCACCGCAATATCCTAGCAAGCCGCTCGTCGTGGTTCAAGACGGCATTCTCTAGTGACCACATAGTAAGCAACCTGGCAACCTGGTTCCTTGCAACTTCCTGACATGTTCCTCAACAACCAGTCGGGTGGATTTCGCGAGGTCACTGGAAGTAACGAGATCACGCTCGAAGAAACCGCCTCACAAGTCAAACTGATGCTCCACTTTCTCTATGCTGGCAGTGAGTCACGCCAAACCCCCCACCTGCAGTTCAGTCGAGTCTCGCTGATCAGACCAAACGCACAGGCGTCGACCAGACCGACGAGACCGTCACAGGCGGCCGCGACACCATGATCCTCGGCATCGACCTCATGCGGCTGGGAGAGAGGTATTGGTCAGAGGACATGGAACAATATGGTAAGGCCCTCCTCGTGACGCACCTGGGGTCGATCCTCGACCGCGTCTGCCACACGGGGCTCACGGTCCCAGTAATGGAGGCCCGGTTCGCGGCGGAGGAGGACGAGGACGCCTTCCCCACCATGTTCTGCCTGGCCGTGCGCAACGCATTCGTTGAGCGGCCGGTCAAGTTGGCGCAGCGCATCCTGGCGGACTTCGCCTTCGCGGCACGGCTCCACCTGTTCAAGAATGCTGATTTCGTCCGCCTCATCACGCAGGGGCAGGTTCGGAAGTTCGGAAACCTGGTTCTCGCCTCGATGATCACGGGTGACGTGTCAGGCGAGTTCTGTGGCAACACCACATTCGCGAAGTGGCAGGACTGGAGGTTCTTTCCGCGATCCCCTGCGCCCGTACCATTTCTCGTACGGATTCCGCCTGGCCCGAGGCCAGCCGTCGAAGCAACTGGGGACTGGACTGTTGAAACTCCAGGCTGGTTTGACACTGACTAGACAGGCTGGACTGGATGGGTTTGCGAACGGATTAAGCAGCTAATTGAGCCGCTTGACCATCGGAAAACAGCAATTTCATGCTGGATAATGTTGGATGGATCACTCGGGATGGCAAAAGGCCAGGACTGTTGGTATGTTTTACTTGATCCAGGCTATCGCAGGGGACAGGCACGTGTGATACCAGTGCAGAACTCACCAGGGGCCATCCAGATAGACCACTTCCATAAGCACTGGGCTTTTCATCTTTCTCACCTCCCACGTTTTGTTGCCTGTTTGGCCTTGCCATTAACTTTCCTGTCGCTTGACCTTTGGCTGCCCTGATGCCCCAGGCCACCCCTCGACACAACCACATAAGCCCAAAAGTTGGAAGCTCTCGCAAACTCACATTTCAAACCACGTCCGAGACCCGACTGCCACAACAACACTGCCAAAGCGGGATCCTCAACCCACCCACTTCCAGATGTCGACCAAACAAGACCCCGACCCCCTGGGGATCCAACATCCACCAGAGGCCCAGCCTCCAGGCACTCCATCCCCGCCGCCAAGGCCTTCGTCCCTGCCCTCATCGACTTCTCGATCCCCGTCAAAGCCCTTCTCCCTCCCAAAGGCCGAGCCGTTGAAGCTCTTCTCCCCACCACCGCCCAAGACCCAAAAGCCCTTCGTCGCCCCCGAGGAGCTCTTCCGCTCCAACGACCTGGACCTCCTCAGGACAGGCCGTTACAGCGACGCCCAGGTCACCATGTTTTTGGGCGGTCGGGTCTGGAAGGTGCACAAGAGCATCGTGTGCCAGCGGTCAGGCTTCCTGCGTGAGGCCAGCCTCGCCACGTCCAAGGGCGGCGAGCCCATCCCGCTGGAACTCCCGTTCTACACAACGGAGGATCAGGCCGAGCTTCTATTTGAGTTCATTTACTCGGGCGGTACGTCTTTCTCACTCGCCCTACTACCAGCACATGCAGGCTGGCTGGCAGTCTTACGATATGGTCCATAAACTGACTGGCTGACTTGTCACAAATGACAGGCATCAAAGACATCGCCACCTTCACCATGGCAGACTGCGTCGACCTCTCCACCGTAGGCGAGACCTTCCTCGTCGACGGCATGGCCGACTATGCAACCAGCCAACTCTGGGCCAGGCTTAAACCCATGCTCGAGTGTGTGTCCACCACCCCCGGCGCCGCCGGCGTCCCTCTCACCACCCACGACCTTCTCCACGGCCGCAGGCTCACCATCGCCGACATGGAGTTCGAGCTCGACTTCCGCAGCGCCATCGCCAGGGCCTACTCCAACGTCGACAACAACAACACCACCAGCAGCCAGCTCCTCCTCGCCGACTTCGTCTGGGCCGCGCGCGCCCAGCTCTTCGGCACCCCCGCCATGGCGGCGCTTAACAGGGCGTACCCTTTATTCGGCACTCATGTGTTTACAGCGTTGAACATGGGCCCGCAGTCGTCATTTTTCTGCGGCGGCCGGAGGCACCTCCTCACGCCTTGCCGTTGTTGGCAGTGTGCGTTTCACAAGCAACAGGACGGCCGTGCGAGTCTTGCGCTGCTGGGTCTCGAACCACCGCCTTTTGAGCCTGTGGAGAAGGGGGACTGAAGCAATGTGGATGATGAGATGGAGACACCTGCCTGCCTTTATGTTTGCAGACCAATCTGTTTGGAGAGGAGGATCTTGCCTCCCAGGCTTGGCAAGCGCCCACAAAATGGTTGTCTAGATGGTGTCAGGTTTGCAACAGGAGGCTACGGTCAGTCTATATCGAGGTCGTTTGTAGGGGGGATGGGCGGATGTTTGGTGGCTTTACAGCTTGTCGTGGAACAGCTTATTGAGAGGAGTACATGAGATGTAGAGGACTTGAGACGTTCCGCTAAAGACACAGAGGGATCAATTTGTAGTCCAAGGATAGCATGACCTCCCAAATCAAAACCTTTTCTTGTCCCTACAAGTCCTGTAGGATAACCTCCCCTAGGAAAAGCCTGAGCACTGAGCTCTTCGCCTTTCTCGAGCTCGCGTGTTTGGGCCACTGTTTGACCTTCCATTCACCTTCCTACGTTGCCCCACCCGTCCACCTCGCGTTGCCCTGGTGCTGGCCGTTTGCCACAACCACACAAAAGTGAAAGCTCTGGCACCTGCAGCAGACTTTGCCTTGACGCTGCTGACTGCCAGCACATGAACACCACCTGAGTTGGATCCTCGCCCGACGAGTGTCCATCGCACCCCCAAGATCTCAGCGAGACAGGCCACCCACCGACTCTCCGGCGATGCGACCTCCACCAAAGCACGAGCAGCCAGAGCTCCCATCCTCATCAGACATGGAGAGCCCCCTCGCCGTCCAGGAGCGCTTCCGCTCTAACGACCTGGAGCTTTTGGAGACTGGTCAGTTCAGCGATGCTGAGGTCGGGGTTAACCAGCGAGTTTGGAAGGTCCACAAGGGCATCTTGTGCCCGAGGTCGGGTTACTTTCGCAAAGCCTTCTCCAACCAGTCCACCACCGAGGAGACAGCTGATTTCACGGCCTTCGGGTTCGGGATCTACGAAGATAAAGCAGAGCTGATTCTAGAGTTCATTTACGCAGGCAGTAGGTCCTCATATCCACGCCCACCACATCAAGCTTTTGCAACTGACCTTGTCATCCAGGCATCAAGGACATCTCCTCGCGCACCATGGCAGACTGCGTGGAGCTCGCACTCCTGGGCCGTAAATTCCAGGTCACCGGCATGATCCGCTACGCGGAGGACAACCTCTGGAAGAAGCTCAGCGCCCATCTTCAAGAGGCCATGACCCTATCAGCCGAGGCCGAGACCGGGCTCGAGTTGGGCCTCGTGCCCAAAGCCAGCATCGATGGTAACGTCTTTCACGAAAACTTCACCGACGCTGTTGTGATGGCATACGGCACGTTCAAGCCCCAAAACATCCCCCTAAACCCCTGCCAGCCCATCCTCGCGGACTTCGTGTGGGCCGCGCGCGGCCGGCTCCTCGGCAAGCCCTTCATCGAGGTACTTAATATGAACTACCCGCGCTTCGGCAGCCACGTCCTGACCACCCTGAACAAGGGCCCACAGACGCGCTTCCTCAAGTTCTCCGGGCGGCCCTCCAGCACCTTTTGCACCAAGTGCGCGCAGGACGAGGCCGACGGCTCGGGCGAGGCGATCCAGGTCCTCGTCCCGGCGGGGCGGCGATAGCTCCCGCCCTGGAAGTGCAGGGGCGGGCAAAGGCACGCTGCGGACTGACTACGGCGATATTGGGGGGTTCTCCCGGTCTTCTTGGGTTGGACGGTCGATGAATGGGGTCAGATTCTGCGGTGGGGGGTTGTCGCACACAGGAGCTTCGGATGGAGACTTGAAGACTTTGAGGGAATAATTGGCATTTGACGGATGGCGCCATTGCCTACCCAGGTACCGAGATAGTCTTACCTCCCTAATTCAGACTTTTCTTAGTACATACAAGTGCTCCTCTGGGACAAGCTCCCAAGTGAAGAGATCCCACGGACCTTTCTACAGATGTAACCGCCGTTCTCACAGTTACCAATCCCCATCTCATCTCACCCGACACGACCACCCACATCACAAGACAAGCAAGCCAAAACCACACGCACATGCACATAGCAAACATTAATTAATAATCATTCATCTATACAAACACTCCAACTAGCATCCCTCACCCGCCGCAGCACCCGCTCCTCAGCAGAAGCAATCTCCCCGTCGACAAACTCCTCGAGCTCGGCCCGTATGCCCGCGACGTGGTCGTCGATCTTGACCTCGACCAGGTCCTCGACCAGCCCGGCCGCGTGCTGCGCCACCTGCTCGTCGACGTCCTCGGCGCTGGGGATCACGCCCTCGAGGTCCGCCAGCCGCTGGTCCACGTGGGCCAGCACCTCGGCCCGCAGCGCCCGCAGGTCCTCGCCCACCGACGCCCGCAGCTCCGCCAGCCTGCTGTCAAGGTGCGCCCGCTCCTCCCGCCGGTACTGCGCCATCATCTCGTCGAGCAGCTTCCTGCAGGTTGCTGCCGTGGCGTCCGCGGCGGGGTCGGGCTTGCCAGCGGCGCCGGAGGGTGTACCTCGGCGCCGTTTCCTGGGCGCGCCGGCGGACTTTTGAGCTGGCGACGCATGCTGTCAGTGGCTGGGATTGGGCAGGAGGCAGCATTCGACGACTCACATGGGTTGACAGGAGCGCCTGGCGGGCCGGGCTCAAGCTCGCTGTATGACGGGGGACTCGACTTTGGCACAGGGAGGCACAGCTCACTGCGCTCCAGCACCCTGCCGCCCGCCCCGCCGTACAGCCCCTGCAGATCGGCCGCCGCGCTGATAGACTTGAGTCTCCGGTCCCAAATAGCGTCACAGACTGGTCGCATCTGGGAGTCGGACAGCGGCGTTGCGGGCATCCAATACACAGTGAGGGCTATATCCTGCGCGAGGAGTTTCAGGGAGTCCAGCTTCTCGCCGTGGGCCTTGTTCTGGGGCGCCAGTCGTGAGGCTGAGGGCACAACCATGTCGGCAGGTCGGACCAGCCAAAAGTCCAGGCTGCTCGGCCCCGGGCCCGGCCCCAGGCTGTCCTTGACGACGTCTGGTACCACCCTGGAGACTGCGTTGTACTTGAGGACTGCGATGCTGTCGGGGTGTATGTGCAGGAAGAGGGGTGTCTTGGCGCTGTCGGGGCCCGCGCCCTTCAGCCCGACCGGCACGCGGATCTTGAAGAAGGCTGACATGTCGGCGGCGTCGAAGCGCATCTCGAAGGTGACCTGGCGCGATGGATCTGCATCGCCGTGATATAGATACCGGAACTCCGAGTCGCGCCCCATGTAATGTACAACTGCTGGTGCCCTGTCAATGTTGAAACTCGTCGAGGGAGGACATGGCGGCGTTCCGCCGACCATGGCAGGCTCGGAAACAGTAGTTCTATAAAATCGAGAAAAGGGTTAGCATTCAGATTTGTTCAAGCACGACGGGCCAAGACCAAGGCCACGGCCTCGTCCGTCAATGACACCAAACAGAGCGTCGTCGAAAGTGTTTCCCTCCTGAGCAAAAGACGCCCAGGAGAACCCCACCCTGCCAGGCTTTGAAGTGTGCAAGAGCAGCCTTGACTCGGGGGCCTGTATGCCGGCAGAAGAGAGAGCAGAGAGTCCAGAACCCGCGTCCCGCAACAACGATGCCCGGGCGTGCGAGTGGCCGCCGACGGGCTACTTTGATCCCACCCGTGTCAAGGGAGGAGCGGTGACAGAGCGCGCGCTCACTCAACCTCTTGGGGCAAGGAGTACCCTCCCACCCCCCAGGCGCCGGGGCAGGCGACCTGTAGCTTGGAGGTGGGCGACGGATTACAGGCGACGGCCGCGGGGAGCACTGCGGTTTTTCTGTGCGATGCAGCTCTATCGTTGGAGAGGTGGCGACCGGTCCCCCGCGAGAAGCGAGTACCAAAGAACTGACCCTGCTGCTGGTGTAGTTGGATGATCGGGGGTTTGGATGCTTGGATGCGTGGATGCGTGGATGCACGTGGATGAACCGAAGGGCGTGGTTGATGGAGACTGTCGTGAATGCGGCAGAGGAGAGGAGAGGGATGGGACGACGTTGGAAGTGGAGATGGCTGGGACCCGTCATCTCATGTGCACGGACCTCCTCGTGAGCAAAGCGTACCGTGACTCCACGCGTTGGCTGGCGTCTGCTTACCTACTTAAGTACCTAGGTACTTACTTAGACACCCGCTCCACCCTAACCCGGAAGCGCGTAGTGCAGTGCGTTCCATTTGATGAGGATGAAGGTCTTCCATTTCACAACTGGTGCTAACAACGGATCAAGAGGTCATCATTCCTTTCCTTCCACCACTATCCGATGTATCTCCCCAACTCTCAGTTCTAATCAGACTATCTGATGGATCTCTCCAGGTCTCATTGCTGACCACGGTGCTCACGGTGCTCACGGAGCTCACGCTGCTCACGGAGCTCACGGTGCTCACGAAGCTCACGGAGCCCGCGGAGGTTGAGGAGCTCATGGCGCTCATGGGACCTTCGGACCTCACGGATCTGATTGATCGCTTTCGTTGACAGCGTGGGCTTGCCAGGCTCGACGTAGATGGTGTTACTCCACCTCGAAAACACCGGGTTGCCAGCGAGGGCAGGGCACTTCAGGCCGTCCATCATCGCCGTCAGCAGGTCCTCCCCAAACTCGGGCAGCTCCAGCCTCAGCTCCCGGATCAGGGCGCACGTGAAGGTCACGGGCCGCGCAGCACAGACGAAGGCGACGTAGACATGCTGGATGCCTGACCGCTTGGCGTAGGCGCCACGGATGGCCTCGCACAGGCGGTCAACGAAGCCGGCCTGCTTGATGAGCCTGTAGTTGGCCTTGCAGGTGTTGAAGTCCTTGCACAGTCTGAGTGTGTCGGGGGTCCAGTACTGGCGAGGCAGTTCAGAAGCGCCGTCGTCCCAGTTGATTGCGTTTGAGGTTTCTTCCTGGTTGTTTCAGGCAAATATTAGCTATCTGTCTGCTAATCCCAGGCTGCAGCATTCTGGAGGAGATGTGATATGATGTACTTACCCAGGTAGTGGCCCAAGATCTGCTCGGCATACTTGTTCATCTGGTCGACCTGGTAGAAGTCACCAAGGGCTGCGATCTCGTTGGCAGCAGCCATGACCTCGGTCTCCTCACACTCCTTGAGGTCCACTGCGCCAGTGTAGATGAACTCGAGCAGTCGGTCGATGTTATCCTCTGGGTCAGAGATGTTGACAATGCTGTCGTTACCCTCCTGGCAAACGGCAAGGTTAGCAATGGTCAAGGCCGCAAGCTGCTTGCTTAGATCAACCAGGTCAGTTAAACATTTACGCAGAAACCGCCCTCAAGAGCAGCCCGAAACCACTTGCTGCGGGTGCATAGGATGCTCTTGTGCACCTGGTACACCTTGCCGTTTGCAATCACCTTGGCATCGGAGTGCACGCCCGAGCTGAGCAGCTTCTCGTCGGCTTTGGCGAAGGATGCGGGAAGCGCGGTGATGTTGGCCTTGGTACGCATGGGGTCGTTCATAAGCCTATCGTAGATTTCCTGTGGTATGAGAGGAGGTCTCGTCATGTCCCTGTGGTGATTGTCCAAGTGCTCCTGAGATGTGGCGTCATGGGGGCCCATCAAGGTAGGGTGTGCATCACCACCCCCAGGGGAGGCATCGCGCACAAAGCCCGGTGCTAGAGGGCGAGGCTCGTGGTCGTCAGACATCTTTGCAGGTGGGTCGAAGCTCGCCTCTCTTGGTGTTGTGTCCTAGGAAGGATGCTGTCGACAAAGAGTGGGCAAGGTCCCAGGTACTTTATAGACAGGCGGGCGGTGGGAATTCGTCTGCAGCAGCAGCGGCAGAATCCCAAAGAATGAGGGCTTTCGTCCAAACAGTAAATGGCCAGAGTGAGCTGCTCATTTGTTCATCATATGGCGCTAAGGGGTTGCAGCCCTGCACAGGTCTCAATGTCACCATGTATGCACAATTGCAGTGTCTGTAGTCTGTGCAAACACGTATAAAGACTTTCACAAAGTAGAAGCTCGGACGGAAGACAGATTGTGAAATCAACGACTTTGATTGGTAATTGTTGATAGGAATTCAACGTCAAAAGAAGCACCAAGCCATGAGCAACCCTCCAGCAACAGACCAACGTCAAACAGATGAGTCAAGGCCCACCTACTCATCCTTCACATCATCAAAGATGCCCCACACAACGCCATTGCCATCTCCCTGATCCATCCTCTCAGCACACGCCTCACAGCACAGCTGAGGAAACCTCTGGGCAAGCATCTGGTAAGACCAGGGGTTGAAAACGGCCGCCTCCTCCCTCAAGATACCCACCCCACAGCAGGAACAGCCCCCACGCTTCTTGGGAACCGGCCTCGAGAGCCTCGCCGGCCGCACCCTGAGCCCCCTCATCCAAGGCGTCTGGTACTTGGGCGCATGGAGCCCCAGCAGGGTCTCCTTGACGAAGGCAGGCGGGAGGACGTCCACGTCGACGCGCAGGTGGAAGTTGGGCTCGCGCAGGAGGACGGGCCCCGCCACGACAACAAAGTCGACGAGCATGCACCAGGGCTGGGTCTCGACCGGGCCGTGCCGGGCCGCGTCCGCCTGCCAGATGCCGGCCTCAAGGTCCTCAATGAACTCCTTGCGCCCAGCCGCCTGGAGGGCCCTGTGCAGCGGGTAGACGCAGATGTCCCTGAGCTTCCTGCTGAGGTACATCTCGAGGTGCCGGACGGCGTAGGCGGCCATCCGCGGGATGTCGAAGCTGTGCCCCAGCCTGAAGAGCAGGATGCAGTCCTGGATGACGGGCTGGTTCTCCGTCTGGAACTCGAGGATCTCGGCCTTCCACTCCCCGTACACGAAGTCGACCATCAGGCGGACCGATCTGGCGTCGTGGTCCTTCTCCGTGTATTCTGTTCGCCCTTTGTCGTCCTTTGGCAGCTGATGAGTTAGACGTAGAGTTAGCAACCTCGGTGGATTCTGGGCTGGGCAGTGTTGGACGGCAGGATAGACTCTGAACCTACCCCGTTCCTGCCCCCTGTCAGCAGCTGTCTGAACTTTCCGACGCGGGAGAATAGCAGCTGCTTGTGGAGCAACAGTCGCTCGCCATCTACGGTCAGGGCGAAGTCCCACCTCTTTTCAGATCGGAACATTGCTAGGTCCCCTCGGTTGCGGAACGCCTCCCGCCCGTCGTCTGCCTCGAACTCATCGCGCTTTCTCTTGGGTGGCATCTTGGCTTCTGAGGAGGCGTGTGATTTGGAAACGAGATGTAAGCTTGGGGGACTGAAGATCCCAGGTTTCAAGATGGAAGGGTTGGAGACGGGATCGGAATAGAGGAAGAGACGAGAAGTGCAGAAGAGCTGGATCGGAGAGAAGAAGAGGAAAGGAATGGAAGAATTTAACTCGGTTAGCAGACTCTTGCAACAAGACAAGGAAGGGGCGGTGACGATTGTAACTGTCTCTGTTGCCGTTTACTTGAAATTCATTTGGGCTGGGCCAAGTCGATATGTGGAGGCAGGATCTGCTGAATGTTGCAAACGAACAGCCTGTTGTGATGTAAGTTGAAGTGGAAGAAAACAATGGTTGTGGTGAGTATCAGCCCAGACCACCTGGGCAGTGTTTAAGGAGGACCCAGTGGTCTTGTGATGACCAAAGGGAAGGGATCCATTGTGTGGGACAGGATGCTCGCAGAAAATACACTGGAGGCGTCTTGATATCGGACTGAAGAACTCGCTCCGGCTCTCCAGGTGCAAGGCCGGGGAATCTACGGGATATTGGAAGGAGCCTTGTAACAATACCGGAATGCCCGCTGTGTAAAATAGGAAAACTGAAAAGCTGCCGCCCTGGGGCATAAGATCTAAGCCGAACAAATTCCACCACAAACCTCATGCAGCGACCGGCGTCCTCGCATCTGCCCACCGCTCCATCTTCGCCTTCCCAAACATGATCTGTAACAAGGACGTTGTAAAACCATCAACCTCCTCAGGCCTCCTACGCGCCAGGAAGCTCTCGACCTCCTCCGGCTCGGTAAGCGCCACGTCCTTCTCCGCACAAATCTTGCTCCACGCGTAGCTCGACGGCGCGTCCCACACCTCGGCCGCCGTGGTGAACTTTATGGAGCCGCAGCACGTGGCGCAGCCCTGGAGCATGACTGTGTACACGACGTGCAGGCCCTGCGCGAAGATCCACGTCCGCCGCACCGACTCGGCAAAGATCCACGTGTGCCAGAGCACCTCCTCCTGCGAGCTGGGGTGGAAGCACTGCGGCGCCGTCCGCGGGGTGGTGGTGGTGGTGGCGGGCGAGGCGGCGGCCGGTGCCGACGCCGACGCCGACGCTGACGATGCGGCGTCCATTATGTCCACTATGCCGAGGCCCAGCCCCCTGGCGGCCGTCATCGCCCCCTCCGCGCCGGAGGCCGACGTGAGCTGCGAGGCAAACGAGACGCTGTCGAGCATCTGCTTGAGCCACGACTCCATGACCGTCGTCCGTTGCTCGGCGAGCCCGCGGAGGTGGATGTCGCCGTCGAGGAGGCAGATGATCTGGTACGCGAGCAGGGCGTGGACGCGGGCGAGGTGGCCGAAGGGGTCGAGGCTGCTGGACATCCTGTGCCGCTCCTCGTCGGCGAGGAGCTGGCTCGACCGGTCCTCGATGATGCGGTGGACCATGTCCTCGTTCTCGTCCGTCCTCAGGAGGTAGAGCGCCACCGCCGTGTAGGCGTCTTGCACGCACCGCGGGAGTTTAAACGAGTACAGCTGCTTGTGGATGAACGTCGTGCCCCCCGTCGAGATCCAGTCCGCCAGCCAGCCCTGCCCCGTGGTGAGGAAGGCCTTCAGGGCCTGGCGGCTGTATGGGGACGGTGGCATCTCGCCCTGGTCCCCGGGGCCTGGCATGATGTACTCCATCTTCCATGATTCTGGGGACATGAACCAGTCCGTGCTGAGCTGCTTCGCAGGTGGGTTGTTGACACTACGAGGGGCGGACAGCAGCGTCGAGGGCCGCGCAACGTCGAGCCTCGTATTGGGCGTGTGGGATGCACTGTAATGAGAGGAGGTCGTGGTGAATGTGAACAGCGCCATGGTAGGGTCCCACATGTCGGGCGGCGGCCTTCCGATCTCAGCGGGAGCCATAGGTATCGATGCGGCCCTCTCCGCCGGGACCATGGGTATGGATGTAGAGTTTACAGCCGAGCTAGGAGCGTCCTGGAAGCGGACGAACGAGCTGGGCCTGGTGGGGAGTGGATAGATGCACTCGAGGTCCCGAGACGTGCAGCGGTGACATCGTGGGCTCTCTTTTCCGCATTTCCGTTTAGATTTCGCACACGACTCGCAGGCTTTAACCTCCGGAATTATCTCCATTGTTGTTATTGGGTGAAAGTATACATACGTTGACGAGACTTCTTTCCGCAACTTGGGCTGCACTGGCTGACGTCAAATGGTAGAAGAGATGTAGTCGGGCGGATTTTGAAGGCCGCCAATGGGCGGATCATTCCTTGATACTCATATAGATACCCCTTTGGGTTGGTGTCCGCGGACGCCAACCAATTTGGGTAATACCGCGGACCAGCTCCAAGCTCAGATTGGCTGGAATCCGCAATCGTCGTCTCAGAAAGCTGACTCTAGGTGCGACAGGAAAGATGGCAAAACTCCGAGCCAGACACTAATAAATAAAGCCACTTGGCACTCAGCTGATCAAAGGTCCGATATTTGTATAATTGGACATCATGAATTATTCAATTTCAATCCCGAATTTACGAATCCCTCAAATACCACAGTCACGAGCTGAATTCCAGCCCAGCCCGCCATATGGTCTCGGCACAATTAGTACATTAAATATACGCAATAATTTTCTGCAATGATTATGCAGCGTGCTTATGACGGTAATTTACATGCAACATACACGATTGAAAAGCCGGACCTCGGACACTGAGGACGTCAGTCAACAGGTTAATACTCACATTCTTTACATATGTATGCTCCTCCTCGCGCGGGGCACCTTGTTCACACCAGAAAACTCCTCCTTGACCTTGTCCAACAGCCCGTCGACAGTCAAAACATCAATAGCAACCCCCGCGAGACTCTTCCCCACCAGAAGTGACTTGTCAAAGGAACGCCGGCTGCGCGAGGCCACCTCAAACGGCGGGGTGTGAGGCCCCGTGACAGGGACACTGCCGTCCTCGTTGGTGATCCCAAACCAGGGGCTGATGGACGGGAAGTCATGGCTGAGGTTCCCCTGGTCAGTGCTCGCGCTGCTCTTGCTGCTCCTCGCCGTCTCGGCCGGGAGGAGCTCGTCCCCGTGTCCCAGCCCGCCGAACCACGCGGCGTACGACTCGGCGAGCACGTCGTTTGTGACCATGTTGGAGTAGCCGTGCGGCCGCATCGTCAGGTTGAGCGTGGCGCCCGTGGCCAGGGCGCCGGCCTCGAAGCACTTGTACACGCGCTCGGTCAGGTTGTGCAGCGCGCTGTCGTCCGCGGCGCGCACGGCGAAGGTTGCCGCCGAGAGGTCCGGGATGACGTTGGTGAGGCTGCCGCCGGACCTGATGATGCCCTGGATTATGTCGGTGGAGTGCGTCTGCTGGCGCAGCATCGAGAGGGCGTCGTAGGCGAGGACCAGTGCGTCCTGGGCGTTGATTCCGTCGTACGGTGCGGCTGCTGCGTGGGCTGGTTTGCCGTAGTATTCGATGTCGAGAGTGTCTGTGGAAGTGGTGGACATGTAAGGGGAGTCGCCGCCGTTAGTGGGGTGCGAGATGAGGCTGATGTCGATCTTGTGGTCTCGGTAGGCGCCCGCCTCGTTCAACAAGATCTTACCGCCGCCGCCTGGAATGGCCAGTCAGCCCCGAGCACAACTTCAACATTATCATGAGGTTGGCTATTTACCTTCTTCCGCGGGAGTGCCGAAGAGAACCACAGTTCCGGCAAGTTTCTCAGTGCGCATGATCTCAGCCGTAGCAAGTGCGCCAGACAATGATGCCATAGCGATGAGGTTATGCCCACAAGCATGCCCCAGGCCTTTCAACGCATCTGCGAAGTCATCAAGGTCAGCATGCTTGTCTCAAGTCGAGGCTTGGGCTTTTGGTACTTACCGTACTCGGCGTTAAATGACACCACCGGGCCTTCACCATCTCCCTGGAATACAGCGGTAAAGGCGGTGCTGATATTGTATGCGGACCGCGTCACGTTCCATCCGTCTTGAGACTCCATGAAAGAGGTCAGAAGGTCATGAGCCTTAACCTCTTCATATTGGAGCTCGGGGTTCTCATGGATCTCAGTGTTGGTAGGCCAGAGAGTCTCGCTTATGGAGTCGACATATTTGGACACTGCATCCGTGTATGGGCTTGTCTGCGTTTCAGTCGTCTGTCGAGACGACAACGCGTGCGCAGAGACTTGGCCAAGGGCACAAAGACTCAGCGCGCATCTGCGAGCCATCTGCGAAGCCATCGTCGGAAACGACCCGGAAAGAAGCACGCGCTGTAAATGAGAAGACTATCAGGGATAATACACGCTCGGTAGTGCATGAGGATGGATTTTATGCATCTCGGCGAGACGACAGGGCTTAATATACCTAGGTACCTCACTTCGTATCGACAAGACATCCAGCATCCGACCCAGCATCCGACGTCCGTCGTCCGGCTATGACCTTCCCCTCATTGCCTTTTCCCACTCCAATAAGGGATTTTTGAAGTACACAGGCAATCAACAACAACGCTCCGCAAACGATAAGTCAGTAAATTTTGAAAGTCTTGGCCCGGCAAGTGGGGCTGTCTACACCGCCAAACAGTGCAAATCGTTGGTGGGATTGCCGAGCAAGAAGCCGAGCGACTCTTGGCGGGCTGAGTGAACGGTAGTTGGCGTCTTCCACGGTGTTAAACTTGAATAGAGAAGTCAAGTAATAATCGCTGCCTGAAAGGCCGAACTTTCGTTCAAACGCCTCGGGCATTCTTCAAGGGTTGAATAGTCGTCTGCAGATTGGCAGTGAAAGGTTTTCAAGCACTCTAAACAGCAAAATGGAACTCCTAAGGCTGTAGTTTAGGGTTAGGCATAAAGTGGTTTCGTTTTTAATCTATATATATATATATAATATATATAATACCTTTATATAATAATAAATAGAGCTAGTATCTATACACTTAATAAGTTAGTTTATATACTTAGTATTTTCTTTTTATTTACTTAATACTTACTTTTCTTAATAACTCCCTTATATTTATAAGTACTTTCTAAGTTAATATTAAAAGACTTTATAAAATTATTTTTTTCTTTAATTTTTAATATATAAGGTATAAACCCTTTTTATAATCTCTTTATTTTTACTTTTTAAGACCTTTTATCTTTACTTTTTAAAACTTTTTATTTTTAAATATTAATTAAATATTTAAATATTAACTAAATATTAAAAAGTTAAAAAGTAAGAAGGTAAAGGTAAAAACTATACTCTTTTTAACTTTTTAATACTCTTTTTAACTTTTTAACCCTTTAAACTTCTAACCTTTTAATATTTAATTAATATTTAAATATTTAATTAATATAATAAAGTATAATTAAATAAATTATTAAGTTAATTTATAATTAAATTAAATTTAATAAAAGAAAAGAAAATAGAAAGTAAGTAAAAGTTAAAGAATTTAAACTTTTAAATTAGATTTTTAAGAACTATTAAACCTTTAAAGCTTTATTTTTCTAAATTATATCTATTATATTACCCCTTTAACCTTATTTTAATTTAATTTAAGCTTTATTTATATTAATACTAACCTTTATTAATAATATTTAAACTCTTTTTTAAAACTTTTAAGTTTTTTTTTCTTTTACTTTTTTACTTTTTTAATAAATTTTCTACCCTTTATATTCTTTTATTTAAATTTTAAAATAAAACTTTAACCTTTAAAGTTTAAAAATTTATTTAAAAATTAATTATAATTAAATTACTTTTAATATATTTATTTAAATAATTATTATATTTATTAAGCTTTATAATTAAGTAAGTAAAAACTTAAAATTTATATTAAAATCTTTAAATCTTTAATTTGTTTTTAAAATATTAATAACTATAAATATTTCTATTATTTTATTATTAATTATAATTATATTTTTATTTATAATTAAAGTAAATTTTAACTTTTACTTTAAATTTTAAATTATTTTATTAACTTTAATAAATAATTTTAAATATAACTTTTAAAAACTTTTAAATTTTATAAGAATTATTATTCTATTAAAAGTAATTTTTAATCTTTTATTTAAATTTTAAGTTATTTTATTAACTTTAATAATAATTATTTATAAAGTAATTTTTTTAATTATTAAATATTAATAATATTTATATAATATTAAAATATTAAATATAATAAAATTTATAATATAAATTTTATAAATTTTTAATAAAAGTTATATTTTAAAAGTTTATTATTATTTATTATATTATATTTATTAATATAAGTTATTATATATATATATATAAAAAGTAGTTTAATTAGTTAAATTAAATTATATAAAAAGGAAGCTAAACTTAAAAGGTTAGTAATAAATCCTTATTATAATCTATTAATTAGAATTATATAACTTAAACTATCTACTAATTATAATTACCTTTATTCCTATATTAATAGTTTTTATTAAATAATTAAATAATTACTCTCAAAATTTAATTTCCTTTAAATCCTTTAAGTTAAATTAAACTTAAATCTTTATCTTTTTTAATTTATAATAATAAAATAACTCCCTCTATTAAAATATTATTAAATAAAATATATATTAAAAGTTAAGATTATTATTAAAAATACTTAATTTATATATTTTAAAGTAATTTATTTATTTAGTAATCTAAAATAAATATATTAGTTTTTCTATATAAAATCCTTAATTTTAATAAAATTATTAATTAAAAATATTAATTTAAATATTTAAGTTTCTACTTTTAAATATATATATAAACTTAATTTCTATTATTTATAAAATAAATAAATAAATTAAAATTTAAAAACCTTAATATATAATAATTTAATAATTTAATAACTTTAAATTAAATTAATTTTCTCTTTTATTATTATAAATATTATAATTATAAAACCTAATTAAAAATATTTATAAAAATATAAACTAATAACTTAAATATTTATATAAAAATAAATAATATATATACTTTTTAACCTTATTAATATAAATTATTAATTTAAATATTAACTATAAGATTTATTTTTAAAAAATTTAAAGTTAATTATAAGCCTATTATATAATTTATAAATTATTAAATATAAATAACTTATAAAATATAAATTTAAACTTTTATTAATTTATTTTATTATAACTTTATATTTTTATTTTTTATTAACTTCTTTAATTATTATTCTTTATTTTTAACTTATAAATTTAATTATCTTTAATATTTTATTTATAAATTTTAATAACTTTTAATTTTATTAAAATAAATACTTTAATATATTAAATATTATTAATATTTAAAGTTTAATAAAATTTAATATTTTTAATTAATATAATTTTATATTTAAAATTATAATTTATTATTAAAAATAAACTTTTAATACTTTATTTAATATTATCTTTATTATTATATTTATTAAATTATTTTTATTATTAATTTAATAAATTTTATTAATCTTTTATATTTATATAATTAATAAAATATTATTATATTAATTATTAATTATTTTTCTTAATTATTTTAAATTTAATAAAATATTTATAAAAATAAATCTATATAAATAATTATAAAAACCTATAATAATTTTAATTAATTAATAACTTTCTTAAATATAATAAAAGTATAATATTTATATTAAAACTATTAACTATACTATAAATTTTAAATACTACTATACTTTAAGTAATTTTTATACTTAATAAAAACTAATAAATAATATTATCTATTATAGTTTAATAAATATTATTTTAATTAAATTTTTAATAAAAAATAATTATAAAATTAATTTATAAACTAAAATCTAAAACTAATATCTACTTACTTAATAATTATATCCACTTATTTAATTTTTTTTAACTACTTATTTAATATAAGAATTTATATATAAAGCTTATATAAAACTATATACCTAACTAGGATTCTCTAAATTTTTAATACTTTTAGTATAAGCCCCTTTTACACCCCTTCTAATATACTTTTTAATATATTTTTTAGTATACCTTCTAGACTATATATATTTAAGTACTAACTAAATATTTAAATACTAACTAAACGCTAAAAAGCTAGAAGTTAAGAAGGTAAAGATAAAGACTATACTCTTTTTAATCTTCTAACACTCCTTCTAACCCTCTAATACTCTAAACTTTTAGTTTTTTAACGTTTAGTTAGTATTTAAATACTTAATTAATACCTAAATATATATAAGTTAGAAGATCTAAAAGGTATATTAGAAGGTGTATTAAAAAGGGTATAGAAGAGGTTTATACTAAAAGTATTAAAAATTAAAAAAGGAAATTATATTATAGAGTCTCTTAATATTAACTTAAAAGGTATTTATAAATATAAAGGAGTTACTTAAAAAATTAATACTAAATAAGTAATTAATGGAAATTAAATAAGTAGATATAATTATTAAATAAATAGATATTAACTTTAAAATCTATATTATTAATAAATAATTTATTTATAAAATTATAAACTTAATTTTAATAATATTTATTAATATAAATTAAAGTTTATAATTTAAATCATTAATTTATTATTATAAGTATTTATTTAATTTAATATAATCTTTTAAATAATTTTATAACTATATTATTATAAAAAATTAAATATTATTTTAATTAATAAATAAAAATTAAATATACTCTTTAAATATATTATTTTATATACTTTTATATATAATTTAATACTTTAATATTAATTAACTTTAATTTATTATTTTAACTTTTAATATATATAAATATTATTATTTTCTTTAATAATATATAATTTATAAAATTAAAAATATATTAAATATTAATATTTATTTTAACTTATACTTAAAAATTTTTAATCTTTTATTAAAACTTTATAAACTTAAAATATTTAAGTTTAAAATATTATTTATCTATATTATTATAATATTAAAATTATCCTTTTATACTTTAATTTAATAATTAATAAGTATAAATTATATATAAAAGTCTTTATATTAAAATCTTTAATATAATATCCTAATATATAGTAAACTAATAAACCTTAAGTTTTATAATATTATAAAAACTTAATAATCCTTATAATAATATTTAAAAATATTTATATTAAATTTTCTTTAATAATTATATTAAAATTATCTTTTAATTTAAACTTAAACTATAAATATATCTATATAATATCTTAAAATATAATTATTTTTTAAAAGTATATTAATATAACTATAAATATTAATAAAAGTATTAATTAACTTTTATATTATTAGTAATTATATAAAAATATCTTTTTTATTATTATTATATTTTTAAAAATAACTTTAAACTTCTTATATAACTTAATATTTTACTTTTAATTTTATATATAATATAAATATTAAAAATATAAATTTTATTATATTTCTTTTATTATATTACTTAAAAATAAAATATTAATTTTAATTAAATTAAAGATTTTAATATATTTAACTCTTTAAAAGGTTACCTAATATATTAATTATATTATCTTATTAAAATTTTAAAGTAAATATATAATTCTTTTTCTTTTTATTATAAAACTTATTAAAGCTTTTAAATTAATATAAAATATTATTTTAAATTTATT